AATGACACGCGTCGTCAGCGGTCCCCTAAAAGGCAGGAACACTCTTCCCCTACCGCTGCAGTTATTACTGTCAGCAATTCAGATTCAGCGGAAGACTTTCTGTGGAAGATACGCGCAAGTCGCAATCATCAACAAGAGCTGCAGCAGCAGCAACACAAAGATCCGCATTTGCAATTCGGAGCAGCGGTCAACCCTGCAGCAGCATCGGCAGCCATAGCCGCTGCCGCTGCAACGATCCCGGCAGCATCAGCAGGGTGGCTCGCTGCTACCACAGCGGTTACAAGGAAGCAGCAAGTCGAACAGCAGCTGCTGCTGCGTAGGGCACTGCAGCACATAGAGGCCAGTGATAGCTTCGCCCCCCCTCGTCCCCCCCCCTCCCCCCCGCAGACGCATGCTGCTGAACCATGAGCAGCACCTTGAGACATCGAGAGTATGGAAAATACAGCAACATCAGCAGCGCCTTGAGAAAGACGACCAGCGAGAATACCAGCAGCCGTATTAGGGTCAAGAGAGACACTGCAACGGCACCCTGGATAACCCGAAAAATCGCACCAACAACAGAAGCACTGGCACAAGCAGTAGCAGTAACAGTGGCGACACGACTTTGTAAGAGCACTTTCCATGCGAGTCAGCTAATGTGCATTCCGGGGGACAGCGCAGCGGTGGAAAGACAGTGCGGGGGCTATTGATGAGCCACAAGAAAGCGGGGGTTCTCTAGAAGCAGCAGTGGCAGAAGCCAAGTTTACAGCCTTAGCTCAGACAGTGGGTTGCTACAGTTCCGGAAACCTTCAACAAGTTGGAAATTTGCTCTCTTGTATCTTTTTCTTTGCGCTGTTCTCGGCCATGTGAGTCATAGGGGGAGCAGTCTTGCATTTAGCTCGTGCGGCCGTTTGCTAAAGTGCCAAACATATGTGCCTCTGGAGAGCTGGTGCTGTTATGTGAAGCGTCCGTTTGTTCGATGCTTGACAGACACCCTTGAGGACGCTAAGCATCTCTTGTAAAATGCAAAGGGGTCTCCAAGGGGGTTTTTCTGACCCCACCCCACCCCACAGGCGTCTGGTCGTTAATAGTTTTTGAGTACAGCGTCTGTTCGTCGCTCCTGCTCCGTTGCCCGGGTCATGTGAGTGCGCGGCGCATTCCGCAGACGACTCAGGAAGAATTCTTAATCTCTTCAGAAGCCCACTATTGAAAGTTCTCAGGCACCTCCAAAGCCATAAAGAGAGACACTGCCATTAAGGGCGTATTGTTCACAGGTCTTCCTTTCTCTTACGAGGCAAGACAGTCCATAAAGAGTCTCTTGCAGCACGCAGAATTGTCTCCAGGCAGATGCTGGAGAGCTCTAGCTGCTAAGATAGCAAGCTCCCATTGCAAGGAGTAGGTAGATGGAAGGACTTGATGCCCAGAGCGTCGCTGATGAGAAGAAGCGCAACTCCTTTATACCCGTGCACCATGGCTCCTTAAAGAGGCTGTCAGTAAGAACTTTACCGATGAGACTGCTCGCGGAAAACTTTTCGCCGATAGGAAGTGCTTTGGCTCTTCGCCATCCAGCAGTCTATGTGATTTGACACTACGGCAAATATGTCATGCAGCCTGTTGGGATGAATCCAACTCAGTTGTTGGCTTCGCCCTCTGTCTTCATTTGTCGCTCTGTTCCCCTTGATTTATGTACGATTTGCGGCCCTCCGGTTCTTTGCCCCTCCCTCCCAGGGAGTCGCAGACAGGTCCACCTTACGTTCACTGCTGCCTTGTAAGTACAGTGGCCACAGTAATGTGCAGCGCAACAGATGGCGAGCCCCAAAGGTCAACCCCTGGATCTCCCCATATTTCGAACAATTCATCACTACGCAACTTCGGCTTTACGGTGTAGCTGGCCACCTAATTACTAGCCCTCTATTCGGCTGAATTTCCTAGACTGAGTTTAACTAAATGGAAGCCAACCCAAGTGGACTGCGCGGTTTGTTTGCATATCTTTTGCATCCGATAAACGAGATTTCCCGCACTTCGCTACAGGAAAGTGCTGCTCACACCTGCGGCCTCAGCTTCCTGTGTGGGCAGCGAAGAACTCGGACGGCCCTGTGTAAAGTTCTTCCAAGGATCTGTCCATGAGCTGACAAGCCTATTAAAAAGTCTCAGAGTGCTACTCTCAAATAATTCCCTCCTCTGTCCTTTGCCCTCATCCCTACGGGTTCCGGCAGTAGGACCGAGAGTGCGGCAGAAGGATGCAGACGCCTAGTGTGCAAGGATATTGCCACACCCTTTGAGCAATCCATCTATTCACTCACACCAAGTTGCATACAGCAACCTATCGCGTAGAGGTCTAGGCGACTTTAATTCCTACCGTATTGGCTGACTTTACTTTGTGGTAAAGGACAAATATGAGCAACAGAAACAACAGTGATTTCTTGCCCGTTCCTTAATTCGGTATGACCAATGCAAAACACAGTGCATAAGTATAGATTCTGGCCCTTCATACTCTGGGAGTCATCATGAGCACATTCCAGCCTTCCATTTGCCATTAAAGCGCGAGACTGTGTGGCTTGAGGGAAAAGTGGGGCAATGGCCCTTTTGAGGGCCAGACTCGAGTTTACGGCCAACCGTTATGGTAGCTACTCAGTAGGCAACAGAATTTCTGATCAGTCATGCTTAGTCCATCGACAGGGGCTGCACTGTGGATAGCTTCAGCTGGGTGGCGCCGATGCATCCTTTCCGAGCCTTCTCAGGACTGTATACTGGCTGCCCTTTACGCTGTAGAGTTACCAAAACGGTTAAAGCACAGGTCCCCGTAGGGTGACACGTAGCTTTGACTCGTTGAAAGCATGATAAAATTTCGTTAAGTGTTTTCCGTAGGGATTCCCACCTTCGGTTGCCGCCGTTTCTCAGTTCTCGACACAATAGGCAAGAGACAGGAAGGGTGCGCGTGACTTGCACTCCCCAGCCACTCTGAGCACTCATAGTACATAGCGTGTGGCGCACACGCAAGCGACGCTGCAACTTCTTGTAACGAGGTAGTCGTATTCTGCAAACCATAGTGCGCGTACAGAGAAACTAGTCAATCAAATCCCTACCAATATAACTAGTATATTAGAAAGTGTTTTGGCGTAGTTGGTCCTCTACGCCACCAAACGGTCCGTTTTTCCTCTTGGCCTCCAAGCAATAGGATTACTTGCTGGATGTGTAGAGAAACAGCCGGCCTCGGTTTGCTATGAAGCCTCGTATCATCTGCGGACTCGATGAGTTTTCCTATGATTCGCTCTGCGCAGCCAGCGTGCCTGTATGTGCTTGGAAATATTCGTATTTGAAGGGCTGCTCTTATATAAGCACCACACAGATATGGCCACATCTAATGCACCCTCGTTAGATACTGAGTGCCCTGATGTTAGGAATCGAATAGCGCTTGCTGCCGGGTTGGTGGCTCGAGGGCACCTGGCACAGAGTTAGCCCCCGATTTGGCGTGCTCCACTCATTGCACCTCTCTCATCAGATGGTCTGTCTACCATGCAATCAGCCTCTTCAAATAGCTCTGTCTCCCCGCCCCTCGATCCCCGCCTGGTCGTGTTAGAGGCACGCTTTTCGACCCTTGCTACAGCCGCTACGTCGGCTCTGGCCAACCCCAGCCACATATGCCACGTATAGGCAGCTATCCAGGCGCGTGGCTGGTGCTAGGATGCAAGAGACGCTGGAAGGAGCCACCGAGCAAGCGTAGGAGCAGCTCCAGCTGGAGCTGCTCGTATGGTGTCTGGCATCTACGGCCATGCTAGACACCATACGAGCCTCTTTCGGGTTGGTATTGAGAAGCTAAATGCTACAGTTGCCCTTTTAGGAGTTACAGCCGAAGCTCTTTTACCCATGCAAGCAATAGGGTACATTGTTTCACCGGTCAGGTCGACTCGCGCCCCTAGGCGACGGCCCAGCGGCACCGTTGATAAAGCGTATTTGGTGACTTATTCATTGTTAGCTCGGGAGTGATAAGCCTAGTTTTACAATGTCGGGGCCGCATTAGGCAGGGCAGGCTGCTGGCGCGACAGAGAGGGCTGCACTTCCGCACGAGGTTCCGTGTGGTGCACCTGTCGTTGGGAAAGCTTGTGAGCCGTCTTAATTCGTGCTCCTCTGACTCTCCCTCTCGCAATGACGCTAAGGCATGCCCTTTTAACAAGTTATCTTTCTGCTCTTGCAGAAGCAAACAGCTATGCCATCGAATGACAGCGATAGCAGCCCAGTCTGCTGCCTGCCACTGGGGGAAGATGACCGAGGTTAGCTGAGGGGTCTGTTGCCACGTCGGGGCCCCTCTATAGGTTGTCGTTTACCTTCGACATCTCAATAAGAGCAGTTCCTACTCCTTAACACCTACATATCACAAGTTGCAGGGTCAGCATAATCAGCAAAAGCAAAGGTAACGCCTGCAATACAAACTCCACCTCCCGCTCTCAGAAGCACGCTTCAGATGTAGTTGGTAGAGAGTAGAACGTTTTCTGTTTTCTCTTCCTTGTGAGTTCCTTCTCCTAACTGCATAAAGGCAACACGCAAGAGTCTCTGAAAGAACGCGAACTCGGAGCACGTTCGTCTTGCTTTGTAATGCGCTTCGCGCGGACCAGCAGTTGCCCAAAGTGACGTCTGCGAGGTACTGCTACTCCCGTTGCGTCTCCCTTTTTCCCGTTTCCTTTGCGTTATTTCCGTATAAGTTTTTGCTTTCAAAGGCATTATTAAGCACCTTTGCACGCGCAGCGGCACCTGCAGTAGCGGCTGCTTCCGCCGCTATCTGGAATGACCTCTTCACCTGTTAAGGGATCGCTTCTACTTTTCCTTCATTTGCAGCACCTCTGATTCGTTGCCTTGGCGCTTGCACGTCTGTTAACATCCAAAGCACAGTCACGGTAGGGGTCAAGAGGCTTGCTTAGCAGCGACGAGGCAGGATCAGCAGCACCCTTGGCAAGCAAGTCTAGCAACGCGGCACCGCGACGGCTGCCGCTTGCCGCTGCTGGCTACAGTCCACGTGTGTGTGTATGCCAGAAAGAGGACCCTTAGTTGCTGCTGCGGGTGCTGCTGCGGCCGTTCTTGAAAGTTAGAACTGTTGAGGGAGCTGCTGCAACCGCCTTGTATGGTGGTTGCTCCAGGGAGGTGACCTTTAGCGGGGTGCGCTTAGCGGTTCCCTTTTCAGCAGGGGTAAACAATGGCTTTCAAGAGTTCGCTAGGAGGTGCGCAGCCGTGTTGTTCTAGACGGGTGCTCCCACTGCAGCAGCAGCAGCGTGAGCAAGCCTAGCAGCCAACAAGACCAGTGCAGCAGAAGTCTGAGCTGTCTCCAGGAGGTAACAGGCACCCCCTCTTCTCCTGCGGCTGCCGCCATCGCAGCGCTTAGTGGCTGCCCATGTCTCGGTGGAGGCGTTTCCTAACCCGCAGTAAGGACCGCTGCGACTGCAGCGCAGCTCCAGAAGAAGCAGCAGCAGCAGCAACCCCATCAGCACCACGACCACCTCCAGCTGTACACGAGGACACATCCGCTGCTCCTAAAGAGTTGAGACGGGATGTCAGCTGCAGCCTCGGCACTTGCAGCAGCAGCTCGAGTGATTGGCTCCCCCTCGCGGCGCTGGGCAGCGACGAGTTGAAGGATCTGCAGGCATTTGGCAGCAGCGAAAGGCAGCAGAGCAGAATTCTGGATGGTCATGGAGACAGTTTCAGCACCAGCTGCTCGCGGAGCAGTGCCGTGGTATCTTCCGCCGCCTTCGCATCGACTTGCAGCAGCACGGCCCCTTCTCCGAGTTGTTGCCTGAGCGCCGCTTCAACGGCAGCAACAGGGATAGCGTCGGGGGGACTAGCCTCGTACAGCAGCTGCGGCAGCATTGGTAGCAGCTCACTCTGCTGCAGTTGCAGCAGTTGCACCACGACCGCTCCCACCACGACCACTCCCACCACGACCACTCCCACCACGAGCACCACTTTCTCTGGTTTATGTGCAGTGTCTTCATGCCCTGTTAGTTGGTCGCAGTTGCCCTCCGAAGAGCATCCGGCACAGAGTCAACACCAGCAAACGCAGACGTCGCCCCCTTCTCCCATTAGGCAGGCGGCTACAGAATCAGGTTCTGACAAAGAGCACCCAAAAGAGACACTCCATGGACCTTTGGGAGTCTTCGTTGATCGCAGCGTATTTGTAGAGGTTCTCCCTGAGGGTGCTACTAGCGCTGCAGCTGTGCAGCGTTCTTGGCGCTCCGGCAGCGGCGTGACACCAGCTGGCTGGCAGCAGCAGGCGGAGGTGTGCGCGAAGATTCCTGGAGGCTCCACCTCGAGTGTAGCAACCTCGCCAGGCCTGCCAACACCGTCGTCTGCTGCAGCGACTTCGTTTGCTGGCAGTAGTAGTGGCAGTAACGTTGCAGCGCCAGCACCCGGGGGCGCTCGCAAAGGACCGTCTCTTGAGGACAAAGTAATTCTGCTTCGAGGCGTGTGTCGTGGTAGCACCAGCAGCAGCAGCATCAGCTGCTGCTGCTGCAACCGCCCATGTTGTCAGTGTGGCGGCGACAGCCTCGAAGCAGCAGCCCCCCCTCCTTCAACGTCGTGTTTAGCGCGAAGCGGCTCGGGGGTGGCAGCAGCAACCCACCCAGAAGCTTCCACTGCAACAACTGTGGCAGCAAGTGCTCGTGCAGCAGCAACGGCTCGCAGCCTCTCGACGCTCTGGGGAGGCTCCTTGGGCAGCACGCTTTCCGCAGTGGCGAGGTGCAGCAGCAGCAGCCACAACAACAACCCCGCCAAAGCAGCGTCAGGCGCAAGAGACTCCGACAGCACGGAGAGTCTGCCGGTCGTTCCCCAGCGCAGTCCCCCCCACCAGCAGCCTTCCCGCCGTAGAACGCTCCCTCGACACCGTGCCTTCAGCAGCAGTGGCAGTCGCAAAAGCAGTCTGGTTGCCTTCACGAGTCTTTCTTTCCTCTGGGGTAGCGGCAGCAGCAAGGTCTGGCGTCAACCACAGCAGCAATCCCAGCGTCGCCGCCTCGAAAATAGCCTCAACGAGGACTACCGTAGACACTCAGCGGCAGCAGCAACTCAAAGGCGGAGATCGCCTCCGAAATTTGAGGCTGCCCCGCAAACTGCAGTGCCGGAAGCTCCCCTCGCTTGCCAGGTAGCAGCAGCAGCTGCTGCACCTAGCGCTGCCGCCTCCGATGGTCCTCCTGCAGCAGCAGCAGCAACCTGCACCCCCACCCCCACCGCTGAACTCCACTGCCTCCCACCTGCTGTATAGACAGCAAGACGCCGCAAAGCCGGTAGCCGCAGCAACGGCGGGAGCTGCCGATCCTCCCCTAGGCGAAGAAGGCGCCAGCCGGCTGTACGGCGAGAGTCTTGGGCGCAGGGTATTCACCAGTCCCCTCGTTGTAGGGGGCTGCGTGTACAGCGCAGCAGGGCCGCTGCAGAGGCAGAAGCAGCAATTTGCGCCTCGAAAGCCGCAGTTGCAGCTGCACGAGCAGGTCCTGTTGCAGCTACAGTTGCAGCTGCAACATGACTCGCCACTGGTGTGGCTGGAAAAGCCGGAGGGGAACGATATCAGGGGTGTTTTGCACCAGACACGCCGCCACAGTGAAGGCAGCTACGGCAGCAGCAGCTGTGGCAGCCGCAGCTACAGCAGGCGCAGCTACAGCTACAGGTGCGGCAGCTACTGCAGCGGCGCAGCTATAGGAGCGCCGATAGCAGAGGATCTGGTGGCAACTGCAGCAGCTGAGATGGCTGGGATGGCCCTGTCTGCACCGGAGGCGTTACCTGCAACGGCTGCTTCAGAATGGGCAGCAGCAGCAGCAGCAGCAGCAGCAGCAGGACCTGGTTCGTCAGCAGAAACTTGTGGGGAAGCGAGTGTATTGCCTGCTGCAGAGCTCGAGAAGGGGTTTGCAGAAGCTGATGAACGGATCCTGCCGCTAGAAAGCGGAGAAGCAGCCAAAGCGGAAGCAGAAGGATCGCAGGATAATTCATGTGCCTCTCTGGCTGCCGTTGCAGTTGAATTGTCAGTACGCAACGAGGACGCTGCTGTTGCTTGTCCATTTGAGCATCCCAGCAGCAGCAACAGCAGCAGCAGCTGTTGCTGCAACAACAACGGCAGCGGCGTACAATGCAAAAAGAATAGCAGTCACGATAGCAGTGGCATGAGGAACGAGGAATCGAATGAGTTAGTGGAGAGTGGTAGCGGCAGTTGCAGGGAGAGCCGTGTATCAAGTTCCTCGACAGCCGGTTGGGATCCTGTCTGGGCACGGCACCTCAAGAGCAGCAGTGACACAGGCAGCAGCAGCAGCAGCAAGGAGATTGAGGACAGATTAGCAGAGGCCCTTGGCATAGCGCCGCATCCTCGTGGGCACCAACACAGCAGCACCATTAGCAGCCGCAGTGTGGCGGCAGGGGATATGGCGGCTGCTGCGGCTGCGAAATTGTTGTTAGCGGCGGGGTATGATGTCTCGGAAGGCAGCAGCATGACGGGCAGCCGCAGACCGCATGCTGGGGACGGAGCATCTCCGATATCGACGGCAGCGACACCGCAGCCTCTTGGTGGAGATGTGTCTGTCTGCATGACCGACTCGGAAGATTCTGCAGCAACAAAATTTGCAGCCCTCGCGGCCAAAGCAGGAGGGCCTTCTGCTACTGCCGCTGCTGGGTGTCGACGACTTCCAGCTTCTCCAGATGGAGGCAGCAGCACGCGCTGCAGCGTGTCAGAGGATTCAGGAGCAGACCTTGCCCATGCGCGCAGTGGCATCCGCAGCGAAAAGCGGGAAAGTGTTGGTGCTTCACAAGTTTTTGGAGTGGCACGTCATGAGGGCCTTCCAGGTCCGTGCTCGCCGCTCTCTGCCTCAGTTCCCCCACCGTTGGGAATGCCCTGCTGCTGCTGCAGTGCCTTGCAGCAGCAAGTGCGAACAGGCGAAGGCGCAGGCAGTGGGAGGTGTCATGAGTGCCTCTTGGACTGCTACGAAGTTGATGAATTCCTCACACCTTCGCTGAGCCTCCTGCAGCATAGATCTGGCGCTGCTGCACGTTTTTCCGATACACCCACGGGACACACACTTACCGTTCCCAACAACACGCAGGAAGCCGCCTGAACGGTAGATGGAAAAGTGGCAGCAAACTTGCAAATGCCGCACGCACGTCGGGAATAAAGTGTCTACACGTGGGAGCAGCAGCAGCAGCAGCTGGGCAGCGAGAACGGCAGAAATACCGCGGTTGCAGCCACTGAGCCAGGATTTTATACGTATTGCGTCGACGCCCCCTTGTCCATTTCTCTTTTCGTGACGGACCCCGCGCATATCTTTATCCCAAGTTACCCGTTGATACACGGCGGCTGTATTCTTGCCCTCCGTATGTTGCCTGCTGGCACTGCGGGGACGCCTCGCTTCTTTTTCGTTTCTCCCAGGTGTGGTTTCGCCTTCCGAGTTTATCTATTTCGGTGTTTTCTTAGTCACAGGTGTGGGGGGCAACGGCAGAATTAGCCGTCGGAGCGGCAGCAGCCGCGTCTGGGGGTTTGTAGTAGCCTGTTGTAGTCCTCCGCGTATATCTGAACCAGTCCACACGTTGTGCCCTCACTTGAATGTCCAGTGTTGTTTCGGCGAGGACTGCCAGGTTTGTTTGTCCAAGGACATTAAAGCTGCTACTGATGCAGCGGCAGCTCCCTTTTGCAGGAGCAGCACGGGCGCGCATTTTGTTGTCCAAATAGAGGGGGAATGGGGTAGCAATATGAGGTATTCCGGAGTTCTCCTTGTTTCCAGTGACGCTCAGTGAGAATCTGCTAGTTCCGAGGATTGGACTGACACTGTAGAATTTGACAGTGGCCGCAGCTGTTTTGCTGCTGCGGTGGCACGTTCACTTTCCTGGAGATCCGGAACGACTGCAGCAAGTGCAAGTGGAGGATGGTAACACGGTGGGGTGGAGCACCTGTGCAGCTGATGGGAGCACGTAGACAGGGAGTGAGCAAAGAATAAACAAGGCAGCACTTAGTGGCGCTGCCGTAGTAGACTACCAAGATATCGTGTCTGTGGGGAGCTAAGGCGGGTGGAGCCGCGGCGCAAGTTCAACATGGTACTGCCGAGGCGTTATAACGGATAAACATAGTCAGTGGCGATGACGCGGGGGAGGCCAAGCGTTAGTGTTAGGCCTTTTAAATCTCTTGAACGAGAATGAGCTAAAAGTAGGTAGGGGCGGAAAAGGGTGTCCTGGGAGACCCTCTTGCGACTTTGGCGTGTGCAGCGACGGGAGCAGTGGCAGGCAGCGGTGCACATCCAGGACAGCGCTGAATCTTCCAGGTACAAATGGATCTACTTATGTAAACCCCTAGGTTATCTGTCTGGCTCCTTTCGAATAGATCGGCCTTCGCAGAGGGTCCTGCTGTGGAGACTGACACGCTCTCAGCTGCTCCGGAGGTCTTTGGGTTTTTGAATTGTTAGGACAAGGGTATCCAGGAGTCTTCTTCTATCTCGGAAGGGGTTGTGCCCAGGGGAAAAGACATGGACCGAGGCCAGTCGGATTGAACTCTGGCCTTTCTAGTGAGTAGGGCAAATATGGCGAGAATAATTGGCTTCCGTGATCATGAAAGCTTTGCATATCGACTCACGGAAAGCTCAGCTAACAGATTTTCAGCCTGTCGACTTCGTGTTTGAGTCTCCTCTGCGTTTGAATGTGTCACATTTTCGTCTTGCATGTAGTGTGAAAGTGAGTACCCATTGAAAAGCCAAGGCGCGTACTGTGTATCTTCATGGCATACGTCGCAATTAAGCCATTCGGAAAGACTAAGGTGTAGGCCAAGGAGACATCCCATTCCGTGGTTGGGTCTCTTCCGATGAAGAGTCACTTTGCAGACAGCCCAGGTCCTTGGAAACCTAGGGCCATCGCGAGTAATGCAATTCCCTTTCCCGGATCTCTAGCCATTCATTGCTAAATTCTGCACGCACTACGTCAATTGCAAGGTCAGCAACAGCGTAGACACATGGCATTTCAGCCACGGTGGCCTATCTAACCAGTGGACTCTCGAGCGAGCGTGCAGGGGGCACACCACGGCATCCACACACACTTGCCCTATCCATTTTAGAGATTGGTGCCGTCTTTTGAGGGCTTCCCAGAGAGATGTGCTGAGCTCACGCTTTTGGACCGCTGCTGGCGCTGCTCGATGATCACAAAGGCAGCAGCGCGATTGCGCCTTTATTTGGTGTCCACAAAGACGGCTCATAGGGGTGTCGTAGACAGCGTTCAGGAGAACTAAGCTCGCCTTCTTGCTAAGAATTTATAAATCTAGGCGGAAGGCTCCACTTGAGGAATAAGGGGAACCGCTAGAGATCCTACGGCGCCAATCCCCCTAATAATCTAGGAATATGTATAATTTAGGAGCTACAGTCTCCTGTACTCCGTGTCGAGCCTCACTGCGCTGCATATCACAAGATTGCCGTCCACTGTCCTAGACGGCAGCCATTTTTATGTAGTTGCTGGAGCCACTGTGATACTGATTGTGCCTCCTCGACTGCTTGCTCTGGCTGATGTATGTTGCACGGCTGCAATTCATTTTCAGGAGAACTGTTGCTCTAAACGATGCTGCTGATGCCTCGCCCCTTGGTGGCTTTCGCTGTGCTTTTGCTGGTAGTTATGTGGTGGTGCTTCGGCTGGTGCTGCTCTCGATGGGCTGTGTTGTCGCCGGAGCCAGCTACAGTTACTGCCGCTACTTTTTCATGCTTGTGCGATAGCAGATAAGGCCATAATCTAACAGCGCACGTACTTTGAGACACTGTAGTGCAGTTGCAGTTGAATCACTGATGGCAGCCACTGTAGCTGGTGGCTGTGTGATGGAGGTGCGCACAGCAAGCTTTTTTGCCAGGGAGGCTCTTTATGGCTTTGTGGTAGCAATTCAGAGGATCAACTGAGACTCTTAAAATCGCTTCAACAGCCTCTACTTTTTGCTCAATCTTAGTGTACGCCCTTCGAGAGCGGCAGGTCTTCCAGGTTACCTAGACGACTAGTTGCTGCTTTGGTTGCTGAAAGCAGGTTCGTAGCAGCTACAGTAGCTACCATCAGTAATTCAACCGCCGCTGTACTGCAGTGTTACAAAGTACGTGCGTTTTTACATTGTGGCACTATCCGCTACTGCGGACAACGTGTCAGTAGCGGCTGCGGCTTTCTGGGGGTGCCTCAGTCTTCCGTTCAGCGTTGCAGGTGTGATGTTTTTTAGCGCCCCATCGCTGCTTATATTTCTGTCTTCGCACCTCCGAATCATCATTAGTGGCTCTCTCTCCCCTGCCCTCTACCTCATTTTTCAAGCGTGGTGTCTGCATTTCTATCTGATACTGTATACCACGGTGCAAACAGCATCTGACCATGCCTTAGGGCCACCTTTCAGTGACGGATGCAGCAGCTTTTATTGCAGCCATTCTCCTGCATGCACTTTCTCGGCAGTGGTCGACTCACGCAACAGACTGTTTAAGTGAGGCAGCAACAAAGTACTCCCATTCTGTTTACTTCCTGTCTCTCCTTGCGTGGAATAATGCTCTTCCTTTTCGCTCAATAAAGCTGCCGCTCCCGCCATTGCTGCGTTCCTTCGAGGTTTGAAGCATCCATTGCGACGTAGTAGCACCAGCTGATAGAATTCAGGGAGTCTCGTGGGGGTCCCCCCCCTTAACTGGGGAGCGTCTATGGCTCTGTAGAGACTCCCTCACGGCCTCATCGGTGCTCTTAGAGCCTGTTTTTGAGGGCCTATGGGTTGGCCAGAGCTGAAAAGGGCAAGGCCACCCTCAGACCTGTATTAGACAGGCCTCTCGGCTGCTCGCACGCCTGTGCGTGAGGGGCTTCGATAAAAGTCTGAAGCTACGGCTTTTCGCTCAGCAGAGGCAAGCTGCCACAGCTAAATAGTAGCATTTTCCCAAAGAAAGAGATCTAGATTTACTTGCCTACGCTGCACTGTAAAACCCTAGGAGACTCGCCGTTGCAGGTAGTTGCTCCAGCAGCACCAGCAGAAGGAGCAAGGCGATTGCTGCATCTACGGCATTAGTAGCTGTCATGGACCCCTCCCGTTACAGAGGCTCTTGCAGTGCAAGTCTTTCCCCCGTGCCAAACTAAGGCTGCTGCAGTCACTTGTGTTGCTGCTGCGGAGGCAGCAGCAACAGTCGCTCGAGACACCACAAAAAAACACTGGCTCATGGACACCTCTCCTTCCCCTCTTGGGCGTCCTGGCTAAGCTTGACTCCTGTCTGGAGAAGACAGTAGGGCAGAGGGACACCAGTACGCTGTCGGGGGACTTAGTAGGCAGAGGGTTTCGAGCAGCAAAAAAGCAAACCTCTACCGCAGCCTGCTGAAAGGAGGAGCAAAGAAGCAGCAGTACTAGATCGGGGGCAAGTTACTGCCCCGGAAACAGCGTTTAACTGGAAAATGCTCCCTTTGAGTGGAGAGCCGAGCCTCTGCAGTCTCGCGCCCCTCTGCCAGAGACGCCGCTTCCCCCAACGACTGTTGGGGCTAGTGCATCCCAGGAAGCAATGGAACGAGACAGACATCGCAACACACTGACATGCTGCCCAACTCCCGCCACCCCCGTAGGCTGCTTGCCCACAAAAACAGCAGCGGATTGCCCACAGCAGCTCCACTTCGTGTGGCCTCATTTAATGCTACAGCGCGAAAGCTTTCTGGACCCTCCCTTCCCGGCAGGGGGACCGACAAGCGTGGAATATTCTGCAACCCCGGTGATGGCCAAGGCCGCAACTGCAGCCGGCAAAGGCCCTAGTTCGCTGCTGCTCGATATCTAGAAGGAATCTACATGCGCCAGCACACGCAGAACCGGCGAACGAACACCGGCAGCAGCAACTCTTTCCGACGAACGTCGGAATTTCTCGTGCCTGGGGTGCTAAGGAGGGGGATGTCTCCTGCTGTTGCCCCAACAGCACAGGCGCTTTGCAGTCTGAACTAAAAACTGGAGTTTGACGTTCCACTAACTACGTGGCGGCCTGCAAGATGAGAGGAGTCTCCAAAAAAGCATACCTAACTCCGCGTCCCTCAGGAGGGCCTCCAGGGGGCCCCCACCGCGGGTAGGAGCCAGGCTCCAGAAGGGGCCCCACTACGCGCACGGTCAGAGAGACCGCCATACCTAGAATTCCCACAGAGTCAGACACCACCAGCCTTCTGTGTCCTTGCTGCGCATGCAGCACCGTGCAGGTTTGGCACTCTTACAAAATGCATGCGGCCCTCAACCCCCTCTGGCGACTGCTTTGCACGAGGCAAGTCCCTGCAGTGTAAACCCACGTTCCCACTGCGAGGCCAGGCCCTCCAGGGAGGCTGCCGACACTTTAGCGACCTCCCCAGCTCCCGTTCCTGGAAACGCCCTTCCCGTCGCCTCCGAAAGAAGCCGTGGAGAAGGCTCAGCTGACTAGCGCAAGGCGACGTCCACAACCGTCAAGGGGCCCATGAGGAATAGGCAGGGCCCCTAGGATTGGGCCTTGCCCGCGCCGCCTCGTCGTGAAGCGAGGCCTCCTGAAGATTGGGCGTCCCCCCCTGCAGATGCGGATTCAGGGGAAAGAGGACGCGCGAGACGAGAGATAGCGGGAAATCTCCGATCGTGCTGGTCTGCCTGCTTGGTTGCTGCTTTTCTCGTCGGAGCACGGCGAGCAGCGGCTCCTGAATGTGCTCTACGCAGTTGACTTGTTCTGGTGTTTTCTGAGCAGTTGCAGTAGTCAGGGCAGCAGCAGCGGCCGTGGCCATCAGCTGCATCGCTTGCTTTGCCGCTGAAGACGGCGCTTTCGCCTTGTTATCTGCACATAGACGCGGAAGCGCAAAAGCATCAGCGGCCATTCGGCTCGCACGAGACAAGGAGCGTTGCATGCCTACGTACGAGTCATAGAGAGAGAGAGACACGGTTGGCGGGTTAAGGGCAGCGTGGTGGAGAGCGTGTGTGTGTGTGTGTGAGAGAGAGAGAGAGAGAGACAGAAGCCCTTGAAAGTTCTAGAAAGCAAGGCCTCAAGCAGAGAAGCGCAAGGAGGGGAGAAATTGGCAGGGGTCAGGTGCTCAGCGGAAGCCAGGGTCCTAAGGGCGAAGATCAGTCAACAAAATGCTGCGGGGAAGTATACAGCTGCCTCGCACAGGCAAGAGCGAAAGGATACTGAGCGAGCGAAGGGAAGGGAAAACTACTGAGCGAGTGAAGGGAAGGGAAAACTACTGAGCGAGCGAAGGGAAGGGAAAACACGAGAAAGCGCTGGAGGGCCAATGGGGGTGGCATGCATGCGACGGACCTGTGAACTGGCGAGGGTCGTTGGGGGGGGGGGAGTACAGCATGTTGATGAAAACAGAGCTGAAGAAGACAAGGGCCAAGACCACTAGCAGCAAAACCGGGAGTGCAAGTGCCCAGTATCTGAGTGAAGAGATCGACACATTGAAACGGATGGCAGGATGGAGGGATGGCAAGAGGAAGATATTCGCAGACGCGAAAGCACAAAGTGCGCATTTCACGAGGAGGCAGAAGAACGCTGAGGGGAGATGCATGACACGCTGCTGCATGGCAGGGTGGGGAGAGGGAGAGAAAAGGCCACTTCTTGGCGGGGTGACGGAATTAGATGGCGCTGTAAGCAGTCATAATCTGCCGCGGCCAGCATGGAAGCACAGCAGAGAGCCTCTGATCCGTAGTTTTAAAATGTGCCCCTACTCATCGATCGCATACGGAGAGAAGCCCGCTTCTCACGCGCTGCCGTACTCCCAGTCCATTAAGTAAATACAGACATATGCATACAACGCATAGATGTACATATATATGTATAGAGGTATGTATGTATGTATGTGGTTGTTCGTGCGTGCATGACTGCATATGTATTTTTAGTGTATATCTGCAGAAGGAAGCGTATGTGACGTAACATATGTCTGGGAATGCGGGGGAAAAGGCCAGAAAAGGAAAGGGTAGGAGCGAAGAGCCGGTCCTGCATTTCCCCCTTTTTTTCAGAAGAAGTTTCGAACATCCACCAGTCTAAGGTTAGTCGCCGGTGTTTGCCTCAGCCTGCCCTTGCCCGTGTGAGTTGCCTTCCCTGGTGCGCCCTAATGCAACTAAAACTCGCAAAGCAGATTTCCCTTTGCAGACAGCCTTCTCAGAGAAGGCCTCTCCCTCTGATGCACGGTCCCCACGTGCGTCACGATTGCTCGCAGTGCCTAGGAACGCACCGGTCCGGGAAGTAGCTGATTCCAACACTGTTGAGCTGCTCGGGGGTGGCAAGGGCCCAGCAGCAGTACGCGAAGAAGGCCGCGAAAGACGCCAACCAGCCAACGAATCCGTTGACTTCAGCAGAGGTGGAGTCTCCCATTGTCTGGTGCGAGGCAGCGATAATGGTGAGACGAAGAAGAAAAAGACACGCGGACTGCGCCTCAGAAGGCCCAAGCAAGACTCCTCTGGTGTAAGCAAGCGGTGGTGAGCGTTCAGGGGATGCAGGGAGTGCAACGCGATCTTGCGCTTAGGTGGCCTCGAATGTTTCCTGTCCAGATGGCTCGTCAGCAGCACGCAGAGGAGAGAAGAGATACAGCGACACACACATACACACAAGCGCATGCGCGCTTCCCGCGGCTGCTTGCAGGGATCTAGGCGAACACACCGGTGTGGGGGCGACAGCAACAGAGTAATGCCAGCCAGAAGACTTCGGGGTTTTTCTCAGAGCTACATGCCGGAAGCCAAGTCAAACATGCACATGTACATACATCAACCCCCCAGTGCACCTCCGGCTGCGTGCGAAGGCTCCTCTCTCGCGGGGAACGTCCACACGTCCCTATACAGCTTGCTTGAGGAGCTTGGCTACGCGGCGAATCTATCAGGGTGTCTGTCCAGAGCAGGGAGCCTCTCTGCGAAGTCCCCATGCGCTTGTCTACGCTGGAGAGCTCTGCGCGCGCGGCAGTGGCTAGGCCGCCAGCGAGACTGCTTCAAGCCGCGCGCATGCCTCTAATAGAACGCAGACGGGCAGCATTTCGGCACTCTAAGACCAGCTGGAGAAGCGTGATGAGCGCGCGGAAACGGTCATGCGCTGTGCTGCTGCTGCTGCAAACGCGAGGGTTCCGCGCGTCTGAAGCGCGAGGCAGAAAGATGCCGACGGCAGGAATCGCTAAACCGGGAATAAGTAGACTGCACAACGAATGAAATAAGGCGCAAAACGATGAGGGAAGGGCGTAGAATCGCGTGCTAGCCGTGAGGGGGGGTCTGCAGCTGCAGACCGCCATCGCCTCGTGATGAGTCGCCGAGAGCTTCCGCCTGCTTCTGTTGCAGGAAGTACCGGGGAAGCACGTGTCTTGTGTTTGCGACTCATATGCGCGTTCTTCCGGATTTAGATGTGTCAAAAAACTCCATTTCAAAGGAAGAAGGAGATGTCGGCCCCTGCAGCGGCAGGAGCTGACGGCACCTCAGCAGTCGAGGGAGACAGCGTCTCGCAAGCTGCTGCAGGAACCCAGTCCTTTCCTCCTCCCCCTCCCCAGATCAAGGAAATGGCAGAATCCCAGGAACGAGGTGCGTCCAGCTTCTCCTGCCGTCTGACCTGCGGCTTGCGCATGCTCTGGGACTGAAGGCATCTGTCGAATGCGCTGCCTCTCGAGCTGGCGTTCTGCAGGAGGGCAACAGCAGCAGCAGCGGCAACAGCAAAAGAACGGGTTGCTGTCTGCCAACTTTCAAAAGCTAATAGCGCGAGAGCGTGCACTGCAGCCACACAGACACATACACATACATACACACAAACACGTTCGGCGCAAGAGGGAGCGTCAAGTTCGACGCAAAAGCAGTGATGGTGGCTGCTGTGCATGAAGGCATGTGACTTCCTGCTCTTGCAGCACATGCGGTCGAGGTGTCTGAACACCGCAACGCCTTCCAGGGATATTCAGAAAATACCCGTGTGCACAAAACTCTATAGAGGCTCGATTTCAGGCTAGACTGCTATAAATATTTGCTACTGCTACAGCACTGCCGGAATTTCTCTGGCCGCGTGTGATGGGCCGTGTGCAGAGGATGCGGAGAAGTTGGCGGCTGCCATGCACATGAAGACTAAGGGCAACGAGCTGTGGTCAAAAGTGCGACCCACCTGCTCCTGTGGACCACAACTTATGCCTCTGTTTCCTGTAGAGCGCACTCTGCTTCTTTACACGTGCCTGTCATGCAGCAGCAGCAGCTGCTGCAAGGCTTTAGTCTTGTGTGTATTTTGTCTGTTTGTATGGACCAGTTCATTTACATGTGCATGTATGTGTGCTTTGGGTGTGAAGGGCGATGATGCGGGCGCTGTGAAGGAATGGCAGGACGCTTTAAAGGCTTGCTTCTCTCTTGCATGCCGCGGTGAGTCTCTTTGCTGCATCGTGTGCTGCGTTCCTCTACTGCGTCTGTGCACTCGTGAAGGTTTATCGTTTCCTCAGCGTCCACACCTCCCAACCCTGCTCTTCCACTTGGCGGGAAGCGTGAGGCCTGCCCGCTCCGACCTTGCCTTTTTAGCAACGTCTTGCTTTTGACGAATGCACGACATGCATGCTCTGTTCTCAAATTGCCTGTCGCTTCCTGTGGTGTAGTGACGGTATGTGCGGGTGTATGTATGCATGTAGGTATGTATGTGTGTGTGTGTGTTTGCATGCATCTTGAAGGGCCTTTCGTGAGCGGGGAGGTGCTATCTCTTGAGCTGTCTGTACAGCTGAACCTGGCGGCTGCGGCCCTCAAGGCCGGCGAGGGCCATGCAGCCATCCGCCACTGCAGCAGAGCGCTACAGCTCAAGCCTAAACATCCAAAAGCCCTCTACCGCTTAGCCAAGGCGCACCTCCTCCTTAATGTACTTTTTTGCTGCTGCTTCTGCCGCTATTTCCGGTGTTGTTTTGGGAAGGGTGCAATAGCAGCACTTGCGTCTCTTGCTTGGTTGGACAAGGCTTCCTGCGGAGGCCCTGAAGACATTCGGACAGCTGTTGTTGTTTTTTTTACTTTCAGGAGTTCGATGAGGCGTCAGCAGCAGCGGCAGCACTGCTCGAGGTGGAGAGCGGGGATGTAGGCGCAGTATCGCTCCAGCAGCAAATTCGACGGGAGGCCGACTTGCACAAGCGGCAAGAGAAGAGGCTGCTTCAGAAGATGATGGGCCGGTCAGTTCATAGCGATAAGGGAAGGGACACCAACAGTAACAGCAGCAACACCAACAGCAACAGTAACAGCAGCAACAGCAACAGTAACAGCAGCAACAGCAACAGTTACAGCAGCAACAGCAACAGTAACAGCAGTAACAGCAACAGTAACAGCAGTAACAGCAACAGTAACAGCAGCAACAGTAATGGCAGCAACAGTAATAGCAGCAACAGTAATAGCAGCGGCAATAATTTTATATGGGAAGTCAAATGGAATGACAGTGATAGGGATGATGCTCTCTGGCGTAGGCCGCACTCATTGGAATACCTTTCTGAAGAGTGCAACTTCCCCTTAACTCGCTCTCTCCCCCTAACTCTCCTCTTTTCACTACAGGAGCTACAGCAGCTGCAGCAGCAAGGGCAGATGCTGCCGAACCTAAGGAAGGAATTATTGTGTCTGCACGTGCTGGGGGCATCAGCGCAGCACGAGGTGAGCTGTCGATACACCGCAATCCTGGAGCGATGGCCAGAGGTCAAAACACTAATTCTGCTCTTCATCGGCTTCCAAACGAAAGGTCCGAATCCAACCAAATTTGAAGGTTAGTGGATTTCTCCTGCTGCTGCTGCTGGCGGGCCGGCATGCGTACGTTCCCTGTTGCTCCCCTGTCCGATCTGCTGCTTCTGCTGGTCCCTGACTAAGCGTTGCTGCTTATGCTTTTACTGCTGCTCCTTTTGTACTACTTCTGTTGCTGCTTCTCCTTTTGCTACTACTTCTGCTGCTGCAGAGGATTTGGTGGAGGGAGAGCTGTCTTCTCCGCATTACGTGAAGCTAGAAGGCAGAGAGCAGGTGGCCGTCTTCTTCAAGGGCACCTACGCCCAGCTAGCACAGGTGCTCGACGTTGCTGCTTGGGGGAGTCTCCCTGCTGCTGTTGCTGCCAGAGCAGCGTGTGCATGCTGCTCTTCCATCTTTGCCGAGTCGTTTTGCTGCTGGGCAAAAAAATGCCTCGGCCTCGGAAGATTACTTTTTTCTCCCGCATTTCCCCGTTTGCGTCTCTTTCAGAGGGTGCCTGGCATTCTTTCGAACTCCGAATGCACATTCTACCCCCATCTGGCGCTCTACAGTACTCTGGGTTCCATACAGAGTGTGCCAGGGGGCCCCCCTACGGCCCCTCAAGAGGGCCCCCCAAGATCCCCCAGACCCCTCTCCGGCGAAACGCTGGAAGACTTGCGGCTCCTTATTCAAAACAACATTGTGGGTCTGTTGCATTGCATGCTGTTCGTCCTCTGGGCCTTTCTGCCTCTAGACGTGTACGGCAAGCTCGCTTATGACATTCCCTCGCGTCTTGTTGTTGTTACTGCTGCCGTCTACTAATACTTACCTTCACGCTCTTCCGCCCCAGTACCCCTGCAGTTTCTCGCTGCTTTTACTACTCCGCGCGCGAGGAGCACCCTTTTCTTGTTCTTTGCGCGTGGCATCGCGTGAAGTCTGTGCCTGCTGCAACGTTTGAACTCCCTGTTTGACTGCTGTGGCATCTGCTCTCTTTGTGTCTGCCTACTCTCTCCGCGCTTCACGCTGCGTTCAGCTGACAGTTGTTTCTGAAAGCGCCATGTGTACGGTCGATGACCTTAGTGCCTACGCTTCAGCAGCAGCCCCAGCAGCAGCATCCAGCAGTAGAGGGGAAGCAGCAGTCAGGCAGCTAGGCGGCCGGCTGCTGCTCTCTCAAAGACGCAGCAGGTTCCCGCTGCTGTTGCACGTCCCCTCAGCAGCAGAAGCTGCTAGAGCAGCACGCTTTGCTGCACGAAATGCGGCTGCTGCCGCAGATTCTGCAGCAGCAGCAGCAGAAAGGGCCAAGGGCAAAGCGTCCCCAGAAGCTGTGGCAGCAGCAGAAGCAGCTGCCCAAAAGGCAGCCGCAGAGAGTGCTGCCGCTGCTGTTGCCGCTGAGGTTGCTGAGGCAGCTGCAGATGCAGCAGCAAAGTCAGGCATTCAAGAGCACACAGCGTGCGCCAAACATGCCAGTAAGCAAATCTTTTTTAGAAGACGAATTTTGCGCCCTTTCACATCCCACTTGCTAAACCTTTGCATGCGCATCACAGCGTATATCGCTAAGGCTGCGTCCGTTATGCTGGTGATGTGCTGCTGCAGGCGTTTTTGCGTTTATGGGTCGTGCATAACCTCGCAGTTGTTGCGCCAGAACCGCGGTGCGGGGAGAAGCGTAGTATTCCGTGCGTGAACTCATAGGTTTGCTGCTTTTTCTGTTTCTGCTGCGGCGGCTGCTACAATTGATGCTGCATCGCCGCTTGTGAGCGCACCTTGTCATGAAAGGAGGGCGTACAAGCTAGCAGAAGTGAGGCGTGAAGAAAGGGCAGCCTTAAAGGGAGAAGCCAAATGGCAGTGAGGCTTGCAGAGGGGGGTGGCTGCATGTTAGAGGAAAACGGACAGTATGCCGGAGGTAGACATACAGAGGGACAGGGTATGGGGGAGGGCCATGCCAAACAGAGAATGAAAAGTAGAGTCAGAAGCAGGGGGCGACTGAGGAAACGTCGAGGCAGAAGTAGGAACATTTTAGCAGGATACAGGGAAGAAGAGAGTAAGATGCAGGCGCACCCGTGCTTGAAGGGTCACTACCTCTAGTAAGTTGCATTAGGGACAAAACGTAGCGAAACTACCTAGGGGGTGCATCTTGTATTTGTCGCATCCCACTTCCTGATACTAATCACTACCCGCTAAGATCTATAGAACACATGAAGGTTGAACAAGAGATGGCCCTTGCCTTTTTAGATGATACATTCGAGTACTGTCAGCTTCCCTGTTCAGGCATTTCAGACGGCCTTTAAATCATTTTTAGGGCGGGATTGCAAGTACACGGCCCCTTGGGGAGCTTTCTTTTTCAAAGGTTCAATGCAGGCCACGAAAAGGTGTTACCACTCCACTGCTGTGTTAGTGGTAAACCCCTATCTATCTATAATTGCCCACATTTGGAAGCGGGGGGAAAACAAGAGGGAGATTTTACCGTAGGCAAAATACCCATATATTCATCTGCCTGTGAGGACTTGCGATTCGTATATGGGCACCATGTACTTTATGTTGATGAAAGCGTCTGGTCCCCCCGTCTCCTCCAGCATCTTGAGAGTCTCCTCAATTAGCACTGCCACATCTTCCCTGCGCCATCAAAAGCCGCATCACCATCAGGCAATGCCTCCTGCAGGTGCATTTGGCATTGCAGGTCTTAGGAAGCATCTCACTGACGGCGTGGCATGGAGCGCAATGCAGCACAGACACGAAACGCATGCCGAGACAGAAGCTCGCTAAGTTCAGGTAGACGTGGCTTCTAGGGAACAGCGGATGTGACCTTCGTCTCTGGGCGTAGTCAATTCCGCTTCCCAGGTTTTTCCTTTTGGAGATAAAGAGGTTGAAACAGGGCAGTAGCTGGCGGTAGTATGGCACCAAGGCCTCTCCTGCCTGGGGTCCTGCGGAGAACGTCAAGAGCACTCTTGAACGGTCCGCGGATCGCATGTATTTTTTCGTGGCATAAGGGAGCAGTGGCGGTGTCTGATGGCTTTGGGATTTCGCGTGCGGTCTGCTATGGATGGGCACCTATGGACTTTCTTCTACGAGTCTTCTAAAGAGTTGCTATGGGATTCCGAGGAATACGGGCAGCAGCGACCTCGCAGGGAGCAGGCCCTCACCTGTGATGAGAAGCTTTTGGATGACTTTGAGGGTTGTCGCCATTACCTGCGGTGACTCGCAAGTCCGGCGTCTTTTGGAACACACTCAAAGGGATGCAGAGGGGCGAGGGTAGGAGAGTCAAAAGACGCGACAGATGTTTCAAAGGGAAGGAAACGGACGGCCTTAGGAGGCAGAAGAAGATGCGGAAAGGCACAAAGCAGCTAGAACCACAACAGCAGGGGACGCTGTAGAAAACAAGGCGGAGCAAGAAGCAACGAAGCTGCTAGACAAGCACGAGGCGGGAGATACTGAAACTGGAGAAGCAGGAGGGCAGAACGTAGGTAGCGGCAGTGCAGAAACCTAGATGAAGCTCGCCTCCTGGTCTCGGGTATTTAAAGCTTTCTTAAGGGGAATGATCAGTTGGGGAATGACAGCCACGGCCTTCTTCCCGTTCGCCTCAAGTAAATCGTGAGTCTGTAGTACAGTATTTCAACTTGCACACCATCAGCATCGCCGAGACTCCCAGCCGCTTCCTACACAGGGTGGTCAATACTGTACGCGGGACCCTCTAGGAAAGTCGGTGTCTCGCTGGCTCGTGGAATAGAGAATTTGCTGATTGATCGTGAAGCAAGCTCGCAGGTAACCACGCAAGTCAGGAAACCGACAGTTGTACTGCTGCCTGTCTGCACGGTTGGCTGGCCGAGACCAAATACGGCTAGACCAGAGCCATTGTTACGAGCTTGCTAGGCGTTTTCTACAAGGACTAGCATATTATCACCGAGCGAGAGAACACGATAGTGATTTGAGGAGCTTGATGGCCAGCTGAGACTTTCTAAGCCTCCCAGCTAATTGCTCATGTGAAAAGGGCGTTACAGGTCTCTGCGTGTTAATTTTAGGTAGGCTCCATATACACAGCTTTCTATTTGTTTGGTTTGTTGTGTGGTTCATGCGTAGCTAGCTAGAGCATGACAATACCCCCTGGATGGCGAGAATCCTATAGGGGTCGTCCTTTTCCCTAATTCCATCGCAGAATATGGGAAGGAGCCAATGCAAATCCACGGAGGAAGGAGATACTGCCCAAGCAACCTTGTTAGCTGCAATCGAAGCTACAACAGACACTTCGCGAGATGTACACACACAAAACCGCTTTTCAAGTCGAAGAGAATTAGACGGCGCTAGACCTATATGCAAGCCAACCCAGCGTCACGAAAAGAGGTAGCGAAAGACAGGCCACGAAGGCAAAGGGCGAAAGAACGATAACAATAGTGTGACCGATAGGGAAGGCGCGGAGGAAGAGAGAGAGGGATGAAAGGCGAACCCGATCCTGAATGGCTGAGGGAAACGGGGATGTCTCCTCTATCGTAATACATCCGGAAGAGGCTTGGCTCGATTGGGCGGCGCTTGAAAGCTCCTGAGACGTAAAGGCTCCAGGCGAGAGGAACATATACAAATGTATGAAGAGGAAGAGCAGGAGATAGAGATGAAGAGACAGGAGGACGAGAAAGAATGTGAACAACTCAAAAGACAATACCGCAGACGCGATAGACACCGGGGATTTGAGCAAGAGAGCAGCGATGATGCCCTGCTTAGAGGCACTGGTGCTAGCAAGATGCCGGAAAGAGCAACGACTGTAAAGAAATGGAGAACAGGCATAATACAGAGGCCACGGGGCCTAGCTGCTATAAGCGCGCATCCCGCTAGGCTGGCGCACAGTAAGTTAGTGCGCGTGGCCCAGAGGGAGACCCATGAGCCAGATGAACAGGGAAAAATACAAGCAGTAGAGCGTACAAGTAACACGCTGTAGCAGAGACTTTATCCGCGGAAGAGACTGTTAACGGGAAAGGAAGAGCCACTGGGAGAAATATATAGGAGGCACGAATGGACTACATGGCAGCGGTGGCTTGCCGCGAAAACAGAGGGAGAATGTGGCGGTTAGGCAGTCAAATATATGGGCATGCATGCCAGTTGAGGCATCGCAGAAGCTAAGCCTGGCAGAGCTACCTGCTTTGGGAGGCAACGGCTGGCTCCTTGCCCATCGTGTCCGGCCAGCCAAATCCTTATAAGTCCCTTCTCCCTCTGCAGTAGCAGCAAAGAAGCCCCAGCAGGAATCAGGACGCTTAATGAGCGGAGCGTCCAACACTGACGTTGCAGGGAGTACAGGAAGGAAAGACAGACAGTTCCTCTGCAAAGCGGCCGAACATTAAGTGCTACGGCCCCATTAAGCAGTGTCCGCAGCGGCAGCATGACTAAGACCCGCAGCAGCACGAGAGGCAGCAGAATCAGAGGCATCCGGAGAGCTAGTGGGAGCAAAGCTATTTGGCTCTGGATGAATTCTTCCTTTAAAGTGGCAAAGGACCTTGAAGCTTGCTACGGGCCGCAGTCTCCCGCTGATTAAAACGTGTGATGGGAGTGATAGAGCCTCCAGCAGACGGCCAGGAATCTTTTTGAGGCCTCGAGTATACAGGAAAGTCTCCAAAAGGAGAGTCCTTGTTTTTTGGGAGTAGCCCCAAGGCCCTCTCGGTTGCTTTGTAAGATTTATTCGTTAACCGACGCATAGCGTCGCTGTACTGCAGCTCACTGCAGTAGCTGAGGGCCCCAGGCGCCATTCCCTTATATCCCCCGATGTACAGACACTGGTACTGCACCTAAAGCACCGCAACCTACTGTAGCGTGCTTGTGCCGGAGTTGGTCTGCTGCTCCGCCGCTACCGCTGTTGGGTATGTTGCTCTTGGCGTAGGGGGGACACGTTAGGTCTCTCTCTTCGAGCATGCCTGATTGGAATCAACTTTTTGTCTTTATTATTACGCATAATAGTGGTTTCCCCCCTTTAGCGACTGCCGCAGCGCTGCCACACCCCCTGTTGCCGCCGCAGCGGCTGTCGCAGCCAGCCCCGCAGGGAGGGGTGCGTCAGCCCCCCTGGAGCAGCCGCAGCAGCAGCCAGGAGGTCTTGGGTGAGGTTCGTGGAGCCTTCCGCCGCACTTTGGAGGCAACAGCCGTTGGTTTTGTTGCTGCAGAGACACTCTATTTGTGGTTGCTAACAGCAGCAGCGGCGGCGGGAAAAGATGGGTCGCGTCATTCGCTGTAAGCCTTTCAGCCCCCCCACACCTCTCTGCCCACAAGGGTTCCCGTACAGCTAAATGCGGAGGATACAGCGGCGCCAAACCTCCAGTGCTTCTTTGATTCGGCTTTGCTCACTCTTGGAAGCCTTCTAGACCACCGAGGGGGCGAGCCCTCGGCGGGAGCGCCTGCGGCAGCGGCTGCAGCGCGGGGACACATTGCGTTCACTGCCGCCGTTGCCGTTCACGCTCCTTCTGCTCGCATCTGTTTTTCCGTGACGCCTTGTGCTTTTTCCCGTCTGCCGTTCCGCATTCCTTGAGCGTGGCCGTGCTGTTGCTCTGTGTTGCCGCTTGCCGCAGCGCAGCGCAAGGGCGCAGGGTCCGTGTTCAAGGCTCATACACACAAGAGGAAGGGGGCTGCAAAGCTTCGAGCTCTCGACTATGCCGAACGCCACGGCTACATCAAAGGTGCGGCGGCGCGACCTACTGCTGAACGGCTGCCTTGCAACTGCTTCATGCCGCATGCCTCATGGAGGGAGGGCACGGCTCCTGTTCCCCACTCCCGTTGTCACGAGCACTGGCCTTTCCCTCCTGCTTTCTGCCTTGTGTGCGCGCAGGGCTTGTCACCTCCATCGAGCATGACCCCGGCAGAGGCGCTCCCCTCGCAGTCGTGGCGTTCCGCGATCCGTACAAGTATCGCCTGAACAAGGAACGCATGCTCGCAGTAGAGGGCCTTCACACTGGCCAGTTCGTGCACTGCGGAAAGAAGGGTAGGCGTCGGCTCGGCATGCCTGGCGTGTCTTTGCGTGCCTCCTCTTGCTCCGTTTTCCCCCCTCCCGCCCCGCTGATTTCCCCTTGCTCTCCCCGAGGCGGCCTGCGGTGTATAGGCGCTCGCCGTTCCGCTTGCACGTCTTTTCCAGGCCTCTTCCTGGCGCGAGCTTCCCTTGCCTGCATCGATGCAGATGGTTCCATGCGCGTGCAAAACGTTCGCAGAGACCCTATGTGTGCCTCCATGCACACGTGCATGTATGTGGAAGATACGTGCGTTGATGTGCTTTTTCTGCCCGTGAGTTCGCTGAGCGCATTCGCGTCGGTATGTGGGCTTATATAGTGTCTATATGTGTATTTTTCGCGCGCCATTGCGTTGCAGCCGAGTTGACCATCGGCAATGTGCTCCCCTTGGGGCGGGTGCCTGAGGGTACGGTTGTGTGTTCTGTGGAGGAGAAGGCTGGAGATAGGGGGTCTATCGCGCGCACATCTGGCACATTCGCAACTGTTGTGGGTAAGTTGGCCCCTGTCAGCAGGGTGGCTGGGAAGGGCTTTGCGTTTGGCGAGATCGCCGGAGAAGGGAGGGAGGGGAGGCTGTGCTGTGTCGTGTCGTGTATAGACACACGCACTCCTCGAGTTGCCCTTCTCGCCTAGACAGGAAGGAGGGCTAGATGGGGGAGACTTTTTTGGCAGTCTTACCTGCACGGTGCGCGTCCCTCTGTCTCTCGATGTACTTCAGGGCATAACGAGGATGCTGGAAAGACTCGTGTGCGTCTGCCTTCCGGAGCGAGAAAGACGCTTCCCTCGAGAGCGCGTTGCATTGTTGGCCTTGTTGCTGGTGGTGGTCGCATTGACAAGCCCCTGCTGAAGGCGGGCACTGCGTATCACAAGTACAAGGTAGGGGGAGATCCCTTTGGTAGCAGCAGGCACTGTTGCTGCTTGTGGCGGGGGTGCTCGTGTGTCTGGTCGAGGGGAGCGGCAGGAGCAGGAGCGCGGAGGGGCCCTCAAGCCTTCTGTGCCGGGTTGGATGTACCATGCAACTTGTTGCGCTTGCGCGCGCAGGCGAAGAGAAACTGCTGGCCTAGAGTGCGTGGTGTTGCTATGAACCCCGTCGAGCATCCCCACGGAGGAGGGAATCACCAGCACATTGGTCATCCCTCCACTGTCTCGCGGAACGCCCCTCCAGGTGGGCAGGAGAGAGCAGCAGGCAGCGTTGCTTCTTCTAGGGGGTTTGGGTGGGGTCGGCTTGTGTGCAGTGCAGTGGGCTTTCACGGCGGACCTTTTGATGTGCGAACTTGCCCCGCGTCTTTTCTTATTTTTCTGCCTGCTTGCTCTGCCGCTTGACGGGGATAGCGCCGCCCCGCGCTCTTCTTGCGCTCTTCCTTCTTGGTGCACAGCTAGCTCACGGATGAGGCTGGCGCTGCTGTCGGCGTGTTGCGCTGCGCAGGCCAGAAGGTGGGTCTTATCGCTGCTCGCCGGACGGGTCTGCTGCGTGGTGGTCGCAAGGCGAAGCTGGCAGGCAAGGACAGTTGAGGATGCGGTGGAGTTGGCGGCTTTCCTGTGCTCTGTATTCCCTGCGCTCTCCTCCCTGCACCTCCCGTGCATGCAAACGCACACACCCATGCTCTGACCACCCCGCCCACCCCCTTGTGGCTGAGCGGGCAAAAGCCTACTTGGGGCTTTCGCTGCGAGTCCTCAAACCAGGGGCCAGAAAGGGGTCTGCAGAGGAGTCTGTCGTTGCCTCGTGCTGCCTCTCGGGGAGATGGGAGAACTTGAAGTACTTTGAGGGCCTCCTCTCCCGTCAGCGGTGGGACGGAGGCAGTCCGTGCAACTTGCCCGCCAAAAAAGTAGTCTCTTCAGCATTGCATTAGCCGCTACCCACTGCTGCTCTAGCCAATAAGTAGGGTGCTGCTCGCAGCGCTGTGGGTTAGGCCAGCGAGGGTCGCAGTAGAAGAGCGAGCTACGTAGGGAGTGCGCTTGAGGGGCAACGCTACACGCGCTATTTCGGAAGAAAGGCTTCACCAGATATCCTGCACTTCCACTGTAGGCAAACTCTCCCGAGGGTGCTCGACACGAGCTGTACACAGACCCCCGGGATTCGAGGTGCATGCGACTGAGAGGGACTCGCAACACTGTTCAGCCTAAGGGCGGCCGTCATCGAGGGGTAGACGACCCTTGCTACGCCGCTTCGCGTGAAAAGTGCAAGAGGCATTCTGCGCACTGTGAAGCGCAAGAGGCACTCTGCGCACTGTGAAGCGCAAGAGGCACTCTGCGCACTGTGAAGCGCAAGAGGCACTCTGCGCACTGTGAAGCGCAAGAGGCACTCTGCGCACTGTGAAGCGCAAGAGGCATTCTGCGCACTGTGAAGCGCAAGAGGCATTCTGCGCACTGTGAAGCGCAAGAGGCACTCTGCGCACTGTGAAGCGCAAGAGGCATTCTGCGCACTGTGAAGCGCAAGAGGCACTCTGCGCACTGTGAAGCGCAAGAGTGAAGCCTGGGGGGTCTTCGCCTCCCGTAGTAGCGGTCTTTCCTCACAACTGACCGGTATTATGTGCGGGGGGGCTTGCAGCAACGCAGCCCGTTTCGCGTGTAGCACGACGTGTGCGGATTACTCAGCATGTAGTGCGCTGTGGGCGGATCTTTTGCAGCAGGAGGGGCTGTGGGGGCGGTAGAACTAAGCAGCACCCCATCCCTCTGTTCAGGTGCTGTGCTGCCCTCTCCCTACGCCGGAGGAAAGCGATGCAACGGTAACGCAGGCGTGGCAAGAGCAGCGCCGCCAGCAAAGGTAGCAGCCTGGCCCGTTCCTGCTCGCAGGGGGCTGAAGCCTTTACATTGAGTACAGAAACTTGAACGCGAAACCGCAGTTGAATAATATGCGTGCATGTAGCTAATAAGAACACTTTCAACAGCAGCACGGAGAAAACCCTCAAGGTCAGTAACTAGCCTTTTCAGGGCGGTCCCCTTGTGGCTGCTTTTTCAATTCCCTTGGTGCTGCCTTTACGGTGATAGCAGCTGGCTCGGCCTTAGCAACGCCATCCCCCTGGTAAGTCGCAAAAGAGGCCCCTGCCTAGGGGCCCCAGGCGCATTCCCTAGGATACAACAAACCCGTTGATCCCACCCCATAGGTTCATGCCCACCTCCGCAGCTGCTTTCGCCGCTGCTGCTCCAACGGCCAGGGAAAACAGAAGCGGCTCGGAGAATGGGGGGCGTGAATCTAGGAAAAAGGACCTCCACTCATAGGTGGTCAATGCCGCCGGGGGAGGCAAGGCCAAAGGGGTGGTATTACATGGGTTCAGGCAGGAGTACTTCGACGTACCGAAGGGCCATTATAAGACATCAACGCGATTATGATGCGCCTCGGCGCAGGGAGCTTGAAGGAGGGCCACGCACGATGCACGCCCCTCTCTCTGCCCGTCGTACTCTGCGTCACCCCGTGATGTTAGCCCTACTGAACACTCCTGCATCTTCTTCGTCTTTTCCCTTCCAGTAGACTGTACATGATCGATTCCAGGGGGCACCACGCTGCCCCCTCCCTATACATTTACGCGCCCGTGCATGCGTGCATGCATGCATCCATCTACGTACGAAGGCGAGCGCACTACAGGCCCTTTGCATACACCGCAGTTAGAGCAGGGCACGTGTGCGCGCTGCAGTACGTGTAGTAGACGGAAGCATGGCCCTCACGCAGGCTTCCAGCTCGTGGCGAGGCCCTTCGGCCCCCGACGGAAGGCAAGGCAGGCCTTGTAAGCGCGAAATGCAGGAATTTTACAAGATGGTAGATCCAGGCTTTGAGGAACCAACAGCAGAGCCTTCGCCGCCGCCCGACAAGTTGTTCCTTGCCACCCCTGCCGCTGCTGTTGCTGCCGCTGCTCCTGCTCCACGGCCGTCTGCACCCCTGATGAAGTGCGAAAGCCGGGCAGCAAGCTCCTCCAAGGGCAACCCCAGAGAAGCAGCAATGTCAGCTGCAACTGCCGTAGCTTCCCAATCAGCGGTGCCTGTTGGACGCGCTGCAGACGGCGCCGCTAAACTGCTCCCCACAGGCCGCGACTCGGCGCTTCCCGAACTCCCTTCGGCCTCTGCACCGCTGCGGCGAGACCTCTCACTTCCCTTCTGCTGCTGCTGCTGAGGAAGCAGCAAGCCGAATTCGCTCTCGCCTTGAGAGCAGCCTTCGAAGAGCGCCCCTCCCTCGGCGGGGGGCCTCCTGCTGATGGAGTCCAACAACAAGCCGCTGCCTGCTGCCGCGGCGGCAGCAGGGAACTGCAGCAGCGCGTCCGCAATGCCGTCCCCGAAGCTGCTGCTGCTGCTGCTGCTGCTGCTGCCCGCACGCAGACTGGCGACAGCGTCGTCAGCTGCGATCCACTGCCCACTGCCCGGAGCTCCGCCGACACCTGAAAGCCGTCTCTCCGATTTCCTCGCTTTAGGGCTCAGCTTTCCAGCGGCCCCAGCATTCGCCGCTGCATCCGTCGCAGCTGCTGGCATCCCGAGTATGCGATCGCGCTGCCTCTTCTTGCTGGTGCGTCCAGCCTGTTGCGCCTGCAGCGCACCGGTTGGCGCGGTAAAAACTCCCAGGCCCCGCAGAGCAGACGTGGCTTCGGGGTCGTCCCTCAGCTGCTGATTGAACTCCGCCTTGCAGAAGCCACCACTGCCGGCTGCCTGTTGCTCGCGCTGTTGCTCCGACTGCTGCTGAACCGCGGGTATCGCGGCATGACTCCTAAAGTCGTGGACACTTGCGTCGAGCCGCCCCTGCTTGTAGAAGATCGTCCTCTCCTGCACAGTCATGAACGCCTCCTTGGGCCCATAGAGCGGCAAAGGTCTACCCTGGTCAAGCAGCAACTTCCTCTCGCGCAGCACAGCCTCCGTCATCAGCGGCAGCTGAAAGGGGAGGCCTGCATACCGATTCCGCAGCCGCACCGCCTCATTGTACGCCGGCATAATGCCGTGAAGCGAGTGAAAGGAGCAGTACTTCGTTTCGTGCCGCGTGAGAGACACACGAAGCGCGTACTCCCTCGGTGCGGGGCCGCTACTAGCTATCCCTTGAGTTCCCGCTGCAGCGCTGCCGTCGAGGGCGTTCCCCGGACCCTTTACTGCCTTGTGAGACTTCAGCTCCAGTTTTATGCCGGTGGGGAGGGGCTGAATGAGCTGAATCATCGTGCTGCAGCACAACAGCGCGCGCGCCACCCACAAAAGCCACGGCGTGCGTCGGCGGGGGGCGACAGCAGCAGCAGCAGCAACCTAGCGACGAAAAGGGCAGCAAGTGCGAAAAGCCGACACAGCTACAGTTCCGACGCCTCAAAAGAAGCGCGCCTAAACGCACGCCTCCTCAGGAATGATCCAAAGGCAAGGAGTCCGAAAGAGACGCACCTGTGCGGGAAAGGGTCGTGCAAGTGCTGCGCATTGCTCCCTCGGCTGTAGACAGACGTCGAGGGGCTTACGGAGAGCTGCTGTGGCTCCGAGTTCCCAGTTGTGTCTGCAGGCAGCATCAAAAACAAGAACACAGACACACAGACAGACAGACAGACAGACATACAAACATACACACACAGAAATACATACACACAGATATACATACACACAGATATACATACACACAGACAGACATATACACAGACAGACATCCTTCCGAAGAAGCACGAGGAAAAAGAACGCTTTACGGAAGCTGGAGTGTAGCAGACGGCAGCCGCCGCAAGCAGGCATCACAGCTGCGCGTAGGGAGCAACAGGAGGAAAAGAGGAGCAGGAGACAGGCAGACAGACAGGCAGTAGGAGCGGCAGCGCGGAGCAGTGAGGCAGCGAGCTCGCAGTAAGCCCCCTTGCTTACCCCTGGAGCGGTGAGGAGGCCCCTCTGTGGCAGCCGCGGAGGCGCTGTGGCTGCTGCTGCTGCTGCGCTGCAGCAACACGGCTTTGCGCGAATCTGCTCGTCGCAAAGCCGACTGCGCCAGCCGCAGCTGCTGCTGCTCCCGACTTCCTCCCTGGCGCCGCTTTCCCTCCGCCGCCTTCGCAGAAAAGCCCTTCAGCTGCTTGAAGGAGTTCGCCCCTTCCGCCGCCGCTCCTTCAGCCTTGAGGAGAGCCGCAGACAATGCCTGCTGCGCTGCAACCGCCCCCGCCGTCGCAGTCGGCGTGCGGGGAGGCGGCAGCACGCCCGTTTGAGAGAGCAAGAAATGCTGCAAGGCAGCTGCAGTGCTGCCGTTGTTAGTCCCCAAGTCGGCTGCCAGGCCTAGCAGCTGCGAGTCAAGCCCCAAAGACTGCTGCTGCGCGCGCCGAACCTGCTGCTGCACCTGCATCTGCTGCTGCTGCGCCTGGCGAGTGGCGGAGTCTGGCAAGGCGCCTGCCTCGGGGAGAACTCCTCCTCCCTCCGCTTGATGGTGGTGCTGCTGACTGTGGTGCTGCTGACTGTGCTGCTGCTGACTGGGCTGCTGCGTCTCGCCCACGCCGGAGGCGTGCAGGGAAAGGCCGAGGGGGAGGCTCCCCCCCCCCTGAGGCAGCAGCAACGCAAGACTGCTCTGCTGCTGCTTGGGGACGGCAGGCGCTGGCTGCTGCTGCTGAAGGCAGCTGATGGACTGCAGCAGCAACCGCTGCTCGTTGTGCTGCCGCATTGTGACGTCCAGAAGAACACAGAGACGCTCGTGAAGATCTGACAAGGTATCCAAGACGCTGCTAGGCGTCTCGCCTCCGGAGGAAACGCAGCACCCTGCTCCCGCGCCTCCTCCTCCTGCTGCTCCTGCCGCTGCTCCTCCCGCTGATGACGACGCACTGCCTGCAGCCGCCGAAAGGCTTGCAGGATGCGGCGTTCCTGTTGCAGCAGCAGCCAGCGCTGCGAGACCGCCATCATCTAGCAAGGAAAACAAGCCTCTGGTGTTGCTCGAGGTGGACATGGGGGCAGCAGTCACACCGCTGCTGCTGCTGCGGCAGCCGAGCGGCGAGGCTACAGCTGCTGCTACTGCGGAAGAGAGATCTGCAGACGCAGCGGAGGCGTTTGCCCCTTCTGCTGCTGCTTGTTGCTGCTGCTGCAGGAGCAGCGGCCGCAGAAGCAGCTGTTGGGGTTGCTTTGACTGGACAGGAAGCAGCTGGAGCTGCTTTCCGAGTCGCTCGAGTTGCAGCTGCTGCTGCTGCAGCTCGCGATGCTGCAGCTCAATGGAGAGCAGGGGGGAGACGGGTATCTGCTGCTGCAGCTGCTGCAGCTGCTGCTGTTGCTGCTGCTGCTGCCTGGTCAAGGGGGAGCCTGCCGCTGCGGCAGCCGCCGTTAGTTTGGAAGGAGCTCCCAAAGGGGAATTGTCGGGAGTGTTGCTGGCAGTAGAAATACCCGGCTCCGCTGCCGCTACTGCAGCCACTGCGGCTGGGGCAGTCTCTCCGCTGCCTGATGGAGGCAGCTGGTCTGCTGCTGAGTCTTCTCCTGAGCAGCAGGGAGTTCGTGGAAGAGCAGCAGCGACGAGCGTTGGCTTTGCTGCTAAGGCTGCGGCTGGTGTCATGCCGGCGCGAGAGGCTTTTTCGCTGACTCTCGCCTCTCCTGCTGCTGCTGCGCCTACGCCTGAGCCCTTCGCTGCAGCAGGAGTTGCTGCAGCCACTGCCACAGCGTTCTCCATGGAATACCCCCAGAATGCTGTTGTACAATGGGGCGGCTGCGGCTGCTGCTGCTGCTGCTGCTGCTCGCTGCTGCAGTTTGCACCCCGCAGCGGAGGCTGTTTCTGTGTTAGGGATCTCCAGTTGCTGCGGCTTTAGCGGCTATTGCTGCTTTCGAGTTACATCCGTTTCCCAGCCATGGCACTCAGTCCATCGGTTGCTGCTGCCCTGGATGTCGTTCCCGCTGCTGCTCACTTGTTTAAGCATGCGCGAAAAGACGGCAGACTCTGTGGACGCTGCTGCTGCTTCTCCTTCTTCCACGGGGCGAGGCTCCTCGCGCGGCTCAGGCAGCTGGCCTGAGCCTGGTACGGTAAGGAGGGGAAAAGGGAGGAGCTGGTGCAGCCGGAGCTGCTTCTTGTGATACAAGTGTTGCTGTTGCTGCAACTAATGAGGACGAATGCTGCACTACAGGTACACAACACTACGCTCTGGCGCCGGTGGGAAGGGGGCCGATGGGGCGGCCTTCGCGGCAGCTTGCGCTGTTGCTGTTGCGAAGTGATTGCCGGTATTCCGATTGCTACGGCAGTTAATGCAATTCTAGCAGTAGAAACATGCAGGAAAAGGCAAAGAAAAGAGGCGAGAGTGCAGCAGCTGCGGCATCAACTGCAGCATCGGTCTCGCGTCCCTAGCAGCGAGCTGCCTCAGCCGATAAGGGAAGGCCCTGTGCCCTCTTAACAGAATTCAGGGTTAAAGCGGCTTGAAAACAAGGGGGCAATACAAAACAGAGTAGAGAAAGCAGCAAAACCACCAAGAACTTCGCCAGGAGACATACTGCTGCTGGGTGCTGCTGCGCTACCTCTCCAAAGCAGCAGCAGGGGCGGCGGTGGCAGCAACTGCAATTACGTCCTCGGCACAGCTGTTAGAAGGTCCTTAAATTGGAGTAATTCGAGGGAAAGAACCGCAACAACCTTTTCTCGTTGCTGTTGCAGCCACAGCCGCTGTGGCACAACGACGAGCACAACTGCGCAGAGGGTGTTGCTGCTGCTGAAGCAGGTATCGGGCCTTAGCAGCAGCAGCAGCTGCAGGAAGAGAAGAAAGAAAGAGGAAGGAAGTAAATAAAGGAAGGGAGATGAAGGTGAGGCTGTTGGTGGTGCTGTCGTTGCTGCTGTTGCTGCCACTGCATCGGCAGCGCGGTGGGCTACAACAACAGCGTGCAGCGACCGGCGCCTTCCCCACTGCAGCAAGCCTGGGGCATTTGCCCTTTATAGCTGCATTACTGGAAGCTAATGGCACTTCATGCGCCTCAGAAATGCGAAAAGGGCCTTCTTGACACTCTGCATAGCCAGCTGTAATGGCAAACGCACAGCCCAAAGCAACTCCTGCTGTTGTTGCTGCTGCTGCGTCGGCCTCGAGCCTCAGTCTGTCGCTGCCGACGGCCCCGCCTCTCTCTGGTGGATATATTGCAATTTGCTATTCTTCTTTGCTTACCTGTGCAAGCCTTAGAGCTTTAAAAGCCACGCAGCTCGAACAACAAGCCCAAGAGCGGGCGAATGCATGGCAAAACACTGCAACAGAGGCAAACCTGGAGAAACACGGGTGCCGCCTCCCGTTTTGCACCATACTGCTCCCGCTGCTCCTACTCCTCTGTCATTCTTCTGCTTCATTAATTAGTCAGGCTTTAGTTTTTGACTTCGCTCTACCTTCTTGTGCGCCAAGCCTCTAGGCCGTAGCACTCCGGCCGCCGCTGCCTGCTGACGGTGAGAATGCACACGGGAACACAGCCTAGTCCCGAAGAGGGGGGGCGGCCGGTCGAAGCTTCTCACACCTTGCTAGGACCCCTCAGCAAAGTAGTAAAATAGAAATGGACCTACTTGCAGCAGCTGCAACAGGTGCAACCGCAACTCTAGGCAGCCGAGCAAACGCAATACAGGTATAGGGGCACCAACTCCACAACCTGTCAAGGCTGCGGCACCAAGGGCCACGGACGCTTTAGGCACTCAAGACACTGTATTTGTTATGCTGGCTGCAGTAACAACTTTTTTAAGGCGGAGGAGTAGCTGGGGGGTGGGTGGGTAGCTGCTTTGGCTGCAATGGTGTCAGCCCGCATACGCATAGACTGCACCTTATCTGCCGGCCCTGAGGCAGTTTCAGCAACCGCTGCAGAGAGCACAGAGCACTTTTAGCGCGTGTAGAATCAGGATTGGCTGATGCAACACGCCTACACACATAGCTTAAACGCCAAATAATTTGCTTTTGTAGCTGCACCAAGAGCAGTGGTCGCTCCTCTCACTTCCTGGCCTTTTCCCAGATGTCTCAGCAGCCCACGTGGCTAGCCGGCTAGTTAGTAGGCAGTGCGCTGTTACCGCAAACTGGAAAAGCTGTGGAAAATCATAAAAGACCTCACTCTCTTTTCGTTGCTGGTACCTCCCTGTGCTGCGGTCTATGGTTTTGGTGCATGGCGCCGGATAGCCGCATTAGCGCGCATAAAGCGCAACACAAGGAACTGCTTGTATTTATTTGAAGAATAATATTTACTTAAAGGTGCTACCGGCGGAGGAAAGAAGGCCACCGGAAAGGAAAATCCCGGCGAGGGGAGCGGAGAATGCGCTCAAAACAACGGCAGCGATCTGTGCTGCCGGTTCCTCCGTGCTGCTGCCCCCAGTAAATGTCCTCTTGCAGCCTGTCTTTATATCACCTGCATCTGAATAGCTTCGTTCTGAAACCTGACCTGCGCGCTGGTGGCGTAAGTGTAGCTCCTAATGCTTCTTCCGCGATACTGGCATTGAGAGGTGAAGCAAAGAGCACAGCGCGCTTGATAGGGTACCTGCGCAAGAGAGCATTCAAGAGATTTCTTAAGACCTGTTATCAAGGTGGGGGGTAAGTCAGCGGAGTGTGAGAAGGCGAAGAAATGGGCGGAGTAACAAAGGGCCGCAAGCAGACAGCTTGGCAGAGAATAACTGAAAGGGAAAGTTGGAAGGCATGAGTGCGTATAAAAGGGAGGAAATGGAAGCATAGAGATAGGAAGTCATGCAAACGCGTAACGAGCGTTTGGGGTGGTACAAAGAGGCCGGCTGGAAGGAAGATTAGACATAGATGCCACGTTCCCGAAGAGACGGGTTTCTCTTAAATGCTGAGCCAGACGTATGGAATACCGGCATGTGTGTACTGCCTCCTCTTGCCGTGTCTCTCTCTCTGCTTTTCGGGGTGCGACTGATTCTTACATCGACAGTGTCTTCATGCATTCGGATTTGTAGGGCTCCCTCTAGTAAGGTGTCAAGGCGGAGACGCTGCAAAAACCCGAAGCCCAACAAGAACGTTTACGAAGAAGTGTTGCAGTATTTCTCGTAGAATGTGTACTCCTAATTTTTGTGAACTCGACCGCCTGTGCAGTTCTTCCCCAGGGTCTCCCTGAAAACACACTTTTCGCCCCCAACGCAGTGCCGGACTGAATGAAAGTTCATCGAGTGCCGCTCCGAAGGCCGTCCTCCTCCGTCTCCCTGCCCTCGCACTTCAGGCTCTGGCTCGAAGCTAAATGGCCGCTTGAGTGTGCCTTTCAACACTTGCTAAGCACTTCTGGCATTCCTAGCTAGTTGCCCAGAGCAGTTGTCACACAGACACTGAGCTCTGATTCTTCCTTATCGGGCAGCGTCTCTTCCCTGCAGTACATGATGTGTCCGGACAGTCCAAGCACGTATTCACTCTTGAAAATTCTTTTCGTAGCTGTAACTAATGCATTAGACCATGTGGAGGTGAACCTCAGTCCACTACACTCAAGGTTCCCGCAAGAGGAGCACGGGGCCGATAGCAAGGGTGCGTGTGTGTCGCTGCATCCTCTGAGAATTCGGACTGATTTACTTAGCTTGACGTGGCGACTCGGGACACAGGCTCATTAATATGCTATGGCGCCAATCTCGCTGCGCAGTAACTGATTTTACGAAAGGCTAGACCAATTAGTCAATTTCAAGTTCAGCGTAGTCAGTGAAGTCAAACGTGCTCATGCAGAAGACCTGCTACAGTCTGTCTCTGGCAGTCATTATTTTCAATGCATTTACTCCTCAGTGCTCTGAACCCCGATGCTTGTAGCCCCATATCTCTCTCCTTCTGCCCCCTCATTCTCTCTAAAAAGGCCGCCTGAATACCACCACATCCCAACGGACTGTGAACGAGGGAGAAGCCCAAGTACCTTAGCGGCGGCGGATTCGTTTCCAGTTTACGGTTGCCACTAGACTTGTCTGTGTCCGGAAATATTTTGACTCACTAAATCAATTAGGGGTTTTGAGCGCTGATGCACTGCGCCTTCGCTGATGTGGGGATGTTTTGTGTGTGAGTGCTGACAGGCTGTGTTTAACCGACCAGATCTCTGTGAGGGTGCAGCTAATAGTCTCTATCTACTACCCTCTGACCTAAGCCTAGGCTTGTGGAGTCTCAGCGCAAACGAAGGAGGCAGCGAGAGCTCCTTTCCAGGACCCCCTATGGGCCACCACTGCTTGGCAGGTCGGGAGAAACGGGGGGCGCGGTGGGTTTACTCAGCGACAAACGATTTACAAAACCGAAAGGTAGACAGAACTCAATTGTACTGTGATGCTAAACAACCGTAAACGGAGTAACGCACTTCCGAGTCCACGGGGCTCTCCAGGCCCCCATGCTACCAGCGGAAGACACGCAAGCTCAATGCTGCAAATTAGTCGCACCCCTTGAGTCACCCGTGTGTTGTATATCCACGTTCACGGAGTACGGTAGCATGTGCTACGCTCTCTGCGCCACCCAAACCCGTTCTCTACACAAAGGAAAAGTTGTGCCGGGTTCACAAAGGGCCTCACTCGCACTACCTGCCCACCTGCATCTCTGTCTGCTGTACGTTGTCTAATGTTCCCCTTGGTCCCTTGTGCGAGGGACACCTCCCTTCACCGCCGTATATCTAATTCCTCTCTGTTTCGTTTGTGTGTACGCCTCTACCCTCGGTGGCCAGCCCTTGACGAGTCCTTCCCCCTGCGTTCGTAATTCCTTTAGCCTCCTGGATGCCCCCTGGCCGCCTGCTCCTCCCTCTCGGAGGGTGAGAAGCTTCATCAACAGAAAAGGTAGCCCCCTCAGCTGCACGCCGTACACACTAGAGGTAACCTTTTGCTGCAATACGGCGTTTTGAGAAGGCAAGCCTTTTCTGAACTGCCTGCAGACTACCCTGAGCGTGTACTCTAAGGCTACCGGTGTGCTGCTTCCCCGTTAGCTGCAATTTGTTTGCTCTTTCCTCGCTGACTGCCTAGGTGGCATACGGCCGGTACTCCCAGCCCAAGTGCTGCATTTGCTATTAAATCTCGACAAGCCTAAGGCTTTAAATGTAATTTTGAGGCGCATATTTTGCTGCATCGGCGCATAAGAGAGGTGTTGGCCGCGGTTGCTGCCGTCTTTGCGGCAGCGGCAGCGGCAGCGTCAGCGGCGGCGGCAGTTGCATGTGGTGGGCGTACATCCCAGGTCGCACTTGAGTTTGTCTTGTTAAGTTATTCCTGTATATTTGGTTGTTTCTACGCGCAATTGGCCTTTATTCGGGGCGTAGAGGTAGCTGCCAACGCCGCCCTGGACTGCACATACAGGGGTTCCCTCCCTCTCTCGTGCCTTTGGGAAAACAAACAGCGACTGAAGCAGTGTGCTGCCACTGCAGCTATTGCTGCTGGTGGAGGTCTTTCAGTTTCGAGGATGGCGGGCGCAATGCGGCATGGCTCTTCTGAGGGCACAGGGGACGCTGCTGCTGCGGCAGCGGTAGCAGCAGGCTCAAGCCCTTCAGTAAACGCGGTGTCTTTGCTGCTGCAGGAGGCAGCAGCACAGGTTAGCAGCGAGAGAGAGAAGTCTGTGGATCTCTGCAAGAGGGCGCTGGAGATAGCGTCCGCTGCAGCGGCTGCCGGTGACTCCCGTTCATCAGCAGGCGGGGAGACGAATGGCAGTAAGGCAGGGGAGGAGCATTCCCTGCCTTCCCGCGAGGAGGCCTTGCGTTTGTATGAGCAGGGTCTGGCATGGCTTGCGGGAGTGTATGCGGAGGCAGGCGACACTGCTGGAGTGTGCGCGCTGCTGGAATCTTCGCATGATTTGTTGCGACAGCTGCCCAAAGCTCGGACGGCCAAATTGGTCCGTTTGCTTGTGGGTGCCGTGGCAGCCGTTCCAACAGCACAAGAGGCGCTGGAGGCTGTGTGTGAGAGCGGCATTGCTTGGTGTATCAGGGAAAAGAGGGCGTTCCTGCGGACTCGCATCGAGTTGCGTCTTGCACAGGCCTATCTTTCTGGGGGCAAATTGCAGCAGGCGCAGCAGCTGCTGTCTCGCCTGCTTTTAGAGCTGAAGAAGCTGGACGACAAATTGCTTCTTGTTGAAGCCCATCTCCTTGATTCCGAGCTGAACTTCAAGCTGAAGAACTTCCCAAAGAGCAGAGCCGCGCTCACGGCCGCACGAACGAATGCAAACTCAATTCACTGCCCCCCCACATTGCAGGGGCAGCTTGACTTACAGGTGGGGAGCTGTCACTCGTAGCGTCTAGTAGGCGCCTGTGGCTTCCCCCCCAGAGGCACTCTGCCGCTGCTGCTGGTCCGACCAAGGCGCTGCTGCTGCCTTGCTGCTGCGCATGTGCCGCTGCCCGTCCACCCTGCAGAACCCTGCTTCTGCAGACTTTCGCGTTTGCGGCTCTTCGTGCAGGCCGGAGTGCTGCACGCGCATGACAGAGACTACAAGACGGCCTTTTCGTACTTCTTCGAGGCCTTTGAAGCCTTCAGCGCGCAGGAGGCAGCCCAGAACGCCTTGAGGAAGCACCAACAGAACAAGATGGGGGAGAGGCCAATCGCAGGCAGTAAGGCGCGAAAGGGAATCCACGGATGACGAGTTTTGCGTGTCTTGTCTGCTTTTTAACGGTGTGGTGCCTGGGGTCTTTCCCAGGCCACCCTTTTTCTTCGGGAGGGTGGTGTGTGAAAAGAGGGGTCTCACGTCATGCATCGCGTGATGGCGCTCCAGGCATATCCACCAGCTGGTTGGGATGCGATGGCCGTTGCCGACTTGCTGGCGTCTCCTGCGTGCGTGGAAGAGTGCTGTGGCGTGCTCCTGACTCTTGTTGGCGTTTCAGGAGATGATAGGGCGCTCGCCCTGCAGTCTCTGAAGTACATGTTGTTGGCGAAGATCCTAATGGGCCGACCTCAGGACGTGCCCGTTATTCTCTCTGGCAAGCAAGGGCTCCGCTACTACCACCAACCCGGACTGCCCTCCGCCTCGGCTGCTCACGTGGACGCCTCCGTCGTGGCTTCGACAGAAGTGTCTGCGGACGTGCAGGGGCTTGAGGCGCTGCGGCTCCTGTCCATTTGCAGGAAGGAGAGCTCCTTGAAGATGTTTGGCGCTCTGCTAGAGTCGCACGGGAAGGAGCTGGAAGGTGACCCTGTGCTGCAGCAGCACATTGAAGAGCTGTACGAGACCTTGCTGGAGAAGGACCTTAGCAAGACCCTGCAGGCTTTCTCCCGAGTAGAGCTCTCCCATGTGGCACGGCTGATAGGGCTGCCCGAGCAGAAGGTCGAAGAGAAGCTGTGCGAGATGATGCTGGATGGCAAGCTGCATGGCACCCTGGATCAAGGAGTTGGGGTCTTGGTTCTCTTTGACACGCAGCAGACTCCCAAACTCTACACGGATGTGTTGGGAACTGTGGCCAATATGGCAGCGGTGGTAGACGCGCTATATGACAAGGCTCAACAGACGCTCTAGGAGGGAGCCGTGGCAGGGGTGAGCGGGGGGATATGGCGCTCGAGAACGGTCCAGACGAAGGGGGGCACAGGGGCTGAGGAGGGGTCTGCACGAGGCTTCGGTGTAGGTGAGGTTGGGGGGAGCAGCAGGCCATGCTAGTGGCTCGCGGAATTGTCAGCGAAGGGGACATCAATTGGATGTGTGGTGGAGGGGAAGTGGTGGGGTCGGGGGGCAAGGGACCGCCTGCGTTGCTCGAAAAGGCGCTACTGCCATAGGAGTGTAAGGGACAGTGTTGCAAGAACGCACAAACCCACATGATTAGGACGCAAAGACGGTTTACCGTTGCTGCCTCCTGATGGAGAGAAAGGCACATACAGAATGCGAAATACTGAGTTTGAAGGTTTGGTGAGGGTAGGCAGGCCGAGGCCTTGCTAGGCATCAGGAGTTGGGTTGACATGTTGGGTTCGCTGCAAATAAGACTGCCCTGTGGGGCTAGACGTGCCTGTGGCCATGGCTGCACAGTTGCTGCTTCCGCTTCACTCGCCAAAACAGCTGCAGGGAAGTAGCCTCTCGTAAGGCGGGGAGGCAGAAGAGACAAAGCACACAGGAAAGCCTACAAGCTAGCTCCCTGCGGCTCAGGGGGCAAAAGGGGCGTACAACCCCGCACAGATCGGAAATTTGCATTGCCTTGGGGCTGGAGTCTGCACACTTCAAACCGTGGACCTCGTCATAAGACAGTAAAGAGGGTGTGGCGCGGTGAATGGTGGAGAGAATCCCAACCAAAACGCTTTACTAAACCTTGAGTTATCCCTTACGATGTTTATTCAAACAAAACCCTGATGCAGTCATGCACTCCTGGGCACACAGCGCTCGCTGCGCATATAGCTCAAAAGCAACAGTATGAAGCGAGCACGCTAAAGGTACCTCACTACGGCTTAGAGGTTAGTCTCCACAGCATACGGGGTGTGGGAGGTAAGCGGGGAAGCAGAGGAATCTTTACCTCCATTAGTAAACGACTACAGGCGAGGGATGCGTGGTGCAAGCCCTCAAAGCTTGCAAGGTGCATTGGCCACTTGTGACCTAGGTCTTATGCCATAATCTAAGGCTACGTCTGAGTCCGTGGTGAGGGAACACATTTGCGTCAATGCAAACTTCTAGAAAGTAAATGAGTACTTTTCCCAAATATGCTCCTCCTTCCCCTGCCCCTACCACTCAGAGTTTCAAAGTAACGGGAGAAAAGGGGATTCGTGGGATGTGCATAGGTGCTAGGAGTATTTCTAAGCATTTTGAGCACTCATAGCTAGTTGCACGTAGCATCTAGCGTACACGCGCAGAAAAGTGCGTCGGCTTATATAGAGATAGCAGTACACTGCAATAAATATGATGTACCAAAACAAATACCAATCAATTGACTCTTTTAGACTTTTAATTAAGTGTATCAGCGTAACAGAACGTGTCTCAGTGCTGCTTTGCCCCGGTACACATGGGCTACTTGCAGCTCAGGCTTCCTGCCAGACGGTATGTATGTGTATGTAAATGCATCGGAATCGTAGACGTGCTGGGTTTTGTACGGGTAGGCCTTTGCCACTGTGGTATGCCGTCATTCTATTACAATGCATTCCACACCTTGCATTGTCAAGTCGTTCTGTGCGCAGCAGCATTTTGCATCAAGCCTATCCAAAAACCATCCACCTGATAATTTGCACCCCTCTCAATAGTCAACAGCTCGCCAAAGTTTTGGAGTGGGCAGCGCTACATGGGGTTTCGCCCTGAACGGTCGGCTATTGAAAGGGGCTCTAGCATAAATTTCCTGTAGGAGGACCCGATCGGAATTGTTGCCGGTAAAGGGAGAAATGAGGTGGCGGACATAGGATTAGTATTGGAAAAACACAGTATATCGAACCAGTTGAAGCCTTTATCAAAGGGGCATACAAGGGGTGTTCGTGTTAAGGCAGCCTCATGCGCTACATGTTCCCACACAGCAAAAAGGACCAGTGGACACTGGCCGTAATTAAGGGTCAAGCGCGTCAGCCCACCAACCAAAGTTGCAATAAAGAATCTCGGAATTGAGGTAGCTTGTAGAAGTTTCTTTCCATTTAGCTGTATTTCACGCTCTCCTCTTGCATGACCATCACCCTAAACCTTGAACCTACTGTCCTGACCACTGTGGCGGCAGCCGCATTGCACAGCCCCACTTTACGCATGGCAAAGACTGCAGGAAAAGGAAGATACTGCATCCAGACGGTGGATTTTGAGTGCACGATTTTTCTTGTGGCTAGCCAGAAGAAGCACACAATGGGGCACTCCTATTGCTAGCCTCAGTCGTGGCTTCTACTGGCCTGATGTAGAGGGTCCCCAACTCTTGGTTGCAGTACACTTCCTGAGGGGTCTCTATGTCGTCTGTCTGAGATGTAATGAGCCAGATTGGGCATGACGCTCTCACCAAAAAGGGCCAGCGGGGCCTTCCTGCCTTCCCTTTCTCCCCTTGCTCATGCGTCGGACGCGGGCAGTCTACCTCGTGTGGATGCCTCCAACACCGCTCAACTCCCCCGCTCTAGCCGTGAGCATGCGTTGTATTCTTTGCTTTGCTGCAGGGCGTGCCGTGTGCAGCCCGCGTCAGGCCACCCGGGTGCCTCTCAGCCAACGCCGTTTGGGTTGAACCGTTATATCTTACTGCTGATCTATGTGTTCATCACGCTCAGCACTTCCTGCGTGTACTTCGGGTGGGGGCCGCTCAGCCATATGTTGATTGAGTCGGGGGCCTCCCTATGGATGTGCAGCACAGAGGAGCAGCTCGAGTTCGTGGTGTCTCCTACTCCCGCCTGCCTAGCTCAAGACACGAGCGTGCAGAGCCTCTTCACGATTTGTTATGCGGCTCACTTCGTAGTTAGTGGGGCTGCCGGTGTCCTCATAGACACGGCTGGCCCCAAGGTGACTGCCGTATTAGGGCAGATCCTCAATATTTGCGGCTGGGTTTTCTTGGGCTTCTCCAACGAAGCTTTTCGAGCAACTATTCCCTCCTTCATATTCATTGGGGCCGGTGCAGATATGTGCTTTCTTCCCATGCTCTGCATTGTGAACCTTTTCCCTGGAAGTTCGGGATTTGTGTTCACGGCACTTGGCGCTGCCTCGTCGCTCAGTTTTGCTGTGCCTTCTATGTTAAGGGCCGTCCAACTCACGGGTTTGAACTTCAGGTGGGTGTGCTGGGGCTATGCGGTGCTCGGTCCTGCCTTCTCTCTCCTTCTGGTTTGTCTATTTGTTCCTTTGGACGACTTCATCCACGAAGACATGTTCGTGCTCGTCAAAAGTGCGGAGCACGGGGTGCTGAATCCTAAAGACCGGCTCGTGGGGCACAGGCCGCATAGGGGCAGCATCCTCTCGAGGGAACGGGGGGAGGAGGCAGAAAAGGAGGTCGAAGGTGACAAAAAGAAAGAGCGAGGGAGGGAACGATACGGCGGCAAGGAGCGCCATACACACAACAGGGGCGCTTCGTCACCCAACAGTCTTTCATCCTCTGTGGTAACGCTTTCACAGAGCGACAGCGGACATTTAAGCAGTGTAACTGACGAAGCTTTTTTTCAGTCCTTTAGAATGGAAGCCTGCAGCTTCCTCTATTTCGGTATTTGCATCTACTTTGTTATCTGCAGTGTGGCCATGAACTACTATCAGCAGGCCGCTGCCCTTTTCCTCTTGAACGAGGCTTACGAGGCTCTAGAGTTCGCGATTCCGCTGTCTACCCTTCCTTGCATCATCCTCGGAAGGCTGTATGCTTGACCCGGAAATCAGCACCTGCATTTACGCTTGAGCATGCAACCAGCACCATGATCTCTGCACTTTTAGCTTGAATGCCTCATTTGGGTATTTTCCCAAGCTGCCCCAACAGCCTGAACTGCGAGTCTGCTCTTTGGGAGCCTCTGGGGTTCGTTGGAAGTGTCTGCAATTGTGTGTTGTGGGCTTCTTTTTCAGGACGGACTTCGTGCCAGTTATATATGTAATGATGGTGACGAATACGGCGGGAGCTCTGAGCTTCGGCTTGGCGATACCTGAGGGCCTGAAAAAAGACTTTTTCTCGGTATGTTGCTTTTCAGTGTACATCTCAATTTTCTCATCTCAAGTGTACATATTCGTCAAGAAACATTTCACATCACTCAATTTCGGCCGTCTCATCGGTGTTGCGAGCATGCTGGGAGGCCTAGTCTCTCTCGTTAGCAACCCTCTCTATCAGCAAGTAACGATGGAGCATGACCAGGGCGACCCAGACCCCATAATGTGGGGCATATTCTACACAATATGCGGGGCCTATTTCCTCCTGATCTTCATGGCGATAGTATCAAGCAGGAAAAAGAGGCTTGAAACAGCCGCCATGGTCCTGGAAAAGACACAGACCGCACATACTAACAGCGGTCGCCCCAAAAGGATAATAGAGGCATCCGCTTCACCCCAACGTGCCTTGGACAGCGACAAACAGAACGAGAAACATCGAGGAGCGCCCTTGGTAGAAATTGAAGGTCTATAAGTCGCTGCGAGGGTCAGGGACGGAAACAGTCTAGGAACAAAGAGAGAAAAAGGCTCTTGGGAACGGCGGTTCCACGGCCGAACGATGGCTTCCCTAACTACGCCAAATCGCACGTGCATGTAGATGCGGCTGCTTCGGAGTTTCCGCATTTTGTGCCCTAGCACGTTTTTCTTCGCTCTTTAGCTAAGTCACCTTGAGTGCACACAAACGTTAATGTAGCAAATCAGAATTAGCAAGGGGTACACTGGCTAGCCCCATGGCTCTTGACACCAGCAGCGCACGCTCCTGCTTCCCCTTAAGCCTGCAGACTCGCTCCTGCACACGCAGCGCTTGAGTGGCTCACGTATTGCACGAGCTGGCTGCCGTCGGTTGTGGCAAAGCATGGCTGAAGGTGACCAGTTGCAGTTTTGCACTACCCGATGGCACATCTATACACAACATTCAGTTCGTTTGGCTGGAATCTTGCGCTTTGTCGGAAGACATAAACTTCTAGATCGGCATAAATGCTTTCTAACCTTAGTTCCTCTCCACCTAGCGCCCACCGCCGTTGCGATATTTAGCGCTTCTCGGGTTTTGCATGCTCGTGGATCGATCTGTGTTTTCACTGGAATCCTGTATTCCCCATCTTTCTACAAAGCTTGCCCTGTTTTTAAAAATTCGCTCCCTATCCCGCCTTGCCTTTGCCCTCCTATCTGTATCCTGGCGACTAACTCTACCTTCCGCTTTACCCCACTTGCTCTCTCTCTCTTTCTCTCTCTCCGCCCCTTCCAACATTTGCAGGTTGTTAAGCCTCTCGTTCAACATCTCTTTTGGCCGTCCGTCTCAATTTTTGTGTTCCACGATCGGATTCTGCTTTGATGTCTGTCCTTTGGTTACTGTGTATCAGTTTGATCCCATTACCCTCGTGCCCTTCAATCGAGCAAAGAATTAATGCCTCTTCTGTTGCTTTCGGCCGCTGCACCGTCCCTCGTAGCAAAAGTAGCACGTGAAGGGCAAACACTGAGCTTACTGCCTATCTGGCAACACTCGCAAGAACTTGAATAGACACGTACATCGCACGCGTCTCCAAGCGAGACTTTTTTCTCCTTTTCCAGGGCTTAACCCAGAAAGACTCTTCTTGAACCCTTTTGCAGATTCTTATAGTGAAATGCTGGACGCAGAAATGGAACTTGGGAAGTAGAAGTGCACACGGTAGTTAGCAATATTTGGACTATGTAAATGGCAATGCATTCCAGAGGAGTGCTGGAAGTATCGGCAACAACAGCAGGTACGTCACCAGAATTTCGCATTTGCAATCAGAACAACTACGAAGATGTCGGGTCCCAGCACCAGACAGAAGGCAATTAGACTGAAACATTGTCTTCTTTCACTCTTTACATATGAACAAGGGCTAGCAAAAAAATAACTGGCTGGTCCTCTTCTTACGGTGTGAAGGTAGCTCGATACAAGAAGACGCAACATTGTGTGCTTGCGCACTACATGCAGTCTGCGAATTCGTGTGGAAAGGTTCCGAGTGCTTTGATGGCGCCGCTACGCCCATGCACGTTAGTTCCCCCTCTCTTCTTAGGTTCGACTTCTGGGGGTGCAGCAGGATGATGAGGGAGATCTTTCGGGAAGCACTCATTAGCTTTCTAGTAAGCTGTATTGACTCCGAAGCTACCGACTGTCCGGCTACTGATATTCTAGATGGTTCGTTGCAAGCCGGCAGAGCTGTTCGTGCTCCGTATCCCAAAGATGGGGCATGCCAATTTAGTTGCATTCAGGGGCAAGAAAAAATTTCAAGTGCTGGGTTCCGTGCTTCTTCGCAACAACCACGGCCTCCTACATTCGTGAGATCCCTCATATCAATCTACGGAGGATTCTGCTTTTCAGCTGGCCGCATTTTTGCTGTCAAGGTCTGCGATGCATTCTATCTGCGCTAACACACATCTGCGCCCCATGGTGAGCTTATGATGGAGCCGTGCTATGCCATCGTGCATACCGTGCAAATGGGCGGGTCCTGCCCTCTGCAGCTCCATGGCGAGTCGCCAGTACTTTTCTCTGCTCCTTTCTATTTGGGTGTGTCCTGTGCAGTGTTTGAGTGCAACGCTTCATCAAGGGCTCCGAGGGGGCCGATACGCAGCCCTCGTAGAGGTCCACGCGCTACCTCATGCGTCGTACAGTTCCTTTGATCTCCGGTTCCTGCTTTTGAACATCTTAAGGTCCTCCCATAGCGTACTTTTCATGTCCTGGAATGCTTGAGTTCGGCAGGCTGACTTTGCCGCAGAGCACGTGCAGTGCAGGTAGGGAACACCTGGGGCTGCCGGATCTGGTACTGCTTCACAGCGTGGGAAGGGGGACCTTGCTGTCCTCCTCGATGGCTTAAGGCTTTATTGTAAAAAAAATAGGCCGCTCGAGGTGAAATCTACTAAGAAAAGGTGGAAGAGAGGATTCTACAAAAAGAGGGAAAGACAGCTTTATTGATGAGAGGTTAGAAGACGCTTCCCCTCCGATATGGGGGGCGAGAGCGGGATTCGCTCCCTACGCAGCTCGCTGAGTGGTTTGCTGATCATCCCGAAAGGGCGGAATGAGTATCGCATGTACTTGTTCGCTTTCTCATTCCATTTGCCTTTCTTCATTCCCTCTGCCTTCCTACTTCTCTGAGTTTGCTGATGTAGAAAGGCAGAATCACCGGACAGCTTCTTTGCGCCAAGCATCCGCAAAAGCAGCCTGGAACTCCTTCAATTTGGAAGCAGTGCTTTTTAAGAATTTAGGTTTTAGCGGCCACCACAGAATCTTCTTAATACGGAGGTCCCGAGTGAGCCTCCAGCACTGGGAGCAGCGGAGAGCCATCTTCCTGTGGCCGTTTTGCTGTCCGACTGCACCACGAAGAGAACTAGCAATCTTGCAGCGATCGCAGGAAAAACAGATAAAGTGCTCTATTAAGTGGCCTTTGTTTTCATCTCTTCCCTGGCCCTCCTTTGAGGCCCCTTTGCACGCTCCTTTCCCTTCCCTATTCTACCCGAACCTGCAAGAACTGCTTCTCACCGCAGGGCGGCTGGTAGCTCGCTGTAGCTGGCCATGTGTGCATTGGAAAACGTTTAGTATGATTACTGGCAGGCACAGCGCACGCTTGTAGAGCAGTAGGAGGAGGAGCGTGACACAAAGCAGTGCAGGCATCTGTACAGCAGCAATGCGGAATCTGCCTCTAAGCCTATTTGCTTGGTTCGAAGCTTGGTCTCGCTCACCTCTCTGTGCAGTCCCCCTCGGGCTTCCTCCGGGAATTTCAACCCAACCAGCGGTTCCGCGCTCTCCCGGTATACCGTAGGAGCTGATAGAGAATGTCTCCTTCGAGAGCGAGTGCTCCAACGTCCGTCATGGATCGCTTAAGGGCCCTCCTGCCCTCTTCAGACCATCCGGGCGCCTCCCAACCCACGCCGTTCGGGCTGAGTCGCTATAGTTTACTGCTGATCTATGTGTTCATCACGCTCTCCACTTCCTGCGTGTACTTCGGATGGGGACCTCTCAGCATAATACTCTTCAATTCGGGAGCCTACCTGTGGCTCTGCAACGAGGACGAGCAGGAGCTGGCAAAAGCGGCGCGGCAGGCGCTTCTCAGTAGAAACGCGCTGTCGCTAGAGAGCACGGCTGCTGCGGAGGCTCTGGATAAGCCTTTTTGCGTGGCTCAAGACACGAACGTGCAGACCCTCTTTACGGTTTGTTACGCCACGCACTTTATTGTGAGTGGGGCTGCCGGCGTCCTCATAGACACAGCTGGCCCGAAGGTGACTGCCATTTTGGGGCAGACCCTCAATTTATGCGGCTGGTTTATCCTGGGGGGGTTCACGGATAGCTTTCGCGGAATCCTCCCTGCCTTCGTGCTGATAGGAGCTGGGGCGGACATGTGCTTTCTTCCGATGCTCTGCATCAGCAACGTGTTTCCCGGCAGCTCGGGATTCATCCTCACGGTCATGGGAGCCTCGTGCTCCCTCAGTTCTGTAGTTCCCATGGTGTTACGCACAATCCAGATTCGAGGGTTCAGTTTTAGAGCCGTGTGTTGGGGCTATGCGCTGTTGGGCCCAGCGGGGTGCCTCGTTTTAGTGTGCCTCTTCGTGCCCTTGGAAGGCTTCATAGAGGAAGACCGATACGTCCTCGTCAAGTCCACTGAAACGCAGTGCTCCTCCATTCAACTTCCGAACAGATTGAGCAAAAAGCGCTCCCCGCAGCCCCCACAGGCTGCCACTGCGGTCGCAATAAGGTCGATGGCTACAGCCAGGACAGAAATAGAACCTGGGCCCTCCTCACAAGGAGCAGCAGCGACAGGGGTCAGAAACAAGGACAGCCCCCTTGAGGGCGATACCGACTTGCTCGTGGCAACGCTATCCTCTCGACGAGCATCGAGTCTCAGACGGATCGCCCTGCACTTCCCAGAGCTTGAAAGGAGCCCAGTGCCTTCCAAGAACTCTGGCGGCTCCACTGCCCCCGAAAGGCACGCGTCTGCAGTAGCAGCACTACGACAAGGCCCCGTGGCTGTCAGCACCGTCACGGACGACGATTTCTTCCAGCCCTTTGTCAAAGACGCTTGCACCTTTCTGTATGTTGGTGTTTGCATCTACTTTATCATTTGCAGTGTCGCGATGAACTACTACCAAAAGGCAGCCTCGAAGTTTCTCTCTCCTGAAGCCTTTTCTGGCCTGGGAGCCGCATCGCCGCTCTCCACCTTCCCCTGCCTCATCATTGGAAGGGTGTGAGTGGCAACACTCACAGCATGCAAGCCACATAAAGAGAGCCCTCCCACACGCCACCCCGCGATAGCGCCAGCACTACACTCCCAAGGCACGATGCGGCATGTTTGGCTGCAGCTCAGTACACCAAACAACATGCAGCACACATAAGGAGTCCTTCGTAGAAAGGGGTATGAGGGATTGCTGTAGGCAGTACCTGTGGTTGCCAACGTCATTGGGGATGACTAAGGGATAGGGCATGCTTTCTGTGGCGTATTGACACACTGGAAAACGATGTAAACATGTGTCTACCTAGCAAGTGATTCGGAGTACAAATATTAGGGCATAAAGGGAAGCAGTGTCTAGGCGCCAAGCATCACGCTCCAAGCCTCGGTCCCAAAGTTGAGCCCGAATTCGATGTGAGTTGTTTTCTGCAGGACGGACTATGTACCAATAGTGCCGGTCATGCTTTTCGTGAACTCAACTGGCGTGCTGTGCTATGTGCTGGCCTTGGCGGACGGCCCTATCGTGGGATATGCCTCGATCACATTCTTTTCAATATACATATCTGTCTTCACTTCGCAAGTGTATATTTTCATTAAGGAGGTCTTCACCTCCGTGCACTACGGGAAGCTCATCGGCATTGCCAGCATGGTGGGAGGCTTGCTGTCTCTCACTAGCAACTGGCTGTACAACGGTTTGACTATGCGCCACTTTGGTGGAGATGTTGTCCCTGTCCTATGGGGCATGTTTGCTGTTATCTGCTTTGCATATCTTCTCCTGATTCCAATGTTTTTTGGCGCGCGGAAGAAACAGAGGCTTCTGAAGGAGCAGAAAGTCTTTTTAATTCCTGCAGAATGTGCATCGTCGAGATTGCCGCCTGCTTCGGCCCCTGCTCCTGTTGTCTGCCATCAGCAAGAGCTCCTTTCAGGACGCAGCCTAGAGAGCTCACAGGCCAATTAGCAAGCACCTACGCGCGCAATCCGGGCAGCAAGAACCAGCGTTGCCCGTCGCCAGCCGAAGCCTCGTGACACTGGACGCAACGGAAGCACGAGGCGGTAAAAGGGGATATCTGCAAACTCCAAGGGGCCCGCGAGACGAGCCGCTGCTTTTCGAGACCCACTCTGCTATATGCGCTTGCTTTTTCACAGTTGGCTGGGTTTCATTTGCGTGTTTTGGAGCTTCGGCTCTGGGCCTTTTCCGTTGTTTTACATGGCCACTGTGTCGCAAGACAGAGAATGGTTGCTCCTCGAGTTTGAGCTCGCTTCGTTTCTTTCATGCTCAAAAACAGAAATTGCATTTGAGGGCTTTTGCGTTTTTGCACGGGGGCTTCAGCTTCATCGCCTTAACCCGTGGGTGTCTCCTCCAACTTTCTCCTTCGGGTGGAGTGCGTATTTGCTCTTTATTAGTGAGCATAGATCTTTTTCTTCGTCTGCACAGGTATTTGTGTTGCCCTCCTACCCCTGCTTTTCGTTGAGGACTCATATTGCCGCCGTCCTCCATTGGAAGAGGCGTTGTTCACTTCTGCTGCATTGCTGTGAATGCAGCTGGCTTGCTGGGGTCCCGAAGACTTCGAGGCCGCAGCATATTGTTTCGCGCCGGGAACTTTTCCTGTAATACATCTCGCTTCACGAACGCGAGCTTGACCCGCGGCTGCATTCTTCCCCGTCTGCCTCTTGGCCTGCATCTTCCTACTTTTACTGCTTGGCTGTTTCCTTCGTACATTTGTGTCTGCTTCTCCTCCCCACTTACTCCTTTATTTACTTTGTGTTATACCAATGCGTGCACCTATATCTCCCTTGTCGTGTATTCTGTTGTTGGTAATGATCTTGGTTCTCCTAGCCTTTCTCGCGCATTCCTCACAGTGCAGCCCTTCCCTTCAGTGTCACTCGGAGTGCCGGCAATCTGGATGCCGGTCTGTCAGGATTACCATCAACCACTCAGGACACCGGGATGCAAATTTATGTACAGTGTGCTGCACTGATAGTGAAGGAGGAATAGGGCAGGTGTGAAGCACCCGATGCATCGTTTAATCAACTGGAGAGAGCTGAATAGCCTTCTGTCTAGCTGCCCGAGATGTGCACTGAAAGGGACAACAGAATATCCATGCAGTAGCGCAAGACTGCATTGGAAGGTAATACAGACAAGAGCAGCATCCCAGAGTACAAGCAGGCGGTTCGAGTGAAATGCGCTTCTTGGCAGCTCGTGAAGTGCAAAAGCTGACGTTTGTTTGGTATCTCCGTTCTTCAAAGGGCCACTGGAGTTACACCACCAAATAGGATAGCTGAGAAGATGTCCATTTAGTTCAGGCGGGGGTGCTTTGGCCTTTTCTTTAAGACGCTGGCTAAGTAGGTTCTGCGGTCCTCCCGGAGGGTCGGACAACGTAGAGTAAGCAATGGACCAGATGTATAGCACTCCGTCTAAGATATCCATGGGGATACACGAAGCTCCTGATTCGTTATTCGCAGAAGAGTTTTTCACTCTCTTCTACCCGCACCGTTCAAGGTTTCTGGTTTGACGGCAAAGGGGCAGATAGGGAGCATGCACAGGGCTGAATCCTCTAAGGGCATCCAGTACGCATAGTTGGTTACAAATAGCTTGTAGCGAGAGCGCACAGAACATCGCAGCCTTTTATACCGAGCAAACGATACTTTGCAGCAAGTCAGACGGATAGGCAGACGAAACAGTTAGCTACTTCTTCGCCAATTCGCGACTGAAAGAGTTAGGTGCTTGGATGTCGTATAGCCCGCTAAAAGATGTCCTGGTCTTTGCCGCCACGTACTTTTGGCGTCTTCTCATGTGCGTGCTGGTCGCGTCGCGGCGGAGCGACTCTCCCCCAAAACGGCGCGCTCCTGAATTCCAATAGGCTTTGCGGGCCACTGAGTTGGCTCACTCCTACAGGTAGGGCAAGCTGATAACACCTTGCGACCTGTAAAGCTTTTCAGGCTGAAGGACTAGCTTATTAGCTAACTGATACTGCGCATCGGCTACTTGAGGGTGCTAGTAGAGAAAACAGTACCACAGCCGAGAGCCTCTACTAATTGCATTTTTTCCGTCAAGCGTGGGCCTGAAATGTCAAACTGTCAGAATACAGATTACACGAGTATTCGCTGTGTAGCGCCAAAAGCCTGAAACCCGCAAGCTCGTATACTTGAGGGCTGTAGGGCGGCATGTAGTGCACAGGCATACAATATTTTGTCTTCTAGTGCCCAGCCAACAGTACTTTGCAATAAAAATAATATTCGAACAGGCAGATACTACCCCTTTGGTAAATATGTAGTTAGTATAGTAGAAAATATTTAGCTGTAGTGTAGCCCGTTAAAGATTGCGCCTCTAATGCATTTAGCCGTTACACCGTAGCCTTTGCATCGCTAGCTACGCGAGGTGCCACCATAAAACACTCTTTTCAGCGTTGCGATTAAGGACAAGGGTGTGGCATCAAGACATTATCGTGGCGTGCATACAAAGGCATGCAGACATGCACCGCACAACCAGTTCCAATCGCAAGACACTGTACGCCGATGGGGTCCTCTGTAACAGATGGCAACAAAATAATAAGATTATGCTTATTCCTTGTAAGCTAGCGCTACGTAAAAAACTTTCGTTCTCACTGCAATTGTGATCTGGCGAACTCGCCACCTCAGCACCACGAGCACGAGTGAACTGGTGATTATAGGCTTTTATACACCGAATAGTTGAGGCCGCGTCATTGGCCTCCAAGTTAAGCCGTACGTCGCCTTCATGTCTTCATCAGTACTGCAGGTAAACGCAGAATGATGCAATTTTTTTACGTAGTTGTGTAGCACACCAAGTACCGTTTCGGTTGTTGAAGCACTGCACCAATTTAGTTTGCCGGCTTTAGGATACCCTTCGAACTTGCCTTTTACATATTATCAGCCAGTAAGTGCATAAGGCAAGGACACTTTGACCCTCAGTTTCAGTTGTGCTATGGAGTGTTTGAATGCGCCGTGTAGTCACTGAATATCAAAGCTGCCGACTTCCTAGTGAATTTCTGTCTGATATTATCAGTCGCCTAATAGGCTTCTCTCTTTCGCTCTGTTTGGTGTTACACACCCCTATTATGATCACTTCCACCATTTCACTCTCTCTGCTACTGTACAGCCGCACTTAGAGGAGTTGTACAAAAGCGAGATACACCCTTCAAGTTCGGGTTTGTTTGTTAAAAATGTCCAGGAAGTATTTAAGTTTCACTATCCTGGAACACCTCCGCACTCAGTCTTCTATCCTCATGGACAAAAGGCATGCAGAGGTCTCTCAGATTGGGGTTCTGTTGCTCTTCGTGCTCCTTGATATTCCATTCCTTAATACCGGTGATCATTAGAGAAAATGCAATAAAGGCACACCCTGAACTCCCAACACCTCCTCCCCCTCCCCTGAGAGCATCAGAGGCCGCGGCGGGAGGCAGAGACAGCAGGAAACACATGGCAACCAGCATTGGAGAGGGCAGTAGCATGAGAGACACCTGCAGGAGGGTGTTATAAATAGTGGTACAGACACAACAAACAGCCAGCAGAAAGATAGCGAGGAAAGGAGGAGGTGAACTGGGAAAGGTTTCATAGTTCAAACTGTGCAAAATGGGTATTGGCACCCACAAAAAAAGAAGGGCAAGTGCGCCCATAATTCCAGAGACAAAAAACACAAAAGTGAGTGGGTGGTTTGAACGGTTCTGCAAGAGGTACATTTTATACAAGACTTCGAACAAGCCATACGTGGCTGAGGCGCAAATAGAGAGCACCACTCCAGTGATGGACTGGGGTTCTCCCTGGCTCTCATAGGCAATGAGGGCAACCCCTACAGTGGCTAAGATCAAGGCGATCATCTGTATAAAGTCATCGGCTCCCTCCTTATATATTAAAGAAGTGAACAAAAACACGAAAAGGGAGTTAGTGCTGTAAATGGCGGTCACACTGCAGACACTCATGCCGGTCGCACCAACCGCAATGCTCCAAAACCAACCCTGCAAGAGGTAAAGACACAAGACGAGAAAACACGCAAAGACCAGTTTTGCGAGGCTCTCATATTGCACTTCTTCCTTTAGGAAAGCCTGCACACTCAAGTTGTAGTCCCTGAGGTACGGGGTATACAAGCGCCTCGTGAACGCATCATCCACCAACTGCCAGCATCTGAAGCATCCAAATCCTGTTTGCTGCATTGGTGCACGGCTGGTGCAGTTACTAGTGACAAGCGGCTCTTCTCTGTCCTCGGCTTCAATTGCATTAGCCTCAGGTCCCCATGAGTCAGTGTGACTGGGTGCGTAACTTCGTTGTGTGCCTCCTTTTGTTGAAACTTCAATATCTTCACAATGGTCAGCAGGCGCTGATAAGGCATCTCCTACATCCCTCAAGACCACTCCGTCTTGCCCATGACTTGTAGATTTCGAGAGCTGTGTCAGACCTCGCGTCTTTTTCGCATGCAGCATGGCCTCCGTGTCATGATCGGGGGGTTCGTGCCGTGAACCGGCTGCTGCGGTGGTACAATTCTGCAGTTCCACTTCGCTGATGGGGGGCCCTTCTGCTTCCCCTTCTCCGTTGCGAGCACTGCCGCGGAGCCTTGTGGGATCATACTTTGCCTTTATTGCTTTGAGGGCAATAAAGAGAAAGAATACTTGACACGCCTGTGGGAGCCATACCATCAGATAGGGCACCCGCAAGTGCTCAATCCTCACCTCCAGAACTTGTTCACCACAATCCACAGCCTCCTCCCCGCCTGTCTCTCGGGAACAAGGGGAGCTGGCACCGTCCTGCAGCTCGGAGCCAAGATGAGCTGTCACGTGCTCCTGCTGTTGTAGCACGCGACTCACTACACCGCTGGTTATGTACAACGCAATGTTGATAACGCAACATGTAACACCCACGAGCAGAGACTGAGTAGTGGTGCCGGTGTATCTATGAAGCAGCGGTGGCATACAGGATTGAGAAGGAAGAAAGGAAAGAACATGGTCAGGCGCTCCGCCCGGAGACCCTCCTGCTGCGCCCTGACAGCCGCTGGCTTCTTCGTCTTGCGCTGAGTTATAACGAAATACAGGAACCGTGCGTTCGTCAGAATTGAAGGCGTTTTGTTGGCACAGTTGAGGCCCCGGATCCCGAGCATCGCCAAACTCATCGCTTCTGTGTCTCTGGTGAAGCCAGCCAGAGTGGCCATGCGCATGCCTGTCAATAATCCTGGTGGGGGGGGTCTCACGCCAGGCGGAAGACGCCTGGCGTACCTTGTCTCCCTGAATTCCAGTGGCTTGCAGGGGTTCCTCTGCAGATGGCCTTTCTGAGTCCGTAAGCTGTGAGAGGACCCTATCGGAGAGGAGACTCTCTGAAGGGTCCAGAAAAGGCATTGTGGCGGTGCGCTACAACGATCTCATGACTGCACACATGAGTAGCTGCGCACTGGCGCCAGGGGTTACAGAGGTGCTGACCGTGCAGACCACTGAGGTGAAAGATGCTGTTCACTTGTATTTGTGCTTTTGGTCAGCTTGTTTCCAGGGCGAGGGGTTGGACAAGACAGGACATATGAACTGCTGTTGCTTCTACTTCTAAAAGAAGTGGGCACTGGTCCACCAGCAAAACCGCAAAAAAGCGTCAACATCAGTGTAGGGAACTGTCAATGCCAATTGACAGGATTGCGGGAGCCACCAGCAGGAGTTTTCATTTTGGTGAGACAGCATGGGATGAGCAGGTGCCGGTGGTCTCCCCGTTGGGCCCGATCGGTCTGGAATGGCAGCAGCGGGGCGGAACGCTTTGGTGCTGCTGCTGCCGTTTATGGTTTCGATATTCGTTTAAGTGCTGCCTTTTCAGTAGTATTCAAGTATCTTGAATCGTTTTTCGTGCTTGAGACGGTGAATCCAGGAGTTTTGGTGGGGAAACTGTCTGCCCATGGACGTAGCCGCCGGAGAAGGGCGATACAGCTGTTTCCGGTCTTCGCGCGTCGCACGTATGGCTCAGCATATCCATGGATTGCCTGTTAAAACGCCCAATGTTGACCGATTGCGGTGGCGGAAAACGTTGGGAAAGGGTGTGGTTGCAGTATACAGTTGGTGTACACCCTTTTCCCTGCATCGTGTAGGCCTAGCCGGCCTCTCGCAGAACAAAACCGTTTTCTCTAAAGCTTACGCCTCCTTTAGAATCATTCATCTTTAAGCAATGAAACGTAGCATTTCGATTGCTCAGCAGCCGCTGTCATGGTAAAATGGTGGCCATACCGATCGAAGTTTTACTTTCAACCTTCGATGCATTTTAGAGGAATTGAATTGAAATGACAAATTGGCGTCGTAGTGTGCGCACTCTTAGCTAGTCCCACTAGTAAACAACGCCTTACGATTCTTGGTTATGCTACCGTCAACAGAGCACCTACTAGAATTGTCGATACACTAGAGAAGGCTGGAAGTCTACTTGGTCTTCGTTTGTGTATTTGTTGGTGGAAAGCTATACAAAAATGGGGTAGTGCCTGTCTATTTAGCTGCTTTCCAGTAGAAAAGATGATCGCACTGCTTTTTGCGTGCGGATTTGTCATGCTTTCCCTTGGATTATCTCATAGTCTACCTTTTCCGCAGCGGCAGAACGGCTCAAATTCAACTGGAAGCCTTAACCATGGATTTGCTTCTCCCCGTCAGAAAACCCAGCCCATTGAATCAAACGCCATCGGTACTATTATTGTTCATTCGGTTTCCATAATAAGCACAGAAATACGCATGTTGTAGCAAGCCACAAACGGCAGCTTCCTTTGTACGACTGGAATGGACCACTTCAATATGAACAGTCTCGGCTCCTCCAGGTCCCTAACAATCAAAACAAGACCAGTCCACCACATTGGTATATGTTTTGTGCGTAGGAGGCTAAATTGCTGGCGGATAAGTCGCGTGACGCGCGAAAGGAGTTTGAAGGGGTTGTGGTCCACGCGCTCATTCTAAACCTATTACGGTCTGATCAAAAATGGATAACAGACACCAGCATCAAAGGTCAGATACTAAAGAAATACGTATACGTAACTGCATTTCTCATATTCAATGGAATTTCGCTTTTACATGCACCCTTGTTTAATCAACAGATATGATTCACCGAGAGAGGGAGCAAATGGAGGTCAGTTGCAGCACTATCCGTAGTGCAGTGAGAAGCAAAAATTCCAAGAATCGCAGTCAAAGCTGACTGAAGATATACTGCAAAGCGAATCTGAGATGGAGAAGGAAACTGATGATGCTTTGAAGGAAGCAGCACCACGGGGTACCTTTGATTAATGTAATGCTGTACCGATGAAAAAAGGCAATATAATCAACCTACGTGCACATGATGTCCAGAATCTTGCTCCCCTGGACGCAAGAAGGTTGTAATTGTGAAGGAAGAAGGTAATATTGTTTTCTGCCGGATTTATGTCATAACAGAAGCAGCAGTAACCTAGCAACAGAGGTAGAAGAGGAAAAGTCGCCAAGCAAGACAGAGCACCAGGAGCAAGAGGAGGCCCCAGTCCCGCCGGAGGATCAGCCTGAAAGAGAACCTTCTCCAAAGCCGGCGCATCCACATGTGGAGAGCCCAGGGCCGACTCATCCAGCAAATCGAGAACATCGTCATGCAAATTCAACACCTAAAGTGAAAGCGGTAGAGGAACCTATTTCAGAGGGGGGCGAGGAAGAGGAAGCCGAAGAGATGGAAAATCACAAACATGCGCATCCGAAACAAGGCACAAAATCGGAAGTAATCAAATTGCTTTCATTAAGCCACATTTGTTCACTAGCATTGTGCACTTTTCACAGGGCACCGGACTTCCTGTGCCAGAACGGAAGGAGGCTCCCCACGAAAAGGAGGAAGAAAAGCCAGAAGAAGAAGAAGAAGAAGAACCAGAGGAATCAGAGCCTGCAGCGGCTCATCAAACAGAAAAGCCATATGACGATGAACAACGGGTCCACGTGAGGCAACGATGCAACGCGGAAGCGAATGAGACTACAAATAGATAGCGTATTTGAGCAGAGCGAGCCGGAAGAATCCAACAAGGACAAATCAAAAGGAGAGGAAGAAGGAGGAGAGCCCAAGGAAGTAGAAGAACACAATAAAGAAATGCCCCCAGAGCCACAGGATGAAACACCGGCTCCCATATTACCTCCGGATCATCCTCCTCCCAAGCCAAAAATAGGCGCAGAAGTTCGTTTCTTGTATTTTCGGACCGAATTGTTGTTTTATGCATGGCAAAACGCAGGACCTAGAGCCGAACTGGCGGCCAGAAGAAAAACCGCATGAAGCGACACTATATGTTAATCCACAATACTCCAACAAAGAAAAAGTAAGAAGCACGTTGCTAGATCCAGGAAAGGTATTGAAAGCAAAGGCTGCATTATTTTGCAGGAAGATATGGTCAAACGCGAAACAAAGAAAGAAGGCCGTACAAGCTCATGGTACGTAGAAATCGAAGCTACAACCATCAACACGTATCTTAGATGTGCTAATGAATGCTTCCAGGATTTGGGTGTATTTTGTTTTGGTTTATCCTCTTGTGGTTACCCTTCTTCTGATAGCCCTTGCATGGTTTGTATAGCCGTACCGGCGATTTTTTATCGCGTTTGTTGCCAAACAACAAGAACATCTCATCAACAGCCGAATGCATTGTGCCGAGCCTGCGTTTCTATTTATTCAAAGCGGTCCTAAGTTGGTAGTACACGAATTTATCATTTTACGATAAGCTTAGAAAACATATTTAGTGGGGAGTTAAAAGCTAAAGACCTGAGAAAAACGAGGTTGCACAGGGCTACTGTAGTAAGGGACCTGTACACCTTTTTTGATACAAAGGGGTTTAAAAGGAGAATTTCAATGCTAAATCTAGTTACCCTCTAAGCTAAACTTTTATTTGAATGCATTGATACACAAACACTACTGGTTCCTTGTGGTTACTTCTGTAGTTCAAGTGCTTCAAATTTTCTGCCACCATGGCACAGTTGCTTCTATGGGGTCCTTAATTCCCTTCCCTGGTAGATGCTTAAGTTTCCATATAAGAAATGTTGGACCCCCGGAACCCTCGACTCCTTCTTTGGTAAAAAGATTAGCTCTGGTCTTACTGGTATTTAGTGAATTCCGAAATAGGACACGTACGCTTCTAAGCAGTGTTACTTCCAGTGTACGCAGGACTCTAAACACTGAGGTACTTGGAAGCCGAAAACCACTTAGTATCAGATCATTTAAGATCTAACTTAAATATTCGCATTAATTTAAGTGCCATCATGCCGTCTAATTTCTAATTTCGTGCACTGTTTCTGTCCCATTTTTGAGGAGTTCATTCAGTGGCTGATACGAAAACAATGCCTTTTGGCTAGGCGCGCAACTCGCGGTTCCTCGCAGTAGATCATTTACCTCATTGAAGCCTTTATTTGTATTTCAATTGATACTTGTGACGTTTTCTGGAGGCACAAGCAAAAGGCCCCCTGCCTTGCTCTTGTCTCCTGTCTGTGCTGACCCCCTAATGCCACGCTGCATGCACGAACGACGTATCACGGCAAAAATATGCACCAATAAGGCATTTACATCTAAAATATGATGAAACACAATAAATAGCTGGCGGCTAGTCGGGTCACATGCGTGTGCGCTCGCTATCTTACAAAATATAAGCCGTGGCTCAGCTGGTGTGCCTTTTTTGCCCCCCAAATTTCGTATACTTCGTTTTCGCCTTTCCCTCTTCCTAGCATTTGTTTTGCGCGAGATGTAAGCAGCTTTCATACTAGTATCATCATGAAACAAAGCACAATGTGCCTGATAAACTGCTGAGGAGACACGATGAATCTCCAGATGCCCAACGCAGCCGGGTCTGAGCAAAATGCAACTAGAACCGAAGCAACACCAGAATTGTCCTCTCTAGAGCCTCCAGCCTCTCCCCTTAAGCCTAAAAAGAAGAGGCACCAGGTCGTATATTGTCTAAATTTGACAAAATATAAAGTTATTAGGAAGGTCTTCGCAAGTTTTCCCGGATGGACTGAATGCGAAAATGAGGAGGAAGATTGGGTATGTCGAGGCCACGGACAAAGAAAACCAGAATAATGACAACAAATAGCAATTGGCAAAGACCAAGCAGAAGCAGAAGAGATATACTAGCTACGACACTTTATCTCTCAATAATTTATGTAGCCTGGTGTTCAAAAAAGCAGGACAGGCACTGTCTTAAGAAGGCTTCAATCTCACACTGGCCTACACAACAACAGAAGAAGGTAGCTTTGCCATCAGCCGTGGCAACAAGTGTATGCTAACACGAATAGCACACATGAAAATCGAAACTACGCGTCTTAGCATGGCAAGAAGAAATACTGTCGGCCTGTCAGTTGCCCTACAACGTCTAGAAATAGATAATCGACTAGCAGTTCTCTTTTTATTTGCTTAATGAATGCAGGATATTCTGTGGAGCGATGCCTCCATTAGCTTTGAGAGATTTCTAAGAATGAAACCGTACCAAAAAATAAATCATTTTGTTGGAACCCATGCAATTACGCGGTGAGTTGTTACTATGATCAAACGTGATATAAAGTACAAAGATAATGAAATAGCAAAATGAGTGAAAAGACAGAAAAAATGCATGCATTACTAGCTAAATCGAGCGTATTAAATGAAGGTAAAAATGGGCACAAGTGAGCACAAACCCGAGGGCAAGCCACATCCATGTAGGATAAACATGAAAACAATATTGCTTACTCACTTGGCTCAACACTTCACTGGACACTACTATTTTGTTTTCTTAGGAAAAATTTCTTGGGAAGAAACCTGCAAAGGATGAAGGCATACTACCCAAAGGAATACAAATACTTTCCCTCTACCTGGATTCTCCCTACGGGTCAGTACGAACCCTAAACCGTGCACCGTAACTCGGAAGGTATGAAATATGGAGAACCCTTGACCTGCCTCTTTGTTTTCGCTTTGCTGTTATTCAGATGGCGCTGGTCTTTTGGCTCAGTTTGCAGACAAGAAGAAAAAAACCTTCATTATCAAACCCGATTCGGGCAGTCAGGGACGTGGAATTTATCTAACCCAAAATATAAATGATATCGAGCTCTCAGAGCATTTTGTAGCGCAGAGATACATCCACAAGCCGTTTCTTCTGGATGGGCTGAAGTTCGATTTGAGGCTCTATGTCCTGCTCGCCGGGTGCAATCCTTTGAGGGTATGGAGCCTTAAAAGCTAAACCCTGGGCAAAAAGAGCAAGAGTTTCCATAAATTTAATTCCATTGAAGATTGCTTATCACATCTTTATTGTTATTTTTCTATTATAATAAACTTCATGAAACGGTAGGAAGGCGCGTATACTTTAATAAGGAGAAACTATTGTATTGTTGCAATTTTACATGCAACTTCGGATCCGTATATTATAAAACTAGCTCTTAAGCACATTCGCATATCTGAGTTATCGTGGTTGCGGACTTATATAATTCTGTGGCATGCATTTATATGTGCAAGTTGTTTCGCGCACTAAGAGCGTCATTTTAAGTCCTCAGTTACATAATCGTGAAGGCCTGAAATTGAAAAATATGCATGCAAAGCTCAGCTCTCAGCTAAGCCCAAGCACTAGCGCAGCTTGTTATGTATCTAATTATTTAACCATGGCGAACAAAATAAAGCCGTTGAGTCGGGTTGCAATTTATTTTCTTCATTGTGTTTTCATTCCTGAAGTTCAGCTCTTTCTTCATCGAGATGGACTTGTGCGATTTGCCACACACCAGTACGAGGCGCCCAACCCAAGTAATTGCAAGGACCTGAAAATGCACTTGACAAATTATGCCATTAACAAATCTTCTTCTGAGTTTCATTTCTCGCAAAACCCACAAGAGGCCACAGACGGTCATAAAAGGAGCTTATTCCATGTATTGGAGCGACTGAGGCAAGAAGTAGGGGTATTTTTCCTAAGCTTGCACTACAATCGCGTAAACGCTTTTCGGCTTCGCTGCTCGCCATGATTTAATATTGTCTGCAGCTTGATAGGCAGCTGCTTTACTTGACACTCCAGCTTCTTCTTTGTCCAATACTACCGTGATTGGTTGTATTTGATGACGGCTTGATTGTTGCATGCCTGCAAGTGAAACACATGATTCTACGTAGAGGGAGAATAGCCATCTGCACTGAGGGCATCCTTTATTTCACCGTACACACGATGCGAAGATATGTACACGCCTGTTGATAAATATGTCTGAGTTTGCTTGCTAGCTTTGATGTAATTATTGAGTTCTCAGTTTTCGGCTATCTCTCTTCGCACTCTTTTTTCTCCTAACTTTACTGCGGTTCCCTTTTCCTGATCATGCTTAGGGGAGGGACGTGGACTCAATATGCTCCAAGATACATGACATGCTGATTAAAACAATCATTACAATATATCCATCGTTAACTCATATTTACTCTTCATGCAAAGCACAAGACACGACGAATTCCGTTTGCTTTGAAATATTCGGAGTCGACGTTCTGCTGGACCACAAATTGCAGCCCTGGCTAATTGAAGTGGGTAAAGTTGAGCTAAAGGTCCATATCCCTCAGTCATTGTAGTGTTAGACTACCTCAGAAGATAAATTTTGAGCTTAGTTACGGCGGTTGAATCAATATGCATATTCACTTCCAGAGGTGAATCTGCTTGGTAATACCGCTGCTCAAAGTTCAACCTGGGTGTGTGTATATTTTTTCGCAATACCTACTATTTTTGGTGTGAACGGAGCTGTTTTATGGGGAATTGCGAGTGCATGACTGTGGAGATTAACACTAGAAAAGAGGTACCGAAAAGAAGAGTGAAAAGGAGAATTTTTTTCCAAATATTACTAAGGTGTGGAGCATGTGAATTTATTGCTAAGGTAAACCATTCCCCTTCTTTCGCTACGGACAGTGCATTGGATAAACAAGTGAAATTTGCGGTCATCCGGGACGCGGTCAAACTTGTGGGCATCTCTGCGAAAAACAGAAAACGGTATGCCTTTGCCGTACGATATTTGGGATTTTAGGCTGTCAAATGTAATGCGTATGCGTCTAATAATGGCTTTGGCCTGCTTTCCTTGTTCGTTGTACTCTTTTACTATGAGGCTGATCTGATCTTTCCTACCTTGGGCTACCTCTTTTATGGGTTTCCTGAGAAGCGGCTCATTTTCGATACTGCACAGTGCAATTCGCTTGCTGTACTTCATGCTAATCGCTTGATCCCGGTGAATTTGCGCGTTATCTGCTATTGGTTGCCATAAGCTGTTTTGCGTGCTGCCAGTCAAGGTGTGAGTTTTGCTTCTCATTTTTGCTTTTGTGCGCAGGTATTTGGCTGCACAGAAGGCAACTTTAGACCGGAGCCTCAAAACTTCGCTGCCGTCTGTGCAGAAGAGAGAAGAAAGAATGAGGGTAAAGGCAGAGGCAGAAGCAGAGTGCGCACGGCAACAGACTGACTGGGAGGACAGACACTTGGGGGGCTATCAAAGAATATACCCGACAAACGATGGTGAAGAGAAATACAGGAAATTCTTTGATGCAGCAAAGGAGATTTGGGGAAATTCAACGGGAGTCAGCAAAAGTCGACCTATTTGGGACCAAATTCAGCAGAACAAACAATCTAAACTCGACGAGGAAGCATCTAGCGCAGTCAAACCCGCTGTTGTGACCATGCAGCCAAATTGCTGGACCGAGGAGAAGGCACATGAACGAAGAAAGCCAATAGAGAAAAGTAACACCGCTAACACCTACATCAGAAACGGCAGAAGCACCAGCACGGTCAGTAGCATCGTCGGTCAAACAAAACGTCCCAGCGACTCGCAACGCTTTAGAGCCTCCTCGGTCATGAGCCAGCTATTATTCGCTTCCCAAGCCCATCGTCGTTTCCATCATCTCAGGTCGCACCAGAAACCAATTCATGAGAGGCCACCACAAGCGCACTTCTTAGGCAAATTCTCTACTGATAGACAGCAGCGATGGCTTCCTCTTACACACGTACCAGGGCTTTGCCATACAAAGGAGCCAGCCGGAGGGGAGAGTTGCTTGGATATTGTTCTCTCTCCCGGTTCTGACAGCTTGCCAAGCTGCAAGGAGGAAAAACGAGTCCAGGTACCATCACATCAGGAACAAGAAGACGTATTGTCTCACGTTCCAATAGAAAATTCTTCAGAGGCAAGCGATGCTCCGAGGAGGGGCCTTGACTACATAGGCCATTGCGGAAGAAAGGCACGCCAGGCTGGGGACGGCACTGTGGCAGGCTCAGTTTTGCATCCTTTTGATCTAACCACTGCTGCTCCACCAGTATTGTGTGTGTCAACGTCATCCACTTCACCCTCCGGCTCTTCGTCGTCTTTTGACGCCACTAGGAGAGTTCTGATTCCTCCTGATGGTGGCTCGCAGCAACAGAGCGACATGCCGGGCTGCGGGCAGGGAATGCAGAGCAGGAGCTCTATCTGCCTTGGAAGAAAGCATCCTGCCTGGGCGGCTCGTGCTCGAGCTGCTGCCACTAAAACTTGTAATGCCATAAGGGGGGTTCCTATGAGCCTTCCATGTGTGGAGCTGTCTCTTGGTATTCAGCCAGCAGCGGCCACTAAAATGCACAGACATCATGAAGCACGAGCAGCGCACGAGGGGGCGCAGATAGAAGAATGCGAAAACCGGATTTTTTCAACTCGATAATGTCTGCAGCAGTAGGGATTTTACGAAAGGACAATAGGTTGAAGTCCATGCGGTACAGTGCTGTTCTGTTCCCATATCGTTGCCGGTTGGGCGGCGTTGGGAGATAAATGCTTGATAAATAGGCAGACATAAAAGAAAGGATATGGGACAAGAGAGTTTTAGAAAGTTCCATGTAGAATATGCATCTATGCAGCAGAAGGAAGAAGTGAATTCGAGGTCCTTTGCTTGTTTGGGGTATCAGTGAAACAAACTGGTTTCAGAAAACGTTTGAATGCAACTGTGTGGTAAGAAAATCAGAGGGGCAACACGGAAGTATGATAAAGTCTTGAAACATAAACCCAGAACTGGCTTAAAACTCTAAAACTGCTGCTGACAAAGTGTTCCAGTGTGCAGCCATCTTCTGGACTGCCAAAGTACAAACCACCAAACTGGCCAAAGCATAAACTAAGTAGGCTCGAAGTGTATAAAGATAGGGGTAATTATACTTTTATGAAAATGATAATGTCTTTTGCGTAGGCTGTAGCCCGTTGCTTTTCTGGAGAAAAAGAAGAATTCTTATTTTAAGGTGAAAGTCCCTTCGTTGTTGTGTCCAGGCTATCTTCCCCTTGGCAGTGCAAACGCCCACGGGAGTTTTTTGGGATACAACGCAACGGATGCAAATGGCTCTGGTGCATCCAGGGAGCCTTCTATCTCTGCAATTGTTTTCACTACGGCTGTGTTGCTCCTGATTTCTTCTCTCTGCTGCGAAGAGCCACTAATTCTGCCGCTCACTTCTTCTGTATCCCATGAAAAAGCAGCCGAGACAGATGAAGGGAGCGGCATTGCGTGGTTTTGTGTGTATCTGGAGAGATATCCGGCGCAGGAAGGGAGAGAGGCCAGCAATTCGGTCCTTGAGACTGCGTGGTAATTTACTGTTAGCCCTAAGCACCCACGCGTACCAACGCCAGCATACAAGAACGATGAGGCCGTCACAAAGCAGCATAGTAGGATAACAGGAATATTGGAGAAAACTTCTAACGATACCAGGTGTGCAGTTTGGGACACCTAATAGCGGAACTGCTACACCGTCACACTGCACTTTCGGGGTAAGATTTGAATTGAACTAAGGCCCATTAGCCCAGAAAGAACAAAGCTTCACCTGGGGCCTGAAGAAGCTGTAGTCTTGCTGCAGTTTGTTTGGAAACGGCCGGCGGTTCCTTGATTCCAAACGAAAGGAGGATTGCACTAATAAAGGAGGGTACCTGCCATCTTCCACGGCAAACACAGCAAGTCTAGGCGGACTGTGCTAACGAGAACGAATCGGCTAGAGGGTCCGTCAAAAACAGAATTATCAACCCCTCATGATCAGGACCCATCGACCAATGCATTTAGTACATGGGGAAACCCGCACCAATATTAGCAGGAGCAAAAACCAGTCAAATATATTAAGTAGACCACCACACATATGCCACTAGGGCCTGGCCTACCTTTCATATTTGAGTCGAGAAGCCTGCAGAGCGTAAAGTCCCAAGAGCGAGCGATACATCAATTCGCAAGAGGCCCGCAACGGAACGGCTGCTTCCCAGGTCGTAGGTATGGAACACACTGGTGAGCGAGAGGCTTCTGCTGACTCAATCCCGGCACTGGCAAGAGAGAGTGGCAGCAACGAAGGCTGCGGGACTCCATTTTCATCGTTTGCAACATGTTTCTGACAGAACTGGGCAGGATAATATTCTGGCAGGAGCCCACAGAGCCCTGTCTCCTCTTCTTTATCTTGCTCTACGGAGTCCTCAGGCGTTTGGGGTCGATGGACACCCAAAGTTCTCTGGGAGTCATCCTGATAACGCTTTGCAGCTGCTCGGTATGAAACAGCTCCCGCTCTTTCTCCTAAGGCCGCTGCAAAAACTGCGCTTGGCTTGAGGAGGCATAAGGTTGTTTGTGCATCCGCTTCTTGAAGGTGTATCTGCTGTTTGTAGCATTCAAAAAGAAAATGTCCATCCAGGTCGCTAAGAGCCAACAGCTTGCGACAACCTCTACAAATGCCACCCCATAAAGCCGTAGCACGCAATTTGGAAATAAAAATGGACAATGGGGGATCAAAAGCATTACTTGTAGATAAACCACACACCATTTAAGACATGAAAACGGATCCTCGGAGAAATCTAAGAAACCTCCACAGCGGTCGACATGCGGCCCCCAGAATTGAGAGTTTCGCCTCACTAGGCTTACATGAGGCCCTCTGGAGAGGAACAGGAGGTTTTTTTTGGAGAAACTTAAAAAGAACCCCCTTTTGCATAAGATTTGAAGACACGGCTCACCTCGGCGCTCTGGCTGCTCGCTGTACGTATAGTTCAACGCTCTTTGGAGTTCCAACCTGCACCACATAAGCAAACAGCAAAGAAAGATGTGGAAAAGTATGCAAAACCCAAGCAAGGCCCCACTACGTGCTTGGGCCTTTGTTGGGCTGTGCGCTATGTTGCATGCCAGCTCGCATGTCTAAGAATGTAAAAGAAACAACAAACCCGAGCCTTAAAATATGTAGCGGTAAACTGATGCTCACCTGCATGATGAGCTGTGGGCACCCCAACTGGACCCCCACAGCAGCAACATCTGTGCAAAACAAAACTTTTAGCCTACGAGCCTTCTGCACTCCCTCTCCGATCTCGTTTGCCGGCTCAGCAGCAAAAGCTTCCACTACGGCCCTTCGCTTTTCTGCAGACAAGCGGCTGTGCAGGCAGAGCAAAGAAGGAAGGGGCACGTCAACAGGCCAACAATCTGCCGCCACAGAAGAATTCATATCCTCGCCCTCTCTCCATTTGCTATTGCTGCCGTCCCTGCCGCGGTTGCTGAGGAATCCGTCATCGCTGCTGTTGAACGCGCTGCTGCTCCGGCTGCAGCTGGTGTTGTCGTCCTCTTTGGCGTTCAGGGCCTCTGTAGAGCCTCTGGACTCCGCCTCTGCACGCTTGGCTTGGTAGATCACATTCTCAGCATTCGGGAGCAGGAAATGCTTGAAAAGTGCATAGTGAAACTGCAGAGCCTTTGTAGAGCTAAAAAACACCAGCACGCGACCACATGGACGCGATAATCTAGGCCCTGCTCCTCCTGCCTCTCCTGCCGGTAATATCCGGTTTGCCACTGTTTCTGAGAGTGCTGCTCTATCTGCTGCCGCTGCTGCAGTAGCTTCCCTTTGTAGCACATTGAATAGCAAGTGTCCATGTAGCTCTGGAGGGTACAAGAGGAATTCTTCTGGCATACCAACATTTCGGAAACCAGAAGAGGGAAAATGCACAGTGCTACGAGCGCCCTCTGGTGCCCGTGATAGCTCGTAACGCTTCTTAGACAGAAATTCCTGGCTACGCTTGGGGCCCCATAAAGATTGGGGCTGCTCCAGATCCAGAATGCATGCTACCCGTGACACCTCTGTCTCAAGGCTGTTGTTCGAAAGACTCTCGAGAGGTCCGGTTACACCCATAGGAGGCGTATTTTCGTCTTGTAGCATGCAAGCTTGCGGCGGCGGCTCCGCCAGAGGCTTCTTGGGTCGCAAGCGAGCCGCTCTCTGTGGCGCGTCTGTGTGCACCTGTGTCTCCTCTGGCTTGGGCAGTGGGAGCGTAGGAAGCAGGACTTGGAGGCACTTGGATTGAGATGTCTCAATGTTCCCTGGGGTAACGAGAGGCAAGCTGTGGGAGAGCTGCTGGGGGGCACGCCACTGAAGCAGTGCCGATGCGGTCATTGGGGGAGGGCCCTCCAGGCAGTTTAGGATGAAGGAGTTAACCCGCATCAGCCGCGCCGCGGTGCCCCGCACTTCCCAAGACAAGCTGCTAGCCAGCATAATGCACTTGTGGTCTGAACCACACTCGCAAATGTGCAAACACAAAAGATGAGGATCAGGAAATGAAGGTTTCAAAAAGTGATTCCCGTAAATGCAGCCATCGTGAAGAAATTGGAACAAATAGTCTCCACAAGCAGCACACAGGGCACTCCCCGGATGCCCCCTGGAGTCGTCCGATGCCTCACAAAGGGCCATTGAATGGGCTCATATAGGAGCAGGAGTAGGGGCCCCCCTTGTATTTTCTTCCCAACACCTCTTAGGGTCTCGGCTGCTTACCAGCTGGCATGAGCTCTTTCAACTTTGCAAGAGTACGTAGCATCAGTGGCTCCTGCAGTTGAAGAGCCGCGTCTTCTACAACCATAAGTTTACAATTTGAGAGCAAACTAGTGGTGCCCTTAGGGATTTGTCCAGCTTCCTCCATTCGCCGCTGACTTGCAGCCAGCAAGAAGTGCGTCAATTCTTCAGCTTTGCCGGGAGTACAGACAAGAACGTGGGGCCTCTGCCGGTGCACCACAACAAATTGTTCCCAAGGGCACCCCCCAGAGCCGCTCTCCCCGGGGCCCCTCCCCAGCAAGAGGGAGACTCGCAGTTGACTGTAGCGCCCAATGGCCCCTAGCAACTTTCGCGTCTGCACCGCCATGTCCCGTGTAGGCGTCACCACCAACGCCAATACGCAACCAAGAGAGGGCCCGCGGGGGCCCCTCCCAGCCGTGCTAGAACTGCCAGAGGCAGCTTTATCAGCAGAAAGGTGGCTCCGCTGTTCACTCACCAGCGAGCTCACGACCGCCACGGCTGCCGCAAGTGACTTACCCGTGCCAGTGGGGGCGGCCAGCAGCACGTCAACTTGCCGCTGCAACAGCAGTGGCAGTGCAAGCTGCTGTAAGGGGAGCAGATGGGTAACTCCAGCGACTCTGAGAAGACCTAGGAGTGGCTCTTGAGGCAGAGGGATGCATAATGCACCGCTCTTGGGAAGGCTGCTTTCTGCCTTGTACCACGCAGCGCCTGCGGAACTCACAGAGGGGGCTCCAGCCTCCACGTCCAAACCTGTATCTGTTGACGGAGCGGCAGGAGTTGCTATTCCTGCCCCCGCTGGAGACGCATGGCTGTGTGGAGCCTCCTTCCCCGCTACGAAACCTGCGCGCTTCTCCATGATATCTTGCAGAGAAATCCTTAAAGGCTGAGGCAAGACAGGAAAACGGAACTCCCTGTAGCTGCCTCCCCATACCCTCTCCAGCGGTACCGGGAGCCCCGCGCAGCTTTCTCGCAGCATAAAGCCCCAAAACGCTAGAATATCCTTTTCCCATAGAATCCGCTCCAGCGGGTGTACCCGACAAGGCGCTCCCGGTGTCTCGGATCTACAAGGAGGCCCAGGGCCCCCTGGTTGGCTGGTTGCCCTCTCACTCTCATCCATGCAGCGGGCCGGGGGCTTTTCGGATTGCTCAGAGGTAGGTGCGCTCCCGGGTTCAATGAGATATCCACGGGTAGAACCAGAGGAACAAGGAGGAAAGGACGAAGGGCAGTATTCGGCCGGTGCTACGGAAGCAGGGGGCAAGCATTTCCCGTGAAACGCAGGCCGTTTAGACAATCTCCGGAGCTGAATTACAGGTCGGTGCCTCTTCGTAGCCGTCGTGGCAGAGTTTTGGCCGCAAAACTGCCCTCCAGGGGCTCCTTGAAGGGCGCCGGCGCCGAAGGGAAGGAAATCGCGACAGCGAAATGAGCGGCCCGTTGAAGGGGCCCCCGGGGGGCGGAAAGCAAAGTAGAAACGAGGGTACATCGACAGGCAACATGTAGAAGAGTTTTAGAGTGGGAAGTCCGGGATAAGGGTGTCGGGTTTCAGGCTTCGCTGATCCCTGGCCTCAAGTGGGCATCACGGTCTTCATGAGATGAGAACAGAAGCACATGGCCTCGAGTTTATTGCTAGCACTTAAAGAGGCTCGGAATATCTAGCAAAAACCTTCCGAAGTAACAAGCCGCGAAAAAGTTGAGAAGAAGAAGTACTTATCATACAAGGTGAAATAGGTCTTAATTGCTGCAGCGGGAGGCAAGGGATGGGGTTTGAGGCTAGATGCTTGCAATACGCCATAATGACACAAGTCTACTAAAGTGAGTAGCAAAGTTTCCCTACTCTTTTGTATACGGAGGGCTACCCGGAGCACTACACTCCAAGCAACGTAGTGGTAGCCACATACATAAGCCTGAACTGTGGAAAGAGGAGCAAATGCAATCACATGAAATGCCCCAAGACCAATGCGATGGACATATAAGAAAACGAAAAAAGACTTGTGAGGCTGTACTGCTGCTTGTTCTGGTCGACGATATAGTCCAAAGGCGGATTCTGGGGGGCCCCCTCGAGGCCCCCGGGGACACCTACCAAAAGTAGCCTAAAATGACAACACGTGGCGTGGACACGCATAAAACAGTCGGTAAGATGTAGTGAAGGGGATATTAGTAGCCGTTTGAGTGAGAAAGCCAGGGGATGTTTTGGTAAGGGGCAACCCAGGGCAAAATCGATTGTACTCGGGTGGTGTGTTGTCGTCCGTACCGGTAAAACCCTAGGCCTTACACCTTGATCCATTGTGTATCCTTACGGCTGCTTTGATACTGCTACTCGCTGCTTAGTAGGCAGGTGATAAAAGGCATCTGAGAAGCGGCATTATCGCCAACTCGTGGGCATAAAAGGCACTGAGGGTAAATGGTCGCTTGCATTTGTCGTTTCCCTTCAACTATCCGAAGACTTTCTGTAAAGTCCCTCTGTGTCATCAAACGGTTCTTCTTTGCGAGATTAGCCTTTTAACCGGCTTTACTTTAGTCTGCCATGAGGAAAGTCAGTTTAGTGGACTACGCTGCACATATATCCTGACAAAAGACCTAAATTCCTTCATTCAAATAGTAGAACTCTTTGGTAAATAAAGTTTTTCTTAGGCTTGCATGTCCAGTTTTAATTTCTTCGTCAGGGAAATGGCTTGCCGTCGAGGTCAAAAGGGGCTAATGCAGAAAAGCCTTCTCGTCCAGTCGCTTATTGAAAGACTCTTATAACGGTTGTATCCTATTCAGAAGAAACAATGCATACTGGAATGACCGAAGAGCTAGTGTGTGGAGTTTGGGCTAATCCTGGAGCCCCAACACACTCTGACACTTTTTGCTAAGGGCCACAGGTTCTTCGCTTGCAATCATGGGTAATTGAAAAGTGACGAAGGCCCCTATGGCAATTCAAAAACGTTTGCAAAATAGCAGTATGGTGCACTTGAGGATCGGCTAAAAAGGAAATTCCCCTAAACAACTCACCAGGAGAAGCGAAAAGGAATTGCAACGTTCCATCTAAGGTCTTCGTGCACAGACACCTGCCTCCAGACTCAATACAAACTTGGGATAATTTTTTTGAGTGTTTGTAAGAGACCTCCGTTCCCCACCTCCCCAAACCCCTGAGCATTCTTGGTATGAGGAGGTAGGGGACAGCTAAAAGGTAGGAGGCAAAGCTACATTTGAACACGTTCTACTGCATTGAGTATATCTACGAATTAGTAGATAATTGACTAATTGGTTTGGCTGCTCATATATATTATTTACTGTAGATTTTGATACCTCAATACCTGAAGACGCAATGCTGTGTGCGTGTTCACTAAATGCTTTATGCATCTGCACATGAAAGCAAAGCTTGCAGTGCTGAATCGGTGCACTTACGTGCACCCGAGCTGGCGCTCTCTTCTCCCATAGGGAGCTGTTAGGGGAACGGGCAATGGAAGGAGTGATTCTCTTGGAAAACAATCAGCTACTTTTTTATGAGGTTGCATTGAGCCCGGATTGGAGCGTCTTCCTATGGAGAGCTTAGATAAAACATTACACACAGGGTGTGGCATGGCTGCTCCCTTCGAGCACTATAAGCGTCCACCGTTAGATGTATATAGCAGCTAGCGCACACGCACACAACACTTCGTAAATTAAGCTAACAATACCTTGCAATGAACAAAATGTATCAACAGGAAACCAATTAACCATTTCCTTACTTGCTCATTGTTTATCATAGCAAGTGCGGTAGATAGTTTAGATTGTACCTTAGCCCACTGCAAGGGAATCGTGTGTGGTATTAGACGATCACAAACATAGAAGGAAAACGACGGCGGTTTATATATCATAGTACAAGGAGCACGATGACAGCTGAATAATCAAAACGGCAGACAGTTAATTTTAAATGTAGATTTAAAGACAACTCGCGTGCTTAGATTAAATGCAGGCAAAATCGATACCAACGGACCCACTGATCGAATTTTGTATTACATTGTGCATTGCGAATGCTGTACATTGAGATTTACAGTTGTTACTGTCAATCATAGCAGCTTTTACTGCTCAAAATGAGATGCATGAATGACTACACGAAATATTTACTGGGCCGCACCTTCGGACCTCCTTCAAGCCAAATTACCCTTCGTAGCTCTCCATCTGCGTCTTCCTTGGGTTCCCTTCCTCTTTTCTATGCTTACTGCGGGATGTAGCTTGACTAAGTGGAACTCAATAATGGCCTGCTATGACTCGCATTGATACGCTAATGAGCGCAGAACCTGAGGTCCAAGGGTCTCTACATTTAACAGCATGGTGTAGTCCGAAAGCAGACCTGCTGAACTTTTAATCGCAGATCTCCGTGAAGAACTGTTCAGGTACTCGTGCATCTGCAAATCCTTTTCACGAACGCAAACGGTCGGCAAACGCACGCCTAAATGATGTGCTGATGCGCCACCGTAGAGCACAAAACACCACAAAGAACTTCCCATGCAAGCCATTAACTCGACTAGTCCGTACAGCCTGTGCCTTTCAAGCGTATTTACTCAAACTATCGGGATGAAAAGTAGCAAAATATGGATACAGCAAACGTCTCAGGCATTCCCAACGAGAAATCGATGCACATATTAGAAATCAGGTAGAGATGGGTGAACAAAATAGGGGCCAAATTGGGGTTGTCAGTTCACCCCAATCCACCTCGTCCGGGTTCTCCGTTGTACCCATCATCACAATGCGTCACGTCAACAATATACAGAGCTCAAAGGGTGGTGTGCTTGCTGTAGGCTCGTTTTAAATTTCATATATGTTACTGGCGAACTCCAAAAGCTGAACTCGGCTAAAAGTAGAATCCATCCAAACGAGTGCCAACCTTCGAAGCTGGCTCTTGTCCATAGGATACGGCGGTGGGAAGAAGGTAGGGACAGGCAGTGAGGAAATCTTTTTCCTGGAAGGGCACCTACGCATGCACACCTCAGTAGTTAGTCACCTAAGAAATCACCCTGAATGGCTTAAGGAAACCAGTCAAACGTATCAGCTCGCATACACGTCTGAGCAGGCTCTAGTGTCGAAGGTCGACTTTTCCCCAACACCAAAGCTACTGCTTCCTGTTCTGCCAAGTAAATACACCGGCGAGGGCTGCATTAAGACGTGGAACGTCGCCACGAGCTATTTTGGTCACATCACAACTTGGGTAAAGCATCAATTGAAAAACCCACGGATATTTCATGAATGAAAATTTATTGAGTCTCCCGCTCACTGCTGGCTGCTTGTGCTCTGGGCGTGACCACCCGGTGTGCAGCACCCTGTGCCGCATGTGCGAGTAGGAGGCATATTGCTTTTTGTATGTCCCTCCCATGGCCTATGTTGATGCCTGCCCGACACTTGACTAATTTCATCTACATAATATCCTTTCCCCGTTGTCTAGAGCTGAGCTCAAGGATTTTCTTCGGCGCTGGAACATCACGAAGCCCATCGAAGCATGGTACACCTTGCCACGCATAACGGCAAGTGCACGCTCACGTTTCAACATGCCACTCCGTTTTTGGAGTCGATCTCTTCCTGTACAGATATCTCCTGGATCTGTGGTGTCTAGCTCTCCTTAGTGCGTTGAAACTTCTGGACGGTGTGTGGCTGCAGATCCGTAATGTGTGCTCGGTTGTGTGAGTGGTTGAACGGTTGCTGTGCATCTAAGGTATGACAATTTTGCGTCTTGGTGTTTCTGTGGCCAGATGAATGTAACTGAGAAACAATTTAGAGCTCAGACACAGTATTTCATGTCTGCCTCTATGTCAATTTGTATTCAGGCGGAAATGATGAGAACAGTGCTGCCCGTTTGTCTCACCCTTTCCCTTTGCCGCCTGCTGTCCACTTTGGCCGCCCCAGAACATTTCAGCCAATCTTTTGTACTTCCTGAGGAGCTCTTTCACCCCCTCAGCGAGTCTATAGACACGATTTTCAACATAATTTTGCAAGAGACGGAGCATGACCTGATCAGCCAGCAAGTACCTCTACAGGCATGCAGCAACAGCACACCCACCGTCAACAATAACAATCCTAATGGCTTTAGGTGCCGGCGCGTTCTAAGCGGCGAACCGAATGGAGCTCGAGACTTGCTGCCTTTCCTTCTAAATGACGAAGAAGCAATGAAACTGTGGCGCGCCCACTTCCAGCGCCACGTCAGGGACCTTATGAGGGAGGCATTACACCAGAGCGGTTCAGACACACCCCTGCACGGCCTTGTTCTGAAACAATTAGCAGAGATGGAGTTCTGGGGTAGTAGGCCAGCAGTGAGCCAAGGGGGGCTCCAGCACTTGAGACTGGAGATGCAGCGCCACAAGTTGCAAGCAGCAGAGCGGGGAGATAACCCAGATCGCGCAGTCACTTGGGAAGCGGAGGTTTCTTCCCGTTTTAAATACCAAAGCATAAAGGATGCCACGCGTCTCATGGGCACATATCTCTCATCACATGATAACCCAGATAAGCCAACCGTGCCGTTGGGGGAGCCTCTCCCGGTCAAGCAATTCCCTGCTTCTTTAGGACCCGTCAAGGAGAAAAGCTTTGACGCTCGAGAAGCCTTCTCACAGTGTAAGGATGTGATTGGGCACGTGAGAGACCAAGGAGACTGCGGCTCCTGCTGGGCATTCGCAAGCACCGAGGCACTGAATGACCGCTTCTGCATCAAGACGAACGGACAATTTTCTATGCTGCTTTCCCCCCAACACACGACTTCATGTTGTGATCTGTTGCATTGTTTATCGTTCGGTTGCAATGGGGGGCAACCGCACATGGCCTGGCGGTGGTTCTCTCATGATGGTGTTGTCAGTGGGGGGGATTACGACGAACTGCACACGGGGAAGAGTTGCTGGCCTTATGAAATACCCTTTTGCCAGCACCACTCTGAAGGTCCGTATCCCGAGTGTAACGGTCCGATCCCCAAGGCTCCCAAGTGCAGGAAGGAATGCGAAGAGGCAGAATACAGCACCAAGGTCAAGGCCTTCAAGGATGACTTGCACTTTGCTACAACCTCGTACAGCGTTGAGGGAAGAGATGATATCAAGAGGGAACTAATGGAAAACGGAACGCTCTCTGGAGCGTTCCTTGTATTTGAGGATTTTTTAATGTACAAGAGCGGGGTGTACCACCACGTATCCGGGAGCCCCATGGGGGGCCACGCCATCAAGGTTATCGGCTTTGGAAACCAAGATGGGAAAGATTACTGGCTCGCGGTGAACAGCTGGAATGAATTCTGGGGTGACAAAGGGACGTTTAAGATCGAGATGGGAGAAGCCGGCATCGACAGAGAGTTCTGCGGGGGGGAGCCAAAGGTACCTCAGGGCGTGGGATTCCTGCAGCAATTAGCGCAAGATTTGTAGTGAATGTGTACATTGAGTCCCATGCGAAGCACGCCTAGCAGCTCTCACGCAGCGTCATACCGGGCAAAGGCTTTCAGCTGTGGAAGCACATGCACTTGCGTTGGTGACGGGGACAAACAATAACTCCTAGCCAACCCCCAAGTGGCGGTGATTGACTTTTCCAGTCACAGTACGCTGAAGAATCTACGCTCTATCCTGGCTATCTGGCGTGTGGATGTTAATGCAAAGCGAAACCCGTGTTTGACGTGTATTCTATAGGCTTGCGTCGCGGGTTCGCATAGGGGTGTCCTACAGAACCGAACAGGCGGCTGCGCAGTCAGCTCATTGGCGCCATGTTGTGGGCCATAACCAATATAGGGTTGTGTCAATTCGCTGGCTGTTTGAGGAATACCGCAGGTGGATTGAACAATGATGCATGAAGTCTCGCTAGGGACTTGCAGCAAAGTCGCTTGTGCAGCCGTGCTGTGGGGTCACGGTCCACCATCTACGCATTTTAAATCGGTATTGTATACATATATAAATACACCCATAGGTGTATCATACGTATAATGTGTATATGTAACTACTCAACGATTTTGGTTTTCTGCATGTGTATGCATGCAAAAATGTGTTGACGCATGGATACCTTCTCGCCAGTATTACAAGTTTGGGTCTTGGTAAACATTTGAGAACGCACTGCATTTAGTTGTGCTGCCGTGATGAAAGGCGCAGGGTGGATAAGTAAAGCGGAAAAGAAGTTTCTTGGGTTGGCCGTAGTAGGCACTAAGTCGTCTCGGCACTTCGTTACAACCGAGGACTGGATAAAAGATGTAGTCATTGCTTGTAGTTTGGAGTGGCGTGATAACGTGCTGTTGCAGCACAACCAGAAAGGCCTCAAATGGGTCCCTGGTGGGTCCTTACAGGTGAAAAGGGTCTCTACGGGGTGGTTAAGCAGAGCATCATGTCGATTTAACACTCCACTTGCACTCTGCAGCTATATTAATCCAGCAGAAGTTTCATTACGCGCACTGAGCACAGGAATTACTAAGTAGAATGATTCGCGATGATGTTGCAATACTACGCGGTACGGCTCTGCTTACAGGATGGCTGTGCCCGCAATATCGTTCCGCCTACGTAGAGCTACCCAAGGTCTTCTTTTCAACTCCCTGTTTTCCCCATATGTTCAAATAGCAAGTAGCTCCTAGAGTGGAGCCTCGCTGAAAGCGTTGAAATACCGTTCACCCGACATTTTCCTTTCTTTGTGCAACAGAATATTGGGCAGATGCCACAGCATTTCGCTAATGCAAGAACGTATGTGTACAAGCATATATGCATATATATGTATCGGGCCCAAGCGGAAATAAATAGCATTTTAACGCTCATATATGCGTATATAGCTACACAAACCCACTGGTGGAAAACAATGAACATCTTTGGGGGCTCGCATATATTTGGTATATATTGTACTAATAATTGCAGATCTAAGCATACACAATGATACATCTTCCAGTAAAGTGCTTTATGTAACATTACTATGCCCGTGCCCTATTCCTTCGTGAAAGTCGGCTTACTAGAATTCCACCACTATAAGCAGTCAGCTTTTCCGCCGCAGGCAGCTGCTGCTATGCTGCTGGCTAGATGAACCACTGCCGTTTAAATCCGTTACCCTCTTATCCAGGGAGAAGAAAGCTGTAACTATAATGTTTTGCGTATTCGTCTTTTGAGGTTCTTCGCAGCAAACTGCAATTTCAGCTGTCCCCCAGAAGGGGGGCCGAATCAGCAGGTGACGGATCTGAGGTCTTTGCTTTTGACAAGGCTTCACGTAATTGTTTTTTTCCCAGTACCCATCTGTAGAAAAATTAGACACAAAACAAAAAACAACAACACGAGGTCTAAAGTGGCCGTACACCAAAGTGCGTGAGCTGACTACTACAAGCTACCACAGAAACTGGACTGCCTACTGAAATGGGGGGCGCACGAACGCAAATACATTTGCGTACTCTGCAGGAATTGCTACCATCCACTGAAGAGCCCAGGCCATGAGGAATATAGCCACAAGCACTCCTAGAGAGAGGGAAGCGGCAATCCACAAGCAGGCGCCCTTGTAGAGGCACAACCCCTGCAAGCAAAGTACTCTTCGAGCACGAGAGAGTTGCTAATGGTACGACTGGAAAATGGAGATACTGGTAAGAGGGAATGAGCATTAGAAACCACAATGGGACAAGTGGGTGGATCAAGTTTAACAAAGGCAAGCGTGCCACCCACAGCTACAAAGAGTGGAGGCACAGTGTACACAAGAAGACGGAATCAAGGTAGAGTGCGAAAGAAACGCACGTAGACAAACGCTAAAGCAGAAAATGACAGGATGAAATTGACGGATGCGCAAATGCACTTACGCAGAGTGATAGTAAGAGAAACAAACATAGCGCCCCGCTGTTCATGAAAAAATGCAAAAGATTAAATGCTCGCAAATGCACAAAGCTGTTGTTGACTCACTGCAAATGTGCACGAGCATTCATCAGACTCGCCCGATGTCTGCACAGTGGAACAGCAAACTCACCAGACACAAATCCAGGCAAAAGCGTTACATACCTGGTTATGCAATTTCTGAGTCTGCTACTACTTTTGGTGAAGCCCTTCACTCTGGAGCTCATGTTGACTGCAGCCTCAGCTTCGGTTTTTCGTTTACCTGGAGCGCGGAGAAGCCTTCCACTTTGTTGTTCTTTTCAGCTAGAGATCGTAAGTTCTCTTGGTAAGCCTGTTGACTGGGAACGTGCGATGAATGCTGAGTACGTGACTCGATAGTATTCAATGAACCACTTGACCCTCCCCTAATGTGAATGTGAGCAAGGAGAGGATTGGAGCTGGAGGAAAGCGGCTCACTGACTCCGCCTGTAAGAATGTCCTCACCAACTTTTGACTGATGAGCTAAGGCTGATAATAGACACAAAAAGCAAAAGCATAGGCACGAGGGCAAGCACCAATCTGCAGCAAGATACGATTGTAGTTTATGGTATGAGGAGTATCATAGGGTAGTGGCGGAGATGCTACTTCCGTGTCTCACCGAAAGATGGGGGGCAAAAAAGATAACAAAACCCCACTGTCAACAGGTAGTGGAGAGCCGTCATCGTGTCGATCCCTCGGTTGACTCAGAGGAAATGTAGAAGGCTACGGATACGAAGGGCGCATTGGCGGATATAATACGGCCATGAACCTCTCTAATTAAAGGTAAAATCGTGAGAAGATTCAAAGGTGCAAGGAGCTCTTTCAGGACCTTCCTAGCGAAGGAATAATGACCCGTAGAATGGCACTGTTTTTGCTGGTATTCGCTGTGTCGTGCCCTTCTCTCCGTCAGGCTCCAGCCTAGGCAAGTAAGGAGTAAGAAAAGTTAATGCTGCTTGGTAAATGCTTGATAAATGGTGAATAAAAAGGAAACAAGGAGAAAGGGACTGAGAGAAAGAGAATAGCCTTGCACGCGAACCGCAGGCCCACGCAATCGACTGCCAGCTGCTTGAGATAAACGGCATCGACCAAGCTCAAATGAAAAGAATAACACTTCAGAGGAGACCAGAACAAAGTGAAAAGAGACAGTGGGGTGAACAAACGTTACTGTTCGTGCATACCGGAAGGTTTGCTGCCAGCAGCTCAATGCCCCCGTAACACTACAGTAGTGCAACAGTATCGGTGGCTTGGGTGACAAGCCTGAGAAACAAAAGCATCTGAAGAAGAACGCTCTTAGCTTCGTCATCCAACACAAACAGCATGAGTTGTTTTACTAGAATTATACTTTTAACGATGTGAGACGCTTGTTTCAGTTCGGCTGTACGACCAGGTCAATGCAAAGCCTCACAGCATAAGCGCCAGCAGAACGCTTTATGCGTTCGTGAGTCGATGCGTAGGCACCTTGTGCGTTCAGAATGATGCAAACGAGACCAGATCCGACTCCCTTCTGGCGACACATGGAAAGAATAGCTGTATCTTACGTATGTGCTCCATGCTTCAGCTCTGGAAATCACGCTGTCATGGAACCCAGCAAAGCTCTATAAAGCAGTCTTTGGACTCTGTAAACGAGGGGAATTATGGAGACGGGGAGTCCAGTGGAGAGCCCTCGGGATACTCTCAGCCCACAACAGAGTGGAAACGAGGACGACCCTTTCGCGCTAGCAGCGGATCTCACTGCATTTGTGCGCCCTATCACTCTTCGTATTCGCTTCGCAATCAACGTAATATACGCCACCTGCTTAAATGGGGAGGCTCATTAAGCTTTTTCAATTGATTATGTCCCGCAGGCCACTGCTCATGCTGTTAATATGGAGGAATTGTGCGCAGGGGCTGAAGCAACCCTACAGAGCATCTTGTAGGTGAAAAAGAGCTTGTTTGCGCATCTCCGCTTAGCTAATATAGTGAGATGTCAGGCTTGAAGTTGCATTAGTTTGTGTATGAATTTGTATCCAAGCGGATGCATTGGTACATACTCACACGTTCACGCACATCCTCGAAGCTCTTCCGACTTATTCGTGGAAGCAGGAACATTAAAACATAGGAATATGCTCAATATATGCTAATGATTGTGCATGGACTCAACTGGCTTTCCCCATGGCCCTTTGACTACTATTCACCACGCGTCCGTTTGCTTTTTAGCTGCGTTGGACCTCCGCAGCCTCGTATGTTCCTGAGTGTTCCTCGCAGGAAGGAACTTCGTCCAATTGAATCGGAGTACCACCGCATACTTGAGCAGGAAAAAGCAGAAGCGGACGCTCTTGAACGTGCCACGGGCGCCGAACAAAAGGAACTAGAGGCACAACCCGCATCGTCATCCTCACCAAGCTCTGTTTTCTCTCGGTTTATTCCCAAAATGCCACGCGTCACTACACGACAAAAACTGGGCGGGAGCACAAAGCTCCCAACTAGCGTTGGAAACAAGAACTCGGGTTCGTCCTCGCCAACAGAGTAGATGTATCTCGATGGCGGAAACCTAAACCGCCTCGTGGAGTGTACTCTCCATAGGACTGCCCCTCTTGCTGCTTCACGGTACTTGGTGCGTACCCCACTGCACTGCAGCTTACCATCCTTGCCTCAAGACTTTGGAAGCTACACCAGGTTCTACATCGTAATTTTACTGAGTAAGTATGATTTAGATAATGGGCTTCTCCCACAAGGAACAATCGGTGTTGAGTGCATGGACATATGCAGGCATATCGCCATTAGAATCAATTTACTTGCACACAGAGGCTGACACCTCCGCCAAGCTTTTATTCGCTACCGCGTACAGATTTTCCGAAAGCCCGTTTCGTATTGGCGTTACATTGCTGATACGCACAAGAAGTTGCCTCAAGAAAATACAGCATGCCAATCCATTTGGATGCACGCTCGACGACCTATACCTATGCTTTAGCAACGCAAAGCCTGCTACGTGCGTATCACCCTAAACACTCAACGAGCATGACTAGGCAAAATATCTTCTAGGATCAAGGAGTATTATTAATGCAGACAGGCCGGTGCAGGTAACCCATGACACTATACCCCGTTAGCAACTCCAAAGTCGCATGAATTATAATGATAGTTAAAGTCGTAAAATGTCCGAGAGATAAAAAGGTTTCTCGGCAATAGGCGCTCACCAAGACAAAGCTTAATTCCAAGTGACGCCTGTATACCGTAGAAAACGAAGTCCTCGCCCTTTACGCCAGTACTTGATGGGAGCATGACAGCAAAAGGCGCTGCGCCCTCCTTGAAGAATTGTAACAATAAATCCTCAAGCTGTTCAAAGAGAGGAACATCACACTTATCACCAAAAGTGCAACGCAACCACGCGCATACCAAAACACGTAGAAATCAGGGCGGTAGCACAAAGGCCAACCGGTGTCAGGAGTTGCGACAGTAAATCCTCAAGGATTTTTTCAGAGAGAGGAACAAAAATGTGTCATCCCTATGGTCGGCAATGAAGAATGAATGTAAGGAAGATGTAGGGTGAATTGGGTCCAGCCTCACAGCAACAAAGACGGTTCAAGCTGTTCGCGAACACCACATACCTAAATGAATCTTAGCAGCTGTTTTAACGCGGCTAGAGTATCAAACTGTGCGATACACAACTGGCCCAGCCACGCAGATACCCTGCTTTCCCCCCAGTGATAAACACAAAGAACAAAATAAACAAGGCGTTCCTCGGCTTCAGCAATGCAAATAATCAAGTGATAATCATTGGACATGGATTATAATGTCATCCTCGGAGACGCCAGTCAGTAGAAGCAAAAATAGATCAACGGAATTCTTTCAGTGCGATAAGGGATGCGTTCGCAATTTGCTCTTCACGGAAATCAGAGAGATTCCCATACAGCGAGTTGCTCATCCGCCAGAACTCCAACTAGGCATGCTGTAATCAACAAGATTGGGAGTGCACATCAACACATAACCAAACCGCACATAACCGCAGAGCACCTTGTCAAAACAAACACCCGAAATATACATCAGACAAAAAAATAGACCAGCTCTCATCAACGCTAGTAGCTGCAGAAGCAGAACTGGCTTGCGGTCATGTTTCATCCAGACGGATTCAAACAGGTTGTGCGCAGAGACCCACAAGAGCAGCACGCCAACAGACAACGTGGATGAGCACACAAAAATGCAGACCCCATGTACATCAAATCCGCTGCAGGCGTCAGACATTTCTAATGACGTCATCTACGTTCCGACATATGCTTGCCAGGTTTTAATCATCACGGTTGACCTGCAGAACGCACTAAAACTGAGAAGGAATCAAAGAAACTCTTCGAAGAAAAGAATGCACCCCATCATGCGTTCTCACGCTAGCACTGTCCAGCAAACTGAGAATAGCGAGATGGAGTTGGATCATTAGCTCTATAGCAGGCACATGTAATCCGCGCACTAGAATAGACAATCAACGAGATGGTCCAGGCTGGTACACGGTAGTACGTTAGCTGCAGACGGAAACTCGAAACGCCAATCCTTCACTCACACAAAACAACGCAAAACTCCCCTTTTCAGTCGAAAGATGGTGATTTGACGATTGCTCCTCAATGAGATTCAGTGAACTAACAATCCATCAGGAAGGGGGTTCTCCACTCAAGCATACAAGCCACTGACTTGCTGAATAGAACACACATGAACAGGGCGACCTAGTTAGAGGGGCACTGCGACGCATACTACCGCATGCACTAAAATTTAACGTCCGAAGCGAAAAGCGACAAACTGCTGTGCTGCTTGCCGCAGGCAGTACACCGCCGCACGTTCGCAGTATAAGCAGCTAGTTTAACGCAGCTCGGGAAGAGAGCCCCGAGACGCGCTGATAAACTGCTTGAATGTGGATGGAATGAGCAAAATACGATACACACGCTGTTCAAAGCCATTCAGACAGGGATAACTGGTAGAAGCTAGTTTCCACAAGCAGTGCTTTCGGAAGCCAAGCGTTGAGCGGTCATCAGTTTGGCGCTTTGAAAAATGTATCAGTTTAACCGCATATATCGGCGATAGCCCACGGGGATTACATGATCCAGGACCCGCGCCGCGAAAATGCTGTCGTATACCATATTGCAAGATGAAAGGGTCGATGCGCTACAATAGTCAAGCGCATGGACTGAGTCTCTTGCGAAGAACAACTTAAAAGTTGGCTGATAATCGTTATTCGGTAGGATACACGTAAAAGAAACCCACAGCTGCGTGCATTGGCACGACACCACAACAAAATTCGCTGGCTTTCAGACTGGGGCGACAAAGGCGTCGACAGAATATCTTTCCGCCTGTCAGAGATTGTCAATCATCAGGAAGCCATTCATAGGATGCAACTTATTCACAGACTAAACAGGTGCCTCACTGTCAGTTTCCTACCTACTTCGTCTATCTGCTCGCGCTATTGTGGCGCCGTATTGGCGGTGCAAATGCTTCTGCAGAGTATGGTTTCCACTAGTCACAGACTGTGAACCACCATGAATTATAGTATTAAAAAAGGACCAAGGGAAGCGATATCTAGACTCCAGACCTACACTGCACAATACTTCAAACTAAAAAGCCGGAAATAAAGTCAGTCCACAACAATTCGTTGCGTATCTTTCTGATTTTCGGCAAGTGCGAGCAGTGCACGCTGCTGCTGCTCGAGAAGAAGCGCAGGCTGCTGCGCCGCAAGCTCCCTGCGGATCTCCGGTCCAACTTTCGCATGAAAATACATCTTCAAAACTTCTTTGAGCTTCGCTCTTTGGGATGATGAGAGGTTGACTGCAGACGCGGACACAACACGAAGACGGGGAATCGATCTACGGCTACAGCAGAAGCCACACGCAATAGTTTAAGATTGTCCACTAGAGTGTCATGCTCACCTTTGTAGCGTTGTACCAAAACAAGAAGGCATTTATGCCATGCGACAGTGACTTTCACTTCGTTCGAAATAAATCTACTGAAGTGGGTGACGCAACTATCGATAGCCTGAGGAACAGACGCACGCACGGAATGAGCAACGATGGCATTCACAAAATTGTCACAGCGATAATAAGTGGCGGTGTGTATTACAGCACTAGCGGCCACAGATAGACGCTGCAACGTTTTCGCAAGGTGAAAAAAGATCCGCAGCAACCGGCAGTGACTGCAACCGAGTGTGCCTTGCAGAGCAGCAAAACAGCATTGTCCACATTGATACTTGGAAGCAGAGGGAGGAGCACTCACCTGAACCGGAAGAGAATACTTCTTGTCAATCAACACTGTCATCATGTGGCTGACCGAAGGAATCCATTGTTCAGGTGTCACAGCCGCCAGACGAACCAATGCCGCAGCGCCGTGAAGAACCGGAATAGACACCTTGGAAACAACGCTTCCCACGATCACTGCCTCTCGAATGGAACAACCCTACAAAAAAAGACGAAAGCGGCACTTGACACCGTCTTGCATGCCAGCCATTAGGCTAAGCGAACAGTGAATTTGTTGCCCAGCCACTTCACGAGTACAAAAGAACAAGGCCCATACTCTGTGGCTTAGGTGGGTCAGAACAGGCGCATACATGCAGCAAAGCTGTACTGGCAGCAAGCTTACATCAAGGGCAAGCGGCAGGTAAATACCTTTGAAAAAAGCACCCGGTTTGAAAAGTGCTTTTTTCAGAGCCATATACAGGTGGTAATTCAGTTTCTTGTTTGCCGCGATGTCATCGCGGACAGCGGGCAGTAGGACAGTGCACAAAAATCTCTGCGCCATTTGTTCTCTCAAATTGCTGCAAAAGATCCGAGTGGCCTCCCTCGTCGCCTGCTTCGACCACAACGGCGGGTTCGTCAACACCAGTACTTCCTCCCACGCATGTAACCGAGGAATGATCTTGAACGCTTTCGGAACTTTCCCGCTTTTGTACCGTGCAAGAAAGGGAGCCATCGCCGTATACACCTCGACAACCTTGGGGGATAAAGTGGACTCGGGTGGCTCTTCCACAGGCTGGGCATCCGTCTGCTTCCTGAGTTGTTCCATGACCAGATCCGCCAGGTTCACTGTGTTTTTGGAGGTGCTCCCAGCCCGCTGTTTGTAGAAGGCAAGGTCGTCTTCATCTTCCTCGCAATCCAGGAGAATGAAGCCGTCCTCGTCAGCCTCCTCCTCGTCTATTGACGCCTCTCCCTCAGATGGTGCCCCTATTCCTTCGCTGCATAAAAACAAGTAGGCAACAATCTTTAGATGTTCCTTTGAATTCGCCATCCATGTTCAGAACACCATTCAGCGACGGAACCGAACAACTTGCTGTCATATCTCGAAGCAAGTAAACACACACTCACGCTTCCTGCTGGTCTTCTACTAACTTCAGCAGCTTCGTGCCCAGCCGGGATGGCAGCATGGTCTCCCCCTCGACGTCATTGCGTGCAGCTGACTCGAGTGTTTGCGCGTCCTCCACTGCCTCCTTGATTTTCCTGTTACGACTGGCCTTTATAGCGCCTCCCGGCAAGGGTATACCCTGTGCATCAAGGACGTCCTCGTACAAAGGATTGTGGCGCTGGGCGCCTTTGCGCCGCCGACGCTCCGCCTTTGGCCTAAGAACAATACCCAAAGAAACGCACATTGCTCAAACAAACGTAAAGCAAGGTGCGAATATCTGCAAGTACATGCAGAGGATTGTATATGAAGACGCGGGAGAACACAAGGCCAAAAGGAGCAAGGAGAGAAAGGTTCCATCTGGCGTCTCACATGTTCAGAGAGCGTCATAGGCTTTTGCGAAGAGGCGCACTGCAGTACTACCCTACGGATGCTCGAAAACCAATCGGTGCCACTGAGCAGTCCTCGCAACACCGAGGCACTAAACTAGTCCGAGCAGCGGAGGAAAACGTCGCCGTGTTTCCTTTTAGAAGCAAAGGCCTAGTGCAGGAAGACGGGAAGGCATTAAGGCTTGCGGAGATGTGGGGACCGAGAGCGAAGGCTCCCCACAAGGACGCCTTCCCACAGGGTGCTAAATAAATTGAGAGAAAGGCGCGAATGCGACTCCACTAATCAAACATAAAAAAAGAGGCAAAGCACACAAATGTGAAGAACCGTTGTGGGGTTTGGCATTGCCGAGCAGCCTGTGTCGTCGGGTGTGGGGAGAAGAGCCACGCCGCTGCCAGTGCATTGCACCGCCAGCAGCAGCCAGCCCCTGAACTGCGGTTGATGTACTGGTGTATCGGCTTTGCTGTTCATTTCCTGCGGCCCCTTGCTGTTCATTCCTCTTCTTCCAACCCTCCTTCTGTGCTCGCATTTATCTGAGGGCTGAGAAAATGTCGGCCTCCACAGGCATCCGCGGTGCGTTCCCGCCACTCCTTCAGCCAGCAGCAAAATGAACACCCCACTAAGTAAAAGAAGAGGTTATTTGTATTTTGTCCAATGGAAAAGTGCGGGTAGCTCCTGTTTTCGCGCATCCTGGCGTAGAATTGCTCTTCCGTTGCCAGAGCTACGCCCTACTTGCGTGTACACATGCATTCCCTGACCGTGAGGGCCCCACCGCCGTCTATGTGCTCCACGTTCCGTCTTTACGTGGAACGATGCCTCCTATTTTCCCCGCGCATTGCTCCTCTTAGTTTCAAGGCGCTTGTTCATAGGTTTAGAGAGCAGAGGCAACACATGTTTGTCCCTGCTCAGCGCCCACGCGTAGCGTTGAGGTTTGTGCTGTCTCATGACTTGCGTCCAGGGGCTTCTACCGTGGCTTTGATCTGCAGTTCTGCGACGTGTGTTTGCTTGTGTAGTGTGTTGTGTGCTGGACTAGTGTTGATTTCCATGTGCCACACTGCTGTTGCTTCCAGATTACCCGGGCATCTGGTCGTTTTGTAATGCCTATTTCGTGTCCTGCCTTGTTTTCGCGCCACCGGATTACATGCGTACGTGTTTGCTTTTCGCCTGTGCTCTCAGTCGGCTTGAACAAGGGCTTCCTTGTGACAAAGCGGCCCACACCTGAGCGTCCCTCCCGCAGAAAGGGAAAAAGGACAACTCGTGTTCAAGCCATTCGAGAGATCGTTCGTCAAGTCGCCGGCTTCGCCCCTTATGAAAGGAGGATTCTTGATCTTATCAAGGTCGGCACCGCGGCCACAAACAAGAGGGCACTCAAGTTCGCAAAGAAGCGCCTAGGCACTCATAAGAGGGGCAAGGCGAAGAGAGAGGAGCTCACCCAGGTGGCGGCTGCAATGAAGAAGAAGACCGCAGCTTAAAGCGTCAAACAGATTACTGCATGTATCCTGGTGTGCAGCCAGGCAAACATAGCAGAACCCGCTGGGTCGTTTGGCTGCTCAGGCGGTAGCAGCAGAGGCTTAGGGCTAGGGGCAACAATGCCCCACCCCGTTTTGAATCTGATGGGACAAGTCGTTTCATTCCTGGTTTTTCGCGTCCTAGGATTGGGGGGTGCTGCACGGCACCTTCCATTGTTCGTTGGTAGAACTACCTGGGATGGGGTCAAGCCCACCAGATAGCCAGTGCTTTCGCAGCAGTTCGTCACACACCGAGTCCGGCAGCGGTGTTATTTTGCTCGTCCTTTAGTGGTTACGCCGGCACGTTTTAGTGTTGTGGTAGATATTCGAATGTATTCAATATAGGGCACTCCTTCGGGGTATCAAAGGCTGTGGTCGTTGCCAGATACTTTGTTGCGAACGTCAAAATGGTATCCAGCTACCACCCTTCCCAACACCATGGGAAGCTGTTGGTCAAAGCATGCGGCCAGTGTCGACAGTTCTGAAGGAAGCCGCCGATAGTCATTGTGGGTGTAAAGAATCCGACCCCTCAGCTGCCGATGTAGACAGGCTCCCGAGATGGCGGTTTTCTAGTGGCTAACAACGCGATCTTGAATATTTGGGCTGGTGGCTGGGAGGGGAGCGGAAAACGGTGAGCAAAGGGGGTGTACGTGTGCAGTTACCGAAGCTAGGGCGATTTCAAAGCAGTTTCTGTCGCAGCGCAAGGGGAAGACTGAAAGAATAAGTATACACATAGACCAGAAGCACTCGTGTTTCTGAATAGGCGTCGAGTTTCAGACATGCGATATTTCTTTTCCACCGTGGTGTAGATCATCATGGAATTTGAGCGCTGTTTTCCATGTTTCTCTTATCAGTACATCTTTGGACTGCTGGCCTTCAATTCTCTATCTATTTTGGCCCTATACAGCTGCTTTGCTCGCTTACACGTACCGTAACTCGCAAGTCCTAAGAGGAATCGTACCGTCTATAGGTGGCATGACTGACATAATAATCCCTCGGAAACAGCGAAATGCTTGATGATATCTTTTTTTAACTCATGTTCTGTATGCGGTGTTAAGTCTCTGCTAATAATAGTGGATGTGATGGATTCTCTCTGGATTCGGCCATACGCTCCCGGTGACCCTAAAAATGCGTTTGGAGCCAGACCCGAAAAGGTACAGGACAGGAAAGGCTCTGCTGTAGAGCTTACTAGGAATTCATTCAGGCATACGAACAATCAATAAACTTTGCATTTTGCTATCCTTTGTGAGGGGGATTTAATATGCAGTTTCCAGGGGAATGGGCAGGTCACTATTTCCAACACGGTGCATGCATTCCGCTAGTGTTTGACGTGCTCTGGCCTAGAGTGCATCGCGGGCTTTTGAGTTAGTAGTCAGTTTTTCATCTTTATCAATTATGTATTTCTCCCTCCATAGATGCACAGCTAGAATGAACATGACGGAATAAGGCGGCAGAGGTGCTGGGATGTCAAAGCGGAGACTGCTCACCCAAAAAGCAGAATGTTGGGATGGACACATGCAGGAAAGGGGAAAACAGCACCTGAAGCAATTCGACAAAGTAGGAGAGTAGCAGAGCACTGGTGGATTCTGCCAGCACTTCCCTATGTGCCGAGTCCGCAAACGACGAACTCAAATAAAACATTAGTGGACGTGAAAAGGGCTTCTGAAAATAAACCAGACACACCATGGACAGATTATTGGGATACTGATTAGACTGTGAAACAGATGTAGTGCTGGTAAAACGTCGATAAGGAAAGAGCGAAATCGTTATGTCCCTCTGCCACCAGATGCTTCAAGGGAAGCGCCAGCCAGTACCATCATGCAGTGAAACGAGAAGACTTCATTGGTTATAGCGTCGTTAAACTAATTGAAGCTGAACAGCAGGCGCCAATGCAACTCCCATGTTCTCTTTTTCGCTGCAGACCACTCTCAGCCCAGCTCTCCCTTACATTCCAAGGAAATCAATGCAGCTTCACACCTTTGGTCGGCGAACAAAGAAGCTTGCTTTGAGTCTAAGACAAATATTACATTGTATAAGTTGTGTCCATGCATTCGGGAGCAGGATTTAGGACATTGCAGTCAGGGCATATGAGATTCTCCTGGTCGTGCTTTTTATGGTGCCACCAAAATGGCCAGGAAGAGCTTCCGAGTAGCAAAAGGAGGGGGAGGAGACTGGATAGCCGAACTTATTCATTCGATAGCTACTGAGAAAGAGCTAGAGGCTCTGGGTGTATCGGCAGAAGAGGCAGCACGGGCAGTCTCTAGAAATTTTGTCCCCCTCATGAAGAAGCATTTGGCATTTGCTATTAGCTACAGCAAAGCTGCGTTTGAGGCTGCCCTTGTCGATGAAATAACACAAGGGGAAGGGCCAATTTCTTGCCTGGAGCTCCTGGAGAAAGTAAAGGATGCGTCGCAAAGGATTAAAGACCTCGTGGGTTAAGAGTCCTCAGCATCTCCAAACCTAAGCCAAAAGTATCCAATCACACATCATAAACACCGAATTGCTGCAACATTCCATGCGTTTACAGCAAGTAGCAGAGAATGCGATGTATACACAGAGCCCTAGTATGCATACTCTTCAGGCTGGGGTTTCTTGGCCACGGGGCACCCAGTGTTTAGACCTTAAACATTCGCACAGCTGGTGATACCAGCCACAATGTGCTTGCAAAGTCAATAGGTCATTTGTTAACAGTACTGCCACAAGAGCAGATCAATATTTTCAATCTGGCCTGCGCACATGCAGATGGGTACGGTTACAACTCAATCTGAGAAGATGCATGAACTGGAAGAGAATTTGGCCCATGCACAGGAATTTTTGGACAAAGTAGAAAACATCAAGGAAGACGCGTTGTCTACCGCAGACAAATGTCGGCAGTTTGTAAGATGTCAAATGATAGAGTGGACTGATGAACGAATTGCAACACGGCACAAGCTAAATATGTCCACGCCCAGAGAGTGCCGTCTTTACAAGTGTTAAGAATAGAAGGCTTCAAAACTACGCACCCTGCTTTTAGTTTCGCCTCTGCTGTTGCTTTCAACATAATTCCGTAAGCACAAAAACAGATCCGTCTGAACGCACCAAGGCGTTATAAAGGAAAGCCTTGCCTACGTGCAGCCTTCGGTTCCTATTCTGCTGTAGGCCAAACGGGAGGAAGGGCGCTTCCCTAGCTCTAGTATGGAGTTCGTCGAACGGTTGCGAAGCGAGATACGGGATGAGCTGACTCTCGAGCTAGCTGAGCAAGTCACGGCTTCTGCCGCTGCCCCCTGCAGCACAGCAGCAAATGTGGACCAAGAGGTGCAGACCGACCCCGTTTGCATCGAGCCAGTCATAGACGAGTCTGAAACTATTCCCGTGAAGCTGCCTGCTGAGGAATTACCTTCATATGAAGCAAAAGAACAGATAAATAGCAGCCAAGGGCTAGCCCCTAGCGATAGGGAACTCCTTACATCTTGCCTCGAAGAAATGCGGATCCTAAACAACTATTTTGCAGAACACGCGTCGGGGGCCAGCGGTTTTGAGCGCACACGAGTAGGCCAACGGCATTGCCGAAACCCGATTCCTGGGAGTAGATCGGGCTTCAGCAAACCAACGCAGTGGAATGCCACGCCGTCTTTCGTTGCTGTACTTCTCGCTGCTCTCACCAGCTGTTTTGGGGGGAGCGCAAAGGGCTCCTCGGCTCCTCACACTGAACACTATGAGAGCAGATCTTGGCAGACCTTCGCCAGCCGGGTGTTTCCCTTCGTCTACCATAATCAGAACGACAAAAAAACTCATCTACTTCTAAATGTATGCTTTCCCAATTTGTTTTTTACCCTCTTCTGGCCCCTTGTTCTTTTCTCTGTGCAGCTAGCAGGCCCGGCACGCGAGTCCTTGTGTCAACGCAGCAGCTGCGTTGGAACCACTGACAGACCACTTGGAAGCTCCCAAGGGAGTGCCTGTGAACATGTAGCCCTCAAAACATTTCGTCTTAGCCCTATATCCCGCTCTAGCAACGGACAGGCAGAGTTTATTTCCTCCTACGGCATTCGACAGTCTGCAAATCCCTCCGGCCCCTGCACTTCACGCAGGGTGGTGTGTACAGATGAACGGCTCCTAGCCAGTGGACCGTCGCCGAAGTCCCAACATCGGCAGTGGCAGCACGACACAGCAGAGTATTCAGGCTTGAGCACCAGACAGAGCAGCCATTTCGCCCCAGCAGATGTCGCAGGGGCGGATCCCGAAAAGCCGATGCAACAAGCTTTTGTTCATTCATATCAGGCATCAGCTTCTCCAAAAGGCAGAAGCCTCAGCCCCGTGAGCCAGGAATTACATTCTGCTCCCTCTGTCCTGTTAGAGGAGGCTTCTTTTGCCTCTCAGCTGCAAAAACCAGCACTATCAGCACCAGCAGAAGGAGAATTAGCCCCTGAGGCACCAACCGAAAACACATACAGCAAAGGATGCAGCACTGAAGAAGCAAAAGAAACACTCCTAAACTCCTCCGCAGACGCATGCCATCATCCAGAAAGCCCTGCTGCTCCATCGACCATTTCAGAAGTGTCGTCCGCAGGCCAAGAGCGCATAACGCTCTATGACACCCCGGATACAGCAGCCGCCGATTCAGTGACCCCTTCAAAACAAGAGGCTCCCAGGGCTGTCCGTGGGCAGGCAGTACGAACGGCGCCAGCAGGGCAGGAGGAGAGCAACAGAATAGGTGACTCACTATTCCTTAGCTGAACCCTATTTTGGTGGATAGCGAAAAAGGAGAAACTGCAAAATGCTGAGCACTGGATGTGTTGACTTTGTGCTAGAGTTGCTAGTGCTGCTGCTGTAGCTCTGACGCTGCGGCCGACTACTAGAATGCACTGCAGACAAGTGTATTGCCAGAAAATTAAATGGATTGAAAGAAGAGCAACAGTCCTCTGCTTCTGGTGTGCAGTTTCTTGCTTTTGCTTCTTTGCCCTTCCCGATAACAAGGCAACGACATGCCTGCTCGCAGAGTTAAATGCTTAGCCGGGTTCTATGAGGATGCGGGGTGTATATAGATGTCCTGCGTGAAAAGAAAACATGCTATGTTTACCCCTTAGAGCCCTAGTCTCTGCCATATACGTGATAGTTCTTTAGTTGGAGCCTTGAAGGGTTTTCACACAAAGCACAGCTTCCTCTTGACATAAGAATTGAAAGTTTAGAAGCGCCCGGAGCACCTTAAAAGCTTTTAGCAGACTGTTCATTACCTATAAAAGCCTCCTTGTCTGCGCTACTCTGCCGCAGAGGCGGCAGCTTCTAAGACGCAGTTGGGCTCAGACGCGAACGCCACACTGGGGAAACCAGCGAAAACAGGAAGAGCAGATGTCCACATGCAACCGGAAGTTTGCCATCAGTCAAAAAGATTTGAGCAATTGAATCTGCAGCAGCAGCTGCTTCAGCCGCGGCATGGGTGGACTTCCGCAACTTCCGCCTTCCAAGGGCAAACCGGCCTGTGCAACGTAGACGGTGGAGCCTCAAGCCTCACTCCTACACAAGCTGTTTTCTCCGAGCTTGCAGTAGCAGAAGGGTGGGGAAAAGAATCAATAGGCGAAAATGAATGGCAGAAGCTGCAGTTCTCAGGAGGACAGAACAGGGAAATAAAGATGGAGACGAACGCAAATTGGCAGCAACAACACCCACAAGCTCAACAGCCGCAGGGTTGTGTGCCCCAAGAAATAATTTTCGGTCGAAATGGACCGCCGATCTGGCCACTGGTGACAGGGGGAGCTGCTTGGTGCAAGAAACACGAAACGAAAACTATTCCTCTTGCTCCGCTGAAGAGGCAAAACAGAGAGGAAGGCGCGGAATGTGGCCCGTCAATTATTGCAGAGGCGCATGCCGCTGTGGCCATGCAACCAGGCAAGTGCTTACATCCATTCAGATGTAGATTCATGCGATAGCGGATACATCGATCCATCTTGCACTTTTCACGCCGACTTTAGGTTAGTGGACAGATGCTCCTTCACTTGGAGCTTTGATTGTCTAATGTGGCATCGCCGAGCCACTTTACACGCATGCAAATCCCTATGAATAGAGCCGGTAAAGCTGCAGACCCGTTTGGGTGCCTAGACCTGTGGTAAGAGCACCGAAACACCTCGTGAATACAGATTATTTGTTATTTTTGTAAGGTACGGGGATACACTATGTCAGAGTGAGGCTTGCGTATTGTTCCGCAGCCTTATTTCGCCACCCCTTCGTAGGACAAGCTGCATCTCAACAGGGCGAGACTTCTAGGCCCAAGCCGTTTTTTCCCGAGGGGGTCACGGGGGTCTATATACCTCTTAAGGGGTCCAAACTGGGGAAGGCGAATTACAAAGAACTGAAAAAAGAGGAAAAACAAACTTACGCCGGCGCATGCAAAACACTTAACGAGCTCCGCATCAGAAATAAAGTGTTAGAAAGCCAGGTAAGCCGGCGACACAAAAAATGCGCAAATCAGGCAACAAAAGGACACAAGACCTTAAGGGGTAGACCAACTGCTTGCAACCACTAAAGCCTCTAGAAAAGGAAGTGAACTGAGCATGTATTCGCTGGTCTGATCGTGTCGTGCTGTTCACACCGTACCGCGATCGCGCATCGAAGATATTTACGTGTTTGATTTACTTTATGTTTGCTTCGTCTGTGCAGGTCCTAGGCCTCTCGGTCGCTTTGAGTCAAGCGCACGAACGGCTAAACGAATTAACCCACGTTTGCGATAAATTGGCAGGTGGATTTTCTGCACAAAAATGAAAAGACTAAAAACTACACGGTGGTGGCTCTTTTTGAGCCTAGACCGTGTAGTATCCCTAGAATGCGTGTGCAGCTGGTGCATCCATTCGTTAGAGAAGGGATAATCTTCGCAAGCGTTTTTAATGATCCGCTTCCTATGTTTTATCAACTTGATTCCTTATTCTGTCGAAAGTAGAGGCTGCTACACATAAATATGGGGACGGTGGCAGTCCCAAAGCAGGGATTTAAGAAAACAACAACCCCTAACTAATTTTCCAGAAATTGAACACTTGCTGCAAGCGTCTGCCCGCCACTCAGCAATACGGCTGTCGTTGTTGTCTGCAAAGTTTCTGTAAGAATCCGCGTGTAGGTTTTTAGTAGTGTAATCTGTGTACCCGTCAAGTTCCATTGATGTCTTTTTTGTTATTCGCATCTTTTTGCTGGCATCAATACAGCGCTGAATTACGAGGCCGGTTGTGCAGTTGCACCGCTCCAAATCCATGCGTATACTAAATCAAGCCAAAACGGCCATACACGTTACTGAGGATGCGTTCAAAAGAATGGGTCTAGCAAACCAAAAGTGCCACTAGCTGTGCAGGTGCCTGTACACCTGAACTGAACGCAAGGTCTATTGTGTTGCATTTTGTAAACCAGAAGGCAGATATTCAGCATCATTAATTTCATAAATATGATGACACGCTTTTACTAAGTGGTGATTTATTTCGTCGCACATACAGCAGTCGCTTCTACATGGACTGACACGCAAAATGCAAGCAGACAGCAATCAATTTTCCTGGTCCACAGAGGTACCTGAGAGAAAGCCTTCAAGTTGTTTCCTAAATATATTTCTGACTCATTGCAACGCAGAGAGCAGCCTTTCAGGGTATGAATCTTCGTTCAGAAACTTGAATTACATATTCTTAAGCCCCAAGAGCCCCTGTTCACTTGAAAATTTTCAGCGGCTTTGCACAGGGTTTCGACAGCAGCGCTGCTAGCCCTGTGTCTGAGCATCCCATCCTCTGGCACTCATTTCTCAAGTCCAGCTGACACGTATGATACACTCTTAGTTTCCCACTGTTTTGCCCTTATGATATGAATTGCGCTTAGTGACTTGAAACAAACGTGCATTGTTCAATCTGGCAACACCAACGGCGTAAATGAGAAACCGAAGCAAAGAGCCGGAGATAAAGAAATCAGAAGAGGAAAACCGTTCGTAGCTGTCGGATGTAGGCAGCGTCCGTCCTCCAAACGTCGCCGCAGCAGCAACAAAAGCAAATCGAACAACACTGCTGTGATACCCATTGCCCACATACAGAAGAAAAAGAAAAACGGCAGTCAACAGCCGAAGAGCACTTCCATACACATTGTCAATCCAGCAGTCCTTCCTCTTTCCCTGAAAGTAGGAGAGCGGGCAGGAGGACGAGAATATTCACAAGAGAGCTTCAGGGACCCTTCAATTTCTGATTCACCTGCTGCAGATGATACAGGCCACTGTTCGAAGACGCCGAATGTCTTCCAGGATATCTCAAGCGGTATCTTCGTGGTGAGACGGAAGAAGCTATACAGGTTGTCATTTTTTTTGTAATGAAAAACGCAGGTGCCCGGATGTTTCTGCAGATTGTGCACTTGGGCCTCGCGAGTCAACTCTTTCACCGCGGGCAATATTTTCCACCTACGCCCTCATGTAATGAATACAGGCATAATCAGCCATCTAGCCAGCCAGTCCGCTAGCTGATTCGCTAGCTATGATACTTCGTCGTGTAAAAATTCGACGAACTGCTCGGAGAGGCCAGTACCCTGCATAAGTAAACGAAATAGAGGCTCGGAGCATGTTGAAGAAGACCAAAGAATTAGGAGCCGTACAGTTTCGTGCAGGAAGCCACTTCCATAAAATTTTCACATATTTTGCGGAAATAAGGACTGGACTTGCGCACAAAAACAGGGTTAAAACATCGAAGGACACGAGCATAGCGAAATACACCCGTAACCATGCGTTTCCCCATTTGCCTCACTGTGTGCCCAGGGAAACTAATCCTTCAATTGTGAGCAATAGCAATAGCGAGCAGCTTAACTTAAAGTGTGCTATGATTTCATGATACCTTCCCCTTATCCTGCTGTTTTCTGGGGAGTCCTAGCTTCTCCCTATCGTCTTCAGAAAACCCTAAAACGTCCAAAATTAGTAGGAATATTTCATCTCGACGCTTTATCTGGCCCTACACAACCGCACAGAAAAATCAACCGAGAAGTCTGGCAACGCACAGTCATAGCCACACTTGCTCACAGCTAGCGTATGCTTGCCTTCACGGACAAACACCCATTCGAGACGAATATTGACATGCCTACAAGTTAAGCCGTGGGATCCCTATACCAATGGATGCAAAGTTGGACACAGCGGGATCGGCATTCATCCAGAGGTCCATATATTTATTCATATGTACATGCTTAGGCTACGTATATATAGAGCTGCATATAGTACTCAGATATGTACGCACGTACGAATAAGAAATACATAGGCATGATCATGGTAATAGGCATACCTACGAAGGCATTGTGAACGCTTTAGGAGACGCACTGAAGCACGCAGATCTATAAAGCTATTATTGGGTAAGCGTGCATATGAGGAACACCTTTTCTGTTCATGAGGTTTTAAAATGCTTCCAGACATGTAGAGCCACCTGCGGTGATGTATGCACGGCTCCAGTAGTGGTAAAGGTGGAGAGGGTTTATTTTGGCTCACGTGCATCTCCTGATGTTTGGTGATCATCTGTGCTACAATCCGTTTATCTATGAAAAATTCTTGCTCCTCTACTTGCGCATGCAGCCGTTGCAACAGCTTCTGCATCCCATCCCTTGACCAAAGGATACAAAAGCAAAACACCCTACGTGCGCCTTAAAATTCTGAAACCTAAATCGTAACTCATAATCCCTGAGCATATCATTCGGCAGCCTCTAAAAGGGGCAATGGGCATTGTGCCTTACGAGAGTGCCCGGTTGTCTGATACATATTTCTCTGCTTTAACGATTGCTTCGTCTCTCTCTTGCGCTGCCGTTGCAAGTTGCCTCTCCAAGTCCTGCATCTCCCCCTTGAGAGCCTCGCTCTACAAAATACAAGCAGGCACACAGTTGCGCGTGTGTGTACATGCTTTTCTCTAGTGCTATGGGCGAACACTTAAAGGAACGCGTATTATGCTAGTTAAGAGGACTTGCCATTTCGACTCCACTTTTCATCGCTCTGAGTTCTTTTTGTACTAAGGCCAGTTCCTCTCTCAGCCGAACGACCGTCGCGTCGCATTCTGTCTGTAGGCCAAAAGAACGGAAGAATCAAAGGTGAAAGCCACAAGTACCGAAAAGGTGGAGGAAATCTTCGCGTAAAGAGGGCGCGGAAGCAAAAGCTCGTCATAGAAGTGCCAAAATCGGGAGCAGCATATACAGCGAGCGTATTCCATATACCTGCAAGCGTTTAAGGGCCTTAGCATACTTATCCACTGCAGTTTTCGCTTCTTTTAGCTCTTGTTCCATCGCATCTCTCTCTGAATGTGCTCTTATCAGTTCAACCTCTACATCGTACCACACATACCAAAGCAGATATTCACCCCACACCCTCTTTTGCAGCAAGCGCGATGCAAAAAGCAGTAAGTAGCTCATCAAATACTCAGCTGGTATGATCAAAGAGCGTTTTCACGCAGGTGTGTGAGAGGGAAGGTCCAAAGAGCCTTCACTGTAAACCCAAGGCCTAAAGTCCACGGACAAAAGCATGATAAGGCATTCATGCGATTCGCACTGATGCTGCTGCTGCTTGGTGACAAAATTTCATCAAAAGACACATGCAGACACCTGAGATGCTTTGGATCTCCCGTATTTCCTCTACTCTGACCGCCTCGCGCTTTGCAGCCTCGAGCTCTTTTTCTAATGTTTGGGCCCTCTGAGGAAAATACACACGCAGGAACAACTGTTAATTATGGCCACTGGGGGTACCACAAGCAGATGGAGACATGCAAACGATATGCACGCGAAACATATCGGCAACGCCCCCCAAGTTATATGGCTACGGCACAAAATTTGGTGGACGTTGAAGCCGCTAAAAGCTGCCGTAGACCACCGGATCATCCAATCAGGACCCTCTTCTCCCCTGAGATATTGCCGCTTACTGCTGCGTCGGCTCGGAGGTCTGCGAGCTCTCCAAGAGCTTCTTGAAGACTGCGAGAGATGGCAGCATGAGAGGCCTGAGATGTCCACAGCAAACTCGAAAGGCATAGCTTCCAGCATACAGCGCACACGGTAGGCATTTATTTACAATTAAGCTCAAGCTCCAAACCAGAGGGCGTCGGCCGACCTGCCAGGAGCGTATCTGCAATAACAGATCTCGGTTTTCCCCAGCTAGCTCTTCGGACGCCTGTGGTGCCGCTGCGGCATGCCGCTTCTCATACTGTTCTAGGAGGGACTCATAAAGCTGCCTGAAATGCACGCACAGATTACGAAATCTCAAGCCAGTTTCTCACTCGGGCGACACCGGAAAGCAGCATAACGCTCAAGAATTAATAACTGACCTCACGGTTTCCAGCTGTTCTGTTGCGCTCCCTAGCTGGCCTTTCAGCCTTACGCTCTCCTCTGACTCCGCCTACAAACGCACAATCCTCGAGGAGGCGTGTGTGTGTACTCTACGATCTGGAGTCTATTGAGAGCGACAACGGCAAGCACTTGGCGTGATGGCACAACACGAATTAACAGATGTTTGCAAAGGGCTGTCTGTCTCTAGAAACCGTGCAGCTGGGGTGTGGAAGGCGCACACAGCTCACTCTGCTTGAGATATCCATTTGTGCATAGATTCATATACAACTGGAGGTATGCAAATATTGGCACATACTGTACATCCGGTCATACCAGCTCGACTGTGGGTCTGTGGGATGCGGTAGACACGACGCATTCTCTATCTATCTCTATCTCTATCTCTCTCCCACCAGTTTGACCCTTTCCTTCTCGGCCTCCCGCTGGTCTTCAATGCGCTGTTGAGAGTCTTTGAGGTCTTCAGTCAGCTCGGCAATCCTCCTCTGGAGTGTTGCTGCCTGATGCTGCAGTTGCTGCCTCTTGCTGATTTCCTCCCGCAGCCGCCTCTCCGCCTCGAGGGCCCCCGGGCGTTGGGGGGCCCCCTCGTTATAGCACTGCTGCTGCTCCTCCTCCAGCGGAGTGGTATTCGATAGGGAGCTTTCTCGGGTCAGGGCCCCCGAGGGCCCTCGCGACCCGTCGGAGACGTGGTCATTGTACCCTTCCGAGGCCCCTGAAACGGAGAGGGCCCCTGCACACCTCACGAGGCGAGCGGCAAGCCGTACGCAAGCGAATAGGGGGAAGGGCCCCCTCTTGCTGGGGTCGAGGCCCTCTTGGGAGCCTCCTGGAGTTGAAATTCCGCTCGCTGAGCCATCGCTGGGGTCCAGCTGCCGCAGCCAGTACAGTAAATCCACGGGGAGAGTGCGAGCGACAGGCCGAGCCAGAAGCTCGTGAAATGAAGCAGACCCTGCGCACACCGAGAGCAGCGAAATACTGCAGCCGGAGGAAGCCTTTGTGGAAGGCTAGAGGGCGTCAAAACGGAATATGGGGTTCTGTGTCCTTTGACGTAGGCACCGCTAGTAGAGAGCCACGGGGTTCGAGGCTATAGTTCAAGAGCATATATGTGCGTATTTGTACGTAGCCACGACTCTGAACTAGGGAAAAGCGCCCTGAAATGCACCTTTGATTTGCTGCCACTCGTGCACTACGAACTCTGCATGGCTTGTGGCTCTCTCCAAATTGTTGCACAGGCCTTCGAACAGATCCCATGGGTCTACCTCTGCAGCAGGACCATGGCTTGCTAGCTGGCTAGCTGGGACGTGAAGGGCTTGGTGCAACCGTTGCAAAGGCTGCAACATCCCCTCCCATTCAGCAGCGGTGCAACGGCTTCCACGGCTGCACTCTGAGGCTGCTGGTCCGTCGACATCTCCGCTGCAACCATTGGACTCCTGCTGCTGCTGGGCCGCTAGCCGCGAGCGGAGGTGGCGGCATTCTTTTCTAAGGGTCGCCAGCTGCTTGGCGTATCTAGACATCTCAGCCTCTGCGCACAAGACCCCAGACGCAAGAAAACGTAGTCTCTTCAACGCGTGCAAGATGGTCTGTGCCGAAAATCTGAATGCTGGAGAGGCGGTGTGCGGGGCCCGCGGGGGGAACATGCGACGTCTCATTCATGAATAAAAAGCTTGGGGAGCGGGAGGAGGCGAAGGGGAGAATGCTATGCAGGAAGGCAGGCACTACCTGACAGTTCGAGCTGACGAGATATCGCCTCCTGCTGCGCTTGTTGCTGCCGCACAAGCAGCTCCAATTCTCGCTTGTGCTTCGGAGAGCCTTCCGCTCCCACCTCCTCCTCATCCTCCTCATCCTCAGAGAGGAGGACCTGTAGCCACACAAACGCCTAAGGCCTCGAACGCTGGGCCTGCGGCATGCAAACTACGCCACGAAATGCAGGGGCGAGGAAGGGGCTAGTTAGAGCTATGAAGGAAGGCTTCGGACTACGCTTTCGACTTGCCGCGTTTATTTCATTGACGGCGCCCCTGATGGCGCACCAGGCATTCTGCATCCTCTCGCCAGAGCTAAGCTGGCCCCTAAAGCTTTGGCCGGAAGCCTATACACCCCGAACCCTACGGTCCCCAGACTTTGGAAACAGTGGCTAGCGGAGGTTGCGTTCCCCTTCCGCCTTTGCACATGCCTTCGCCTTTGCGCTCTGAAGCGTCTGCAGGCTCTTGAAAGGCAAGACTCTACGGTCGCTCTCAGACACCGTGGACATGTCCCTCGGGGCCCCGAGACGCCCGGAGAGGGCGATGAAACCGACAGAGATGCAATGAAACAATGGCTTATACACAAAGCTACCGGCTTCTTTGTCTTATGAGTATTACAAAATAGACACCTAAGGACACCCTGCGCGCGCGCAGATTCCTCCCAGGGGGCCCTTAATCTGAACGGGGGGGCCTCCCTCCCGGGCGGCACCGCATGCCACGGAAATGTTCTTGTTTTTCCTGTATATGGGCATATCTGATCAGTGATCATCGCTGAAGGAGCACTTGGGAATATGTCGTGCTCGAAGATGCTCGACCTTCTTGCCAGTGCTGCCGAAACAACTCATGAGAAAACACCAGCTGTTGTAACTTCGACAACCGGCCAGTCTGGCCCCCGCCTCTCTTCACACTATGAATACGCCTGTTGCATGACCTACCCCTCTGGACCACCCCCGTAAAACAGACAATGGCAGTGGCCGAAAAGTTGCAACAGCCGATCTCCTCACTAGGCAGGCGCGCACGACCTTCTTCCTTCCAACAGAGGAGACCTGCCCTCTATGTGGATTCTTATTCCGCATAGAGACTCCTCTGCAAGTGCTGTGCTGGAGAAACGCTGCCTCTCGGATTTCGGCGGGGCGTCGACCATTGCGAGGTGAACCCGCCTTGGCTCCAGGCTCGGGATTATTCAGTGGCATGTGCAGTGACCCTGAGAGCCAATCATGATCAAACAGAGCTGTTCAGAATCTTTGCTAGGCATGTGTACGAGCGTAAAGAGCTTCCCAAACGTGGAGTACCCCTAAATGAGTAAAATACGAAGAGCCAAACCCTCAACACATTCCACCACTCTAGTTATATTTAATTTAAAAGCATTTGAAGTTGGCCTGTTGGTTCGTCTGTTCCAATATCTGTTCAAATGCAGAGTGCTTTTCGTGTTATACAAGAACACATAGTGTTGTTGCACGTGTGCTTTGGATTTCACATGCAACTAGCTGTGAGTGTTCCGAGTGCTTAAAGGGTGCAGCCACGCGCAGTGTCTTGACGCTCCGTCTAAGGTATTCTTATGGACGCACTTTACTGCAGACTCGATGAAATCTTGATGGAAAGTTATTACTTCCCACAAGAACCCCCGCCTTCACCTGCTTGCTCTCTTCACAGTTCCCCAAAACAGGGGCGAGGAAAAGATGTGCTTCGAGACCAACTGGATGCAGGACAGAAAAAGAGTGCCTGTCCTATGAGCACTCTACAGGTCGGTAGAAATTTAAAAACAGTGCAAATACAGAAACTAAAAATTCGCATTAAAGGAGGGCTGGAACGATTGAGCCTCTTGCTATAGAAAACAAGTAGACAAGCGAAGTGCGCGAGGGAAATCAGAATTCACACTAGATAAATGATGGCCTCTTGCCTCATGCAGCAATGTTTGTACGTTGGTACGCGTGTTACACTGCATGCCGATCCAGGCTGCGCATTCAGCACAGTGGACTTGAAAATCCCCGAAGAGGCATGTAGAAAATGTAGGTACAACATACATGGGAGGGCCTGCACATGAATCTTAGTGTAGACAACGCCTTGAAATAACAACCAATAGCATTTCAAGCAATAATAAGTACTGAAGTCAGCTGTTTGAGACAGAGCACACGCTGTGGAAGGAAAATTGCTGAGAACCGCGAGCAATATCGTCCGTAGCGACTAACCTTAAACGAACAAAGTGCTTTTAAGAGTAAATTGTTGGTACAGACGACTATGCGTTCAAATACTAAGAGAAACAAGCACAGAATTACGGTACGCTGTGTTTTAAGCCTGGAGTTTTCGTTGTGAAGGGTTCTCTCGCAGGCGGAGAGGCCCGTGATTGCATTTCAGTCAGCGACTCAGGTTGGCGTTTCCCACTCCATTCAACTATAAGCTTCCGCCTACTGTGTCCTGGGCGCTCAAAAGTCGTACAATCCAAACCTGCCGAGGCTTCCTGTGAATCCTCCTCCTCCCCACAAGCCGTATGGAAAAGTCCGCAAATCATTCGGAAAGTTTGGAAACATCTCTAGGACGCTAGTATGGATATGCATGCAGTACCTTTAACTTTAGGGAAATTGATGGTGAAAAGAGTATTGGTTAATGAGAGGATACAAATGGGCGAACTCTCCGGATTGGAACGTCCTCGTCTAGTCATCTTCTTTTGCTCTTCGTTAAGCTTGCCTCTCCACTAGAGCTACACATTGAGGCTTGAAACACACATTTGACCGCCGCATAACGAATATCCGTGCTATTCTCTCTTGATCTTTGTCCACAAATTCGCGTGCTTTTACCAGCGGTTTTCTGGATATCTTGTTTGCTAACGCAAGCTGCTGGCCTCGGAACATTAAGCCCTGGCCCGATTCAGAGAGGGGCTAATCAGTGTGAAGCAATGATGCGGAAGAGTAACGGGTACACGAATGCCCTGTTGTAGTATACGCGCTCTCAACACGAGGGAGAAAACTCAAGCTAAGCAACTAGCTTTTTGAAAGTACAGACTAGCAAATGCTTTAGAAGAGCGGTTGGTTTGGTCTATATGCCAATCTACCTCCGGGTTATTCGCAATGACCATATCACGGTCAATGTAAAAACCGGTCACAGGCATGTCAGAACGCACTAAATTACTCGGTACTTAGTCATCAGTGTTAATCCGGAGAATTCGTGAAGCTTAATAGACACGAGCGCAGAATATACAGCGACTGGACCCCTGCGAGACTTCGGGAAAAGGGACTAAATGGACATGTTTCCTGCTTGTCGACAGCGAAATGGATGCTAACCCGACCCTTGGCGTTCGACAGTTCAACAAGAAAGTCCCTGTCATATTATCTTGATTCTTATGGGAAGCTTTGCAAAGGGCCATATTTTGAGAATTAGGTGGCTTCGGCTGCTGAAAATCTGGGCATGACAGTGTGTATTCCTCTCTTGAGACACATCAAATATTACCAGGACCAGGTGAGGTTTGCAGAGTAGTGTGATTCTCACCATGGCTTGAATTTACATGATCACGGACTTGCACAAAATGTCGCTGATGAGGGAACCGTGAATGCGAAAGTTACAGAGTCGCTTTCACCGCAGCAGTCCATCATGGATTTGGTAGCACCTTACGTTTTTTTCATTTGGGATTCTGGCAACAATAACCGATGAATGGGCCTCAAAAGCAGAGGTCGCACGCGCTTCGAAGAGAACCGTGTCACACAGAGGAGCGATTGAGCTGCACAAGAGTAAATTGCGTGGGCATCGCAAGAGCGTGTGGGCGATCGTTTTGATGATCTTTTTCATATGTGTCAGTGAAAAGTCGTACCGCAGAAGGTGCGAAGTCATCCTACAACTCAAGGAGTATCAAAGCGATGAAAACTCTCGTAAGATACATTTAAAGACCAAAGGTCGGACTGGACAGTAAAATGGAGCAAAGCTAAATAGTTACAGCGGTTTCAGATTGCACCTCAACCCATCGAGCACCTCCCCTTTCATCTGACAGTACTGCTAGGTTTCGGTGAGGCGATGAGAACAGCAAGCAATAATTTGATTTTGCAAAAAAATCCATAGCCTGCTGGGGGACATCTTCTTACCACTGCGCCATTAATGTCGGTTCTTGGGGACAAATGGCGCTCATAATCGAGAAGCACGGCTACTGGAGGAATCTTAAAGTCACCGCTGGGGCGTGCTTGCTGCAGCATAAAGCTCCCCTATCTACGCCCTACACTGCAGTCTCTTGGCTTTGCCGATCAACGAAACACTCATAAAATCAAATTTCGATAAGAAGATGCAAGCTCATAAAGCACAGCACTGTCATTGCGGGTGTGTAAAGCCAAATTCCACGCCTTACTTGCCTAAATCCTTGCGGACTCTGCTTCAATTTCCGCGGCCGAAACACGGGATCTTGTATGAAAAGAAACACTTGTATGCCTTCACATACCACTGCTTGCTCTGCAGCGCGCTGCAGCACATGCCGTATAGGTCATCTTAAACGTTTCTGCTGAATCAAAAGGCATTGTCCATGCAGACAGACCTCCGTGGTAGGCTAGCAAAATGCCGATCAACTTTCCCCTTCAGTTCAACTGCAGCATTACCAATTTCGAAAAACATGCAGTTGTAGAGTTTGAGTATATGCCAGCAGGGTGAAGGGGACATGTAAAAGGGAGTTTGTGCAGTCAAATGTCATGTACACTGTTAATCCGTGTAGCCCATCAAGTAAGTCGCCAATATGAAGCATCAGCAGGATGTGCTTCACAATAATGCTGTCCAGGGGTTTAACGCTATCTGCATACACACCATCTTTCACACTTACTGGCACCAACACCGGGTTGTGCCGAAATTACTTACCGATTTGTGCACTTCACTTTTCAATGAATCCCTTGCCTACTGTTCAATACACTCTTTATGCTGTGAAAACCTCCAATAGAGCGGAACGTATTTTGGCGCTGACCTGGGCAGCAGCTTCATGTGATGCGCTGGATGACCCTCGGGTGGCCAGACTGTTGGCCGCTCTTCATTTTTCAGCACAACCGCGAACCCCTCCTGGGTACTTGCCCATTCCTGTCATCTCACGGAGGAGGCTTTGATCCATTTACCGTATAAAAGGTCAGTTGCAGAGCCACTTAGAGGGGCAGCACGCTAAAACTGCCTTTTTTTACTGCACTGCTGAGCCGCTCGCAAAAAGACTGCCTCAACTTGTTCAGGTAATGACTCTGCCTCGCACGCCGTAATTGAACTGATAGTTGCATGGAGACTACGAGTTGTTTCTGCCTAGCTTTTATCGGCACACTAGCCTCGATAGCACGCAGCTGGGGGCCCTTGGGGGTCTTCCATTGGGCTACCAATGGCATACCTACGAGTACGCCATGATGCATGGGCTGGTATATAAGTCACAAACTATGCTCTGGCATTTACCTAAAACAGCATTGCTAATCCTTGATTTTGGCTCTCTGTAAGGAAAGAGATTTCTTCAGGCCTGCTCTAAAGCAGTAGCAGCCAGATATCGCTTCTACGCTGTCTCCTTGCATGCAAGGTCCAGCTCACAACTAGCGTCAAGGAAAAGCGTGATTCTTGGTCACTCGTGAACACTTGTATGAGCGCAGCATCGCCCCATCGCGGATCCCCAACTGAGGCGTTATCGTCTGTACCCGCCTTTGGTGCGCCACAGCCTGCATAAGGGGGCTTTTCGTTTCGCTGTTGCGTCGTACCTACTCAAACAGCCTGCTTCTGCTAGGCCAATCCTTTTGTCCAGCTTGTTTGGCTTTTTGAGTGCGCTTGCACTTCCGAGTTACATGACCGCATCTTCTACTAGCAGAGCAGATTCATTGTGGGGGGCTGTTTAAATCTGCGTCAAAAGGCAACCTCCCTGTGTTTTTCTTTGTTTTGTTCATCTTATACTAGGAGCTAGGGCTGGGTGACTCCTCCCATATATCCATCGGTTCTAACTTCCGACGTGGCTCTTCCGCGCTCGTTTGTTTCTAATCGTCAACGGATCCATCATTTGCTTAAGGCTTACCGATAGGTCGTTTGAGCACTGAGTTGCTGCCGATCCTGCAGCCACTTGACGTAACACTTTGGGTAGACCGGATACAAGCCATTGACAAAGCAGCTGTTCGCCAGACTTGTGACCTCTGCAAACCAAAGTTTCCTATTTCGTGCTATATTAGTGTGTCCAATGGTTTGCATGCTTAAGCTTTCCTGATTTCCACAAGCTTCCTGTCGAGCTTATCTCGGCATTAACCTATGAGTCGAAGCTTTAATGAAGGCTTGAACTGTACGGATCGCTGCAGGGCGACAATGTCTTCTGAAGAAATAGATTTACTATTCAAGTGTTTCTTTCTCCAATAATCACGCCGGAAGGGTATTGGCTTTTTGTCTGGAGCTTTGAATCCAGGTACATTTCCAACCGGCTGGTGAGACATTCGAGTCTTGCACATTCGTACAGCCACCATACTTCCTTAAGCTCCCTAAGGTCACCGAGGCATCCACGAACATTTGTTTTGGTCACAGCTCATGCCTTTTTCTCTTTTAGCTGTGAAGCTACTGAGTTCACATCAACTTGCAGGCCTGCCTCTGCCGCGCCATCAAGTGTTGCGCCACCGTCTACTTCCATCGCCAGAAGAAACATTTTTCAGCCTGCTTCCAAATAAAAGAAAGCACTGAATTCCCAACTAGCTTGGTCGTAACTAGACAACTGCTATAGGAGCAGTTTACGTCTGTAGCGGGCCGAGCTACACGTCAACACCTCAAAAATTTGTATTCGCCTACGAATTATTAGATAGATTGATTGCTCGGGTTTTCTGTTCGTGGCTACTGTACACCGCAGAGCATTGCTACCCCGACTCAGGAAGACGCAATGTTGCGGGCGTGTCGTCAGAGGTTTTACGCAGTTAGTGATAGCTCCGATAGATTACAGGGTGCAGCTACATGCACCGCAGGTGTCCCTGGCCCCTCGTTCCGTAAGATCTGAGGGGAGGGGGCATGCGAAGATGGCAATGCCTTTGGAAAACGCTCAATAACTTTCTTTTGTACTGAGTTTAGGGTTAAATGTCTCCCTATGGAGGCCTTAGATGGAGCGTTACATCCAAAATCCGCGCGGGTGCATGCGTGAGTTTCCGACGGGGCCCTCTAATGTCTAATACAGCCAGCATCCATTTATGTGAGAGTCTCCGTTGCTCTCTAAGGAAGCCCCCGCGGGGGCTTCGCCCCTCAACAAAAACCTCCAGGCGGGAAAAGATGCCGAGGGGCTTCCTAATGGCACAAGGGAGGAGCTGATACGTTTGTTATGACGTGCGTGTCGGAAGTAGCAAAAAAACGACAAGGACACATGATATTTGCATCGCTCTGGCCATCTGCGTCTGTCTTGACACATGCGCAAATGTATGGATGACAAAAGGCCTTCTTACTGTCAACGCTGGCTGCGCGCAAAGGTTGTGGGACGTGTGGAAGGCGTGTGCTATGTGATTGCGCCTGTGTAGGTATGCAGGTACGTGCCATGAGCTACACAGTCATGCACGATCGCCTTCAAGGGGTTTCATTTGCTTGCCTAACAGCGAGTCTGCATCGTCTGCACAACTCCTCCCAATCGACTTCTGGGAAGCGGCTCCGCAGCTGATCCCCCTAAAGCAGCAGCACAGACAGAAAATGCATGGAGACAGTAGTCAAACTGAGCAAGCAGCTTCAAAGGGCCAAGGGGCCGCCAACCAGCGGCACAAAGGACAAAATCGTGAGCGACAAAAGCGACACGCACAGCATTGCGTGTCCTTGCGTCTCTGCAAATCTGGAGCATACACTGCGCCTCTCTACGCGCCGCCAGTCGCAGTCGTTACTCTAGTTAGGTCAGACGCTCCTCTTTTGTTCCTGCGCCTACCTTGTTGGCATACGCTAGAAAATGGAGAACCCAGGCGCCCCTGTCTTGGCGTTGAATGCTTGTATCTACGAGGATGCTGCACCAGCCTTCCACGCACAAGCTGAATCTTGTTGAACAACGGGGATCCAGTTCTATGGACAGGCTGTTGATCATAAGCGAAACAGACCCTAAACAACCTTCTAGGCCGCCAATCTCGTATGCCCGTCTATCTCTGAACCAGAACCAATGGCCACGATACAGCACGAAGTACCGTGCGCTCCACCTTACTCGACATCGCGGCCAGGCGCTCCCGGGTGCTGTATGTACATTCCCTACGCAAGGCGAAAAGGGAGCACCACACATCGAGGCAGAACCACCGTGCACGGCCCTTGCGACTCGCACGCTGAAGCCGTTTGTGGAGAGCTGCTTATGAGGCTGGCTGCACCAGCAAATTAGAAGGAAGAAAGCGAGAGCGCGTACATACGTGTATGCACTCTTTGTAGTGGGTGGGTGTGTGGATTGTGTCGTGTGCAGAGGTTCCTTTTCTTACCCTCGTAGACCGGGAGTCGATCGATCCCAAGCTCGCCCGTGCTGTCTTCCAGCACGTATCCGTTGAATGCTCTGGAGAGCTTGATGGCGGAGGAGCGCATCGGGGTGGAGGGGAACTGTTTAATGATTAGCCGCTGGAAGGAGCGACGAGAAATTGGGTTCTTCACTTGGACATACGTTCGTAGTCGCTTGCTGTTCACATCGGGGGCAGTCTCCCTCTGCTGGCCTTGTTCTTCCTGCGCCTGATTTCTCCCAGAATCGGGGTGCTGCAGCGTGCTGCTGCTTGTGCATGCCTCAAGCTCCTGGTGGCCTTCTTCCTCCTCCTGTTGCTGCAGAATGAAGGCTGCGGAGTGATCCTCCAAGAGGGGCTGGCCCCCCGCTGCTTCCTCGTGGGAATTGACGATGTCGCTCTCCGTGTTGGAGGGATGCATCTCTGTGAATACCTGCCGCTGCTGTCGCTGCTGCAAAAGCAGCATCTGCTGCTGCAACAAGAGCGGCTGGTGCTGCTGCTGCCGCGTCGGTGACGTGGGGGACGCAGCAGCAGCTGTCGACGCGTACATGTGCATAAGGCTGCCAGCGCTGCTGCTTCTTCTTCTCGCAGCAGCAAATCGGGCAGGAAGATTCGATGCTGCAGCAATGACTGGCTGCGGTCTGCTGCCAGTGCTCTCTGCAGCTGCAGCTGCAGTCCCTACATAGTGCGAGAAGGAGAGGCTCGACCCCTCTGGCCACTCCAAGGGCACCCTCTTGTTGCTATCAGGCTCCTCCATATTGAGGATTCACCGCTAGAGCCTTGAGGCTGAGGCTTGCGCCATATCTTCCGATCAAGGAACCAGGGAAGCAAGGGTCTAGGGACGTAAAGCCCCCGCCTTCGCTTCGGCTACGTCTTGTCAACAGCCAAAGGGTTCGATCAGGAGAAGCAGCGAGACGCGCTGATTTATGGCTGTTTTGCGTTCGGCCAGCCAGATACGGCGGCGATCTGAGCCAGAAACCAGCTATCAGGTGAACCGTTAAAGGGGGAGCGGCCACTTGTTAGGGATGAAGCTTAGCGGAAAATAGGTGAAGCCGCAGAAAACAGGAAGAGCCTGAACCTCAAACGTTGAACTCCCAACCGTCCAGCGCCACAGAGCGATGCCGCCCACAGGACAAGTCCGTCGACGCGGAGGGATTGGTCAAAGGATAAGGGACTCGAAGTTTGCGATTTCTCTAGCCTTATCTTTCCAAGCTTACATGCACAAACCTCAGCAGTTGGTTGGAAACAACAAAAACAGGCACCGTGTACCGAACTTACCCTACCCTCTTGAGGCTCCGTGGCTGGTCGGTAGTTAGCCGCTGTCGCGGCCAGGCACTTGAACGCGGATCCTTCACAGGCTTAAATCCCCAAAGAACAAGTAACGGAATGTACATTTGGAGCGATTAAGCCTCAGCAAGTCAAGCGTTAGGATGCACGCGGTTTCAGGGCTTGCACGAGTTTTGGTTGGAGTGGCGCCGCCAACCTATGCATGTATGTACACCTGGACAGGACGAGACCCTTACGTGCAGTACACACTATGAGAGGGGAAAACCGCGAATTAGATATAAACCTAGGAAATCACCGCAGGTCAGCCTTGGTTTCACAGAGTTGCCGAATATCTCGAAATACCTAGGTATACGGAAGTATGCCCATGCCGAGCGGGGGATCTCTAAGAACAAGGGATTTTCCACCCACTCTTGAGCACTTCTGCCTCTCCAAATACACACAAAAGGCGAAATATGCCCAATAGTCAATGTTTTACGGCAGTACGCTGGCTGAATCACCAGTGTGTACCGGGGTTAGCTACGCTTGGGTATCTTCTAGTATATCTAAGACAAGAGTAGAAGTAGCAAAGAATTGACCGTTCGAGTTGTTTTTTAGTGCACTTTGTCTGATACAAATAAGAGTTGGCTAGAAGCAAGTAGACGCAATGCGGCTTCCGTGCGCGCAAGACGTTTTGTGCAACTAGCTGTGAAGACTGCGAGTGCTCAGAAGTTACAGCGATGTGCATCTTAGCTGTCGCTCTCCCCTCAAGTCCAAACCTTGAATGCCTTTAGAATTGAGAGGAGGGAGCCCTTCAGGAAAATATAGAACCCTCACGTCCAAACCTTGAATGCCTTCAGAATTGAAAGGAGGGAGCCCTTCTGGAAATTGTAGAAAATTCTTTTTAGCTTGTTATATTCTTAAGCTGAGCGTTCCTTGAGAAGACATTAGACAGTGCACTACGCAGTAAAGGTACCTCTGTTTCTTCAGCCTTAGCGGCGGATCGCTTACGGGGAAGGGAAGCACAGAGCGGAGGGGTGGGTGAAAGCGAGCAATCGAGGCTTGCATTGCACTGCGGTTTGCACTACACAGAATCTTGACGGTGATGCATGCAATTAGATGATAAGTGGTTAATTCCGCTCCCTTTGACGATGATGCAATGGCATAGGACCCGAGAAAAAACAACATCCCCTATCAAGTGATACCCAGCTACGTTCCTTCACGTACCCCAACCATTTGGAAACAGTAAAAGTCGTGATGTTTATTTATGAGGTCATGTGGGAACGGGTCAAGTGAGCTACGCTTCGTACTCACGCAAAACAGCCCATCAAGCGTTTATAAATGCTCTAATGAATGGCCTTCATCATGTGCTACCCAGTGCATTACGTAACTCAGCACGTTGATATGACCCAGTCTGCGCTACTTATCGATAGACACTCAAAAACCATGTTGTACAAGGCCATAAGGAAAAAGTTTCACACAAGCACAGCAAGAAGGCGCAAAGCTACCCAAGAGATCAGGCTAGACGCAGCTATACTTTCTTGCATACTCAGCAAATCTAAAAACCACCAGAAGCATCGCTAGTAGAGCTACACAGATGTAGGCATGCACGCAACCAAGTCGAAGTGCACACATGAATATATGTACATGTACACGCCTATTTGTATGAAACACATGAAGAGAGCGCAAAACGAGGTGAAAGAATCTTTGTATGTACAAAACACGCACAATTAGCCGCAAGGACATAAAAACAGAAACGCCTTGCTTCTAAAGCTTGGCTCCCTTGCATCCTTCCATTGTTGCATGCATGCAGGCAAGATGCGTGCAAAAAAGGTATGTGGGCACTCAACGCATCGCAAGCCCAGACGTAAGCACTGAAGGGGCAAATCGCTATTGAGAGAGACACGGGATTCGGGAAGGAGAGGAGCCACATAGGGCCAGGCCTACGCGGGTGTGTGTACACTGCGCCTCTTGGACACTCCCTACAGAACTGCTTTACTACATGCAAGTTGGCTTTTAAGAAGCAAAATGAATAGGAAAGGCATCAGACAGCCCGTCCAACGCTTTCTGTTTGACAGTAGCGGGATGTATGCACGACATCCTACAGCCACAAGGACCAGCCTTCTCTAGGCCTAGAGCTGTCGAGTAGGCTCTGCACCTCCCCTTGGTATTCCTCGAGGTTGGTAGATGGATGTGTGTTTCCAGACAATCCATAGAGGAGCATGTAGAAGTGCACAAATCTGAGTGTCTAATCGTATACACAACAGAATAGACGTTTATCCCTGTGTACTTCGATAGATGGTGTGGCCATGCGCTTACTTACGCGTAGGTTCACGCAGCTTCTTGCGCAAGACAGGAGAAACATCTCAAGCCATCACCTCTTCCTGCTGTGGGCACTGTGGAAGCTCCTTGAAACAAAACTTTTTTTGGACCTCTTCCACGATGGTCAATAAATTGGATATCCGCGAATCTGCATCCTCGATGCCCTCAACCTGTGCACAAACCTTCGGTACTCAATGAACCTATCACGACCATGTGTTCTCAGGCAAAGCACAAGCCAGACCATGGAAGTTTCACAGGTGAGAAATCCTCTTCTGCCGGCGCTACGGCACGTGCATGCTGGTTCCTTCTCCCCAAACCCTTGCCTCGCGCTGCTCTGAGTACCTCTTCCTTCAGCCTTGGCACGTCGACAAACTCGGCATACTTGCGGCCAATAAAAAGACACCGCAAGTAGAGGAAGCGGATTCTTGGGGGGGCCTCTTCCATTCTCAGATCCTTCAGTAGATGCATGAGGTAGAAGTGCAACAACTGAGCAGCGCGAACCGCAGCAGTGTTCTCCTCCATGCACTTCGTAGGAAAAAGAGCAAGAGTTTGTGTGAAGGCTTCTTCACCCAGCAGAGGAAACACAAGGATCTACTGCTATACACGGATATGCTAATACGCATGTATTGAGCGCCGCATAGAAGCAGTGATTTACCTCCTCTGCTTCTGTATATGTAGGCTTCGATGCGCCAGTGGCTGCCGCCTCTTCTCTTCTGCAAAAAAAAGCAGTAAAGTGAGAACCTTCGAGAAATACACATCTTGGGGTGCACTCTCACATGCCGCGTAAAAAGCGCGAAGTTTCTATGAGCAAACCCAAAACTCTCACGCAGTCTCGCATTCATCGACAGCCCCCCGAAGAACAGCCTCTATCAACTCCAAATACGCCCAGGAATCTGTAGTTACACACAAGCACAAGCACACACATACACATACATGCCATACACGTCTAAACACACAGACCAAATCCTATGCCCAAACCCAGAGAAACAGCAGTTCCGAAGGATTATGCAGCTGCCTATTGGCCAGTGCATTTGAAAAAATCTAGGGAAGTTTGCGGAGAATTCCACATACCGCGAGTTTCTGTGTTCGCTTCACAAAGCAGCTGCAGAACTCGCTGCCGCTTAAGAATGCCAACTTTCAGAAATGCGTGAAGCGTCAGAGCCAATCTGCAGTACAACAGACCCTAGACCCTACATATATACAATACATATATACAATGCATGTATGCATACATGTATGCATACATGTCTATATATATGCATGTGTACACAAGTGATCCATCTGCATCAGCGCAAAGTCCCTTCCGCTCTCAGTCGCATTTGAAGGCAAAAGAGAGAGTTAGAAAGGCTCTGGATATCAGGGGAGCGTCCCTTCGAAGACTGAAATGCGTGTACCTGTGCAAACGGACAGGTGCACATTCGAGAGGGAGCTTCACTTCACACATACTTTTGTTGGGAGAACGCCCAGTACTTTTGAACGGCCTGCAAGACGGCAGGGTAGATGTCACCCCGCTCGGAGGCTTCCACGGGCATCTGCATGTCTTTTAGGCTGTCCATCGTGTGCGCCTCTGCGCCTTGCGCGAACAGAAGGAAGACTTCTGCGTAGTTTCGGAGCAGGCGGTTGAGGTGCGTCTGCGTCTTGCTGCCAAAGGAGAGGAGACAGAACACAAAAAGCTTGAGGATTTCCTCCAACTTCCAGGGGTCGCTCTCCATGTCCTTCTCGCAGTGGTGCAATACGGACGTATTGAGGCGCTGAGCGTCCTCTGCAGCAGCCTCTGGTTCTAACTCCTCCCGCGTGCTTGAGTCGCGAGCGACTTCCGAGTCGGCTTTACGATCGGAAGGGCTGCAAAGGCCATTCGCTGCAGCAGTGCCTTCCGGAGCATCTGTCTCCATCGTTGAAGAGGCTCCATCGGCGGCTTCTGCTTGCCGCACAGGACAGAGAGAGAGGGAAAAAACAGCACGCCTCGAGACTTTGCGCAGAAGCCTCAAACCGCGAACAGGACCAAAGGGCCTGTTAGCAGCGCCTTGTCTGCCCCCTGCCAGTCAGTCGCTCCACCCACCTCCTGCATGCTGCTCCTCTTCTTCCTGTGCGGTCTTGCGGGAGGCTGCTGGCGAGCCCTTGCTCTTGTGTTTCCCTAGGAGAGACAGAAGCAGCTGATACACTCGGAAGACACTCTCCTTCCTTGCGTCATCTCCGTCAAACGAAAAACGCAGCATCTGCCGGATCAACGAAAACTCCACAAGCCCCTGCGGAGGGGCCCCCCCAGACCCTCCGCCTCCCCCTCCAGACGACGCCTGAGATTCGGAGGGGGGGCCCCCTCCAGATCTACCGCATGCAGGGCCTGGATTGAGGCAAAGATATGGATTATCTGCAACGGCACGCGGGGGCCTAAAGTCTCTCGCGCACTCAGGCACAGACAGTGCCTGCGCACAACAGTCTCAACGCATCCTTGACGCGGTAATAAAAATAAGTGTGCGCATGTGCATATATGCATAGATGTGCATATGTGTATGTGTATATAGGTGCATATGTGTATGTGCATATATGCATATGTGTGCATATGTGCGGATGTGTACATATGTGCACATGCGTAGGTGTAGGTGTAGGTGTCTATATGCGCGTATGTGTCTGTGCGTATATGTGTATGTGTGCACATGTGTACATATGTGCATATGTGTAGGTGCAGGTGTCTGTCTATGCGCGTATGTGTAGGTGTATGTGTCCATATGCGCGTAAGTGTCTGTGCGTATGGTGATGTGTATGTGTATGCAGTCGTTGCTCCTTCAAAGGCTGGAAATTCATGCTCGCGCAGAAGCCTTCACTTTAGCTTTTTAGGAGTGCGCTTTTTGGTGGGGGTGTGTGTGACCTAAGACTCCAGCTGTACAGTCCTTACAAGTGCGTCTGGGTAGTTGATCCGCATGGCTTTCTCAAGAGAGAGCTTGACGAAGAGCTTGACTGGCGGCGGGGCCCTTCCAACTCCGAGCCACTCCTCCAGCAGCTTCGAGGGGCCCCCCCACACATTTAGCCAGTACCCAAAGAAGTCTGTCAGCGTCTGTACAGACATGCACGGCAGACTCGATACCCCAAGCTCAGACAAGCGCAGATCCTGTATGGCCGCGTGTGTCGAGCGACTTGAAAGGGTTCGCGGCTTGCTCACGAGTAGCGCTTGGTGATCCAAGTCGATAGCCCGTCTCACAAGACTGCTGAGCAGTGTTTCTGTCACCGTGGCAAGGGAGTTTTGCAGCTGGCAGAGCCGCTGCAGTAGGCGCATGTAAGTGAAGGGTGCCTCCGCTGAGCTTCTGATGATAGGCGAACGCGGAAGTCGCAGCATCTCGCTGAAAACACACTGCGCGCAAGCGCATGCAAGGCAGCCGCACAGCAGAGCCCTCAAGGGTTTTCCTTCACCCACCACCTCCAACAACACACTTCCCCCCAGACCCCAGTCCCTACCCGCCACCTCCAACAACAAACCCCCAGTCACCCCCACCTACCACCTACAACAACACACTTCCCCCCAGTCACCCCCACCTACCACCTCCAACAACACACTTCCCCCAGTCCCCCCCACCTACCACCTCCAACAACACACTTCCCCCCAGACCCCAGTCCCCCCTACCCACCCCCTTCCTGCCGAGTTCACGACATCCCAGACGGAGCGCATTCGCCTACAGAAAAGCGCTGCAGAAGAGTGACAGCAGACTATAGAGAGGCGACTGGCGGCAACGCGCCGCTAGGGCGTTGGGGATGCTTGCCTCGACGAGAGAATATTCGAATTGCGGATGATCCACAGGAATCCTCAGGAGTTGTTCTGCACAGAGCGAGATGTCTGAGATGAAGTTGCGCAGCGTCGTTAGGAAGTGATCCTCGAGAATCCTGTGGCATGAAAATGCGTGCAGATACGGCAAAGCGACACGGCAAATGAACCCCCCGAAAGAAGCGATCCCAGCCGATCCCGGCCGCGCGTGCCTGCACATCCGCATCCCCCACGACGACGCCACTGCACTAGAGAGGCGCATTTCCTCGCCTCCCCCTAGACCCTTCTGAGCAATCCTCACCACTGATCGTGAGGTGGGAGCGGCACGTCCACGTGCTCGAGCGTCGCAGGCAGGCGCAACAGAGAATCGAGGGGGGAGACTTTGAGAGCTGCCAATTCGGAGGCCTCTACGAGCACCGGTGGGAAGTCTAGCAGCGGAATAGACCCCTGAGGCTGCGGAGTTAGGAGCGGCAGCAGCTCGCTGGACTGGTAAAATCGCAAAGTTGCGCGCGAATGCCACTCTGCCTGACAGCACAGACAGACACCGCCAAGCATACCCCGTGAGCATACCCGCACGCAGCGGCGCGAGAAAGCAGCCTTCGAGCCGCGTGGGAACGAAGATGCCCCCTGCTCCCGCTTCGAGGCTCAATTCAAAGAAGGAACTCCTCTGCACCGCAAGGCACGCACATCAATCATCGCGTCGATGGCATCCAGAAGCGTGGCGAGGCGGTCTGAGGGAACGAGGGCAGGAGTAGCTTTTGCCTCCTGCGCGTCCGCTGCATCGTCTTGTGCAGCTGCGAGGATCCCCTGAGAGGCCTCCTGCGCTCCGCCTCCTGCCGCTGCTGCCCCTCTGGAAGCAAAGGGCCCTGTAAAGGGCTGACATGCCGCCAAAAGCAGAGCTGTTTCCTTGTCTGGAGTCGTATTGGGGCAGTCCAACACCTCCACAAGAGCAGCGTGATGCAGCTCATACGTCTTGACACTGAGCCAAGGGAGGGCGCTCTGAAAGCATGCAAAAGAAGTACAGGGACGCTTGCGTAGAGGCACACGCATGTGGGCGGCATGCCCAGAGACACGTATGTAGGAGGCAGCAACCTCTATGGATACATGCAGACAGGTCCATCTCTCTCTATCTCTCTCTATCTCTCCCTGTCTGTCTGTCTGTCTCTCTCTCTCTCTCTCTCCGTACATGCGTATATATATATTTATATATATATGCGCGCCACCACCCCACACGCTCCAAACACGCAACCCTAGACCTTTCGAGTGCCTGTCATGCGAGATACACTACACTACAGAGTTCAAGAACGAAGCCAGCAGCGAGAGAGAGAGGTAGAGAGAAAGCACACGGCCCCCGCCTGTGGAGGTGTCGGGATGTGCTGCTGCTGCTCCTTGAGAGTCTACAACTCCGAGCAATTCATGGAATTTGCTCGCGACGTACCATAGCCGCGTGCGCTGTGTGCTCCGCCGTAGTCTGCGGCAGCTCGTTCGCCGTCTGCAACAAGTTTTTGATCACGGCAATCACGGGGTCCTGCACAGACAGCACAACGCTGCCCACTTCAAACTTACAATCCGCGGCTCATACCCAGGAGGCAACAATCCCCCATGCGCGCCACATGCCTTCTGCGCTCAGAAGATCAACGCTGTACATGTTTGCCGTTCAGAAGCATACAAGTGCAATGACGTTGCTGCTGGCTAGACCCAGGAAGAACCTGAGGAGGAGCTTGGCTTCCGCAAAGAGGCCCTTGGTGAAGGCAAGACGCAGTCGAGCAGCGCCGCAAGACACCAGGGAGGACACGAAGGAACGGAGGCGAGCTTTGCGGTACAACAACCCCACGCAGGCGGCGTATATTCCTAAATGGGGCAGAGGGCCCCCAAGGGGAGACGCAAACAAACACCGCATGCACTTCCGAATGACACATTCCAGAGGCGAAGCAACGGATGCCCAAGTTGAACACACGAAAAGGAAGTGTGTACGCGTGCCAGCAAGCGTGTGTGTATGCATGCATGCATGCATGCATGCATGCAGACGGATGCGCGGAAGAAGACGGACGCCCAAAGCTTACAGCGCTGCCCTCCGGCAGCAGCCCCCCACGGCCTCTCGCACCTACCCGTCTTCACTGGAAGTCTTGCAGCGCAGTCAACGAAGAGTTCTACCAAGGCGGTCTCTAGACAAAACTTTTGCTTGAGCGTCGCATTTTCTTCTGCTGACGCCGACGCGTCGCCAGCCATAAACTCCTCTGCTGGCTCAGCACCTGGGGCCCTGTCCTCCGTAGAGTTAGCTGCACCCTCCTCGCGGGTAGCCCTCTGCTCCCTGTAAGCTATGACAGCATCCGATACAGCCTGTGACAAGTTGATGATCTGCGTGGGAATGAGGCATGCGTCATCGCCGACTGTGATAATGTGCCTCCGCAAGGTGTCAAAGGTGAAGGCAGTTGCGTTCGGAAAGCGGCGCCGAGGGTAACCCGAAGGACCGTTGGGGCCTCGGGGGCCTCGTCGCGAAGACGGGGGCCCCCGGGAGCTCGGGGGGCCCCTGGGAGGGCCGTCTGGCAAGGGGGGTGCCGTGGAAAGGTCGCCTACGCCGTCTTCTTCCATGGCTGCTGCTGCTGGTGTTGCCAGTACACTCGGTGAGAGACTTTGGCTCTCACGCACTGAGGGCGCGAGCACGACCGAATTGGCACAGGGGGGAGGGGCCCCTGAAAGGGTCGAAGGGCTGGGGGAGCGCGCGGTCGAGGCAGAAATACAGGAGCGCTCACAGACTTACGAACGCCCGATACACAGCACGGGGAACACAGCACCACGGCGGAGCAGTACCCCTTTGCCCCTCCTAAGGGCTTTCAGCTTAAGTCAAGAGTAAAAGAATATGCAATGATTGAAGAGGCCCCATCACGCCCCTATTTTTGAATCATAACCGTCAACTCGTCACCGGTCACTGCTGCATGCAGTCCTGTCTTGGGGCTTTTCTTCGTGGAAGCCTGGGTCCTTCCGCAATTATTGGAACTGCTACACACCTCTATTTCGAACACGAAAATTAGGCTTCTAGGGTCTGCTCTGTCACCTGTATCACTGGGGGAACTTGGCGGCCCTCGCTCGCAGTGTACGTACACTCGACACGTCGGGGTACCTAAACATGCATTCTAGATGCACTCGCATCTATTCAAGTACGCGTTGACGCGCTTGTAGGTTTAGCTGCTTGGATGAAGGGGCAGAACTAGCAGAGAAGAATACCCTCTTCTGTACGCGTTCCCTGGTTGCGGCACATCAAAGTACTAAGGCGCAATATTTCTGTACCTCCCCAATCCTTCCCCCTCCAACTGGCGCCTTTTGTTGTTTTGAGTCATCTATGAATGCATCATGCAAAAGGCCTTGGCGGCTGAGTCTGTAACCCAAAGACCCGATACCAGCGCACCCATGGCTGGAGCGATCTACAAACCATCTGAGCATTTTCTGCTTGTCTACTTACGCCTATCGATATAGTATTGAATAGTTGATCTGTCTAAGCATATCTTCAATTTATTCTAGAGTACTGTTAACTCGAAATAAGAAGACGCAGTGTTGTGTGCGGGTTCTTTATCAGATGCGACGTGCAGCTAGCTATGAATGCACGGTATGCATAGAGGGCGCAGCTACGAGCACCCTGATTGCCCCCTCTTCTCTTGAATAGGAGCGCCGTAGGGCGCTGGCGAGGCCGGGGCAGGAGGAGGCACATCGTTTCTTCGAAGCACACATCAGTGTCTACCACGTTCGTAATAATTCTATTTGTGTGTCACCGTATCAAGATCCTACAGGAAGCTCTGAATAGGCAAAAAGGCCGTAGCATTGCGCCGTATATAACGAAGAAGGCATTTCAAGAGCCTCTCTCGGTCCACATGAAACGACAGTGCGGTGCTGTGCGTGGATTTCAGCAAAGGAGTTTCAATAATACTCATCGAGAGCCCCCCAGCCTCCGCACATTCTCCATATTGCATCAGCAGCATTCTGGTCACGCGTTACTAGCTATTACCATTGCATTGGTGTTAGGCTCAGGGCAGCGCTCCTTACGCAAAATTGTGTGTGCACACCAACATGCACGTGCTGACTTTTGTGAGTCCGTCAAGACAAGTTAGCGTGAAAATTTCACATGTAGAAGCCTTCCATGAGAGAGCGATAGAACGGGAGGCACTGAGAGCTCATCTGAAGCTCTAGTCTAACGCCAGCCACGCCGCACAACCCCGCGGCCTAAGGAGACATGGCCTTCTACACTCAACGGCTAGGCAACACCTGTATTCTTGAACAGGGTGGGTATTGCTGCTAGTACAAGACCCAAAACGCCCTATAACCAGTGGCAAGTTGGTAGGCGTACATGTGCATTAGATTTCCAGCCATTGGGGGGCGCCGAGAAATGAAGTGCGCACGTATTTCACACGTGAGAACGCTTCAAGCGTAAAGTCTCCTTTGAGGTCCTCCTGAGACTCACAAAAGTTAGCAGCGGCCGTCTCCAATAGAAAAGGGCTGGTGGCTTCCTCCGCTGTTGTCCACGCTCTATCTCCTGCACTGCTGTGGCATACAAAATCAGGGAGCCACTAGGAGCCTCTTGCGACGCCACAAAACCCCACACGCCTTCATAAGAGGTATCTGTGATCCCCGACCTGCGCGGTGACCAGTCGGCAACGAGTTTGCAGAGACTGCCAGTCGACTTGCGGGTAACACTTCCTGATACGTTCCCCCTTAGTGGCACGCACATACGCAGCAGGAAGTAGGCAAACACACGTGGCCTCCTAACGAAGTCGACAGAGGCCCTCAATGAGGCAGCCTTCTTGAGGAAAGCGGGCCATAATGGGGCGCGAAATGCATCGAGCTCGAGTGCCAGCACCCCACCACCGCACCCGAAAAGGAGCAGTCATACAGGCACGCTGTTCAGAGGGTGACTTTGAGGTGTCTGAAAGGTCGAAGACCCTCAGAGCCACCTTAGAGAGGATGTATGGGGGACAGTGCTGGGGCGGCCGCATGGAGCAGTGCAAATCAGACACTAAAAGAAAGGGCAATCGGCATGCCGAGTAGAAAGCGATACAGAGGCGCAGAGGCTCGATAGAAGGGCACATAATGACTACGTTTGGTACCGGACTCACTGTGTTTTGGCAAGCCAAGATGTGGACAACCCAAGCGCCTCTGTCTTGGTTGGTGATAGCGGTATCGATAACCATGGAAAACCACTCCCCGACGTACAGCGTAAAGCGCGTGTTGTACTTGGCGTCCAACTCCATCTGAATCGTGTTGATGATGAGAGACAGTGAACCAAGGCATCCGTCTAGGCCCAGAGAGAGGTAGTCCCTCCTGCTGCCAAACCAGAAGAGCTGGCCTTGATGCAGCACCAAGTAGCGACTAGCCCAAAGGGAACGATGCAGCGAGGGCTTCCTTTCAAGGGGCGCGACGTTCACACTGCCTGCGGCAACAAGGGTGGAGCGCGGCCGGAGACGCATAGGAAGGCTTTTACAACCGCAGTAATGGATACTGAGAGAGGGCACATGACTCGGATTTAAAGCAAAGACGTGGGTAGATACTCGCAAGACCACAATCTTCCCTCAGTCATATCTAGTTGACCCTTACCATGAATGAAGGGCAGTCTGGCAAGGTCGAGCTCCCCCGTAGGGTCCTCGAGCATGTACCCATTGAAGGCTCTGCCAATTCTGATCGCGGATATTGGGAGCGACTTGTACGCAAACTGCTTGGTCACCAACTTCTGGAAGGACTTCTTTGAGATTGCACGCGGATTCGCTACAAAGGCTGGTTCGCGCTGCGCGGGAGCGATAACCGCCGTATCGGCCGCTGCATCGAGAGGATCGGAAATATGTATGAGGGAAGAGGGAACCTCTCTAGAAGCCTCCAAGGTCCCTAGAGCCTCTGAGGTCTCTGGAGTTGTCTTGTTCCTCCCCTCCGAAGAATCTGCGAAAGACCCCTCTGCAAGCTCACCGCTGCTGTCGGCTGTGCGGGAGGGGGCTGCTGCAAGTGCTGCGAATTCGGCCATTGAATCTATTCCTACCTTTAGATTCCCCAGGCTTTCACTGAGTCCTTCTGTATCGGTAGAAGCGCGTGGCAGAGTGCCCCTCGGAGACTCCACAAGAAAGTCTTCTGGGATGCATGCTGCAGACATTACAAGCCGCCCTTTGCTGCCTCGATGTGCATAGGCTCTTTCGGCTGCGTGAGTACCAGCCGCGGATGAGCGTGGACGCGCGGAGTCCCCATGAGAATACGGTTCTTTGGCTGTTGGCGGGCAAGCTTGGAGGTCCTCATCCTGCTCGTTGTAGGAGCTTGCCAGCGTGCTAAAGACACGGATACTGTCGTGTGACTGTCGTTCACATCGCCAGAATTGTTGCTGCTGCGGAAAGAGGCGATTCGAATCCCGCAAGAAGCCCTGCGGGAGGGAGCTGCTCTGGAGCCTCCCGTGGTGATCGGATGCAGGAGCAGAGGATACTGCCGTTTCTGCAATTGCAGCTGTCTCCGTATCAGACTGTCCCGTCTCTAAGGCGCTGCTGTCGCTGTTTTCGTTGCCGGCGTTCCTGCTTTCCTTGCTGCTGCTGTTGCTGCTAGCTGGTCTTGCAAACCTGCTTGACTCCGCGGCATTACCCACTGCCGTTGGCATTGAAAGACCTGATATATGCCTCGCTTGCTGTTCGTTCCGCTGCTCCTCCTTTTGCATCGTGTGCAGGTGATTATGAATCCCAGGAAAGGACTTTTTCGGGTGGCAACGCTCTCTGCTGGAAGGCAGCTGGTGTTACAGTGACACCCACTTACCCCAAGCCTTTCGGTCAGAAGAAAGACTTAAATTCTCGGTAACTCTTGAGAGTCAGTCCGTTGTTGAGTTGATAAATGATGGGAGGCCAGTGGAGGAAGTCTCTTCGGGACGAAAATCATCCGGAGTCACTGCCCAACACGAGGCAGCCGGTGTCTATTCGATGGCCTTCTGCAAACAGGCTCGTTATTCATTGAATTACTCCGAAATTCAGATATAAATGCAGAGACTGGTTATTGAGGTCTACTCTCAGCTGGTCGCAAGAAGCCTTTCTGCAGCCCCCCCCAACCCAGATGAACTGCTAGGTGTCTCGACGTCACGGGGCGAGCACATGGGAAGACAGCTGCGGCAGCTTCCCGTGACGAGATCACCAAGGAAGGCCAGAAAAAGAGACTTTAAGGTAATTTTCTTAGGAAAAGAGGCCATTTCCCTCTCGATTCAAAGTAAACCAAGCAATGCCGATTGATTCATGACGCACTTTCAAAAGTAGTCCCTAGACAAGTGCCTATTGCATTTCCGAATTTTCTTCTTGCCTTGCTACATTTCCCTACTGCAGTGACCTAAAAGTGCTACTAATCGTTTGCCAGAAACACCAACTCGCGCATTTTCCAGCAGATGCGCTCCGATCACTGCAAACTAAAGGACCATTGGACGCAGGGCTGTGAAAAGGCCCCTTCATTGGCACTATAATATGTGTGCGGGGTGACCGCCTATTCTGCCCCAAAGCCCAGAGGTATACCGTGCTGCACTGAACGAGGGCTGTACACCCTGAGTTTCAGCGGCGCTAGTGCCTCTCTCGTAACCGATTAAATTTAAACCTGAAACC